GTAGAGATGGGGTCTTGCTATGTTGCCCAGGCTGGTCTCCAACTCCTGGGGTCAAGCAATCCTCCTGCCTCAGCCTCTCAAAGTGCTAGGATTACAGGCAGGAGCCGCCGCACCCAGCCTATACAATGTCGTTAACAAAAGAACAAACTATTTAACAACAGCAAAAAAAAGAACTCCAGTCCTTACGCATTGGCTTTCCCCAGTGATATCACTACTTTTTGGGTTGTCAAACCTAATCCATGAAAAACACTATCTATCCTGTTAAGGAGAAATTAGCATGTCCCCTAAACAATAGCAGGCTTTTGGTTCTTTATAAGTTATATTAGAAAAATGCCAACCATATTGCATATTATTTATTTTTTAATTTATTTGATATATCTGAGAATCTTGGTAGAATGTATCACATACTCCTATCTCTGTGGTAAGTTGGTTTTATGTCAATTAAACAAAAGACCCAAAACTAACAATGTTAGAGCTGAAAGAAACCGAAATTCCATGTCTACCATTGCATAGCTGGTTGAGTGGGAGAGCTGGGATTAGGATTCAGGTCCCCAAATAGTGTGGAGTTCTTTCCTTGTTACCCGATAAGGTAAGATCCTGGCTTATTTTTTCTTATACAGCGAAGACTAGATCTGTCAGGGAACTTCAGAGCCACATATAAAGTCAGTGATATTTAGGGGATATAAATTCAGTTTTGTTTTCTTGTGAATTCCATCACACATTATATAATTTGGTGACATTATGTGACACATGATGATGATATTCTCACAAGCAACAAGAAGAAAATATGATGACTGAGACACTTGGAAAAATGTCCACACTGGACCGACAGGAACCACTTCCTTGTTTTTAAAACCAAATTATTTTCACAATTACCTCCTCCCTACCTCCTCCAAAATCCAACTAAACACGGAAACATTGTATTCACATTTACAGGGAAATGTTGGGAAACAGTAAACAGACATTGTAAGGAAATGACAAATGATTCATAACAGGCAGAAAGCAGATCTAATGTATTTCATTTCCAGCATTACTAAAATAGGCATTTTAGTAATGCCTATTTTGCTTCAGGTATTACTTTCATATAGCATCTGATCAGGGTTGAGAAAGTTCTTAAGTATAAATGTAATATTAAAAAGCAAAACAGGAGGTATGCATTTTAAAAAATTATTATATTATTATTACTGCAGATAAGCTCCATAGGGTGACTGATTCAATACACTGATGAAGAAGAAATTCAAATCCAAATGAGTCCCCCCAGGGCCCATGCCTGTCCCCACCTTCCAGCTCATTTGCATTTTAATTTTTAGTACTTTCTTCTCCCTCTCTCCACAGCTGCGTTGCTCTCTGGACAGTGGATGCTGTGAAACCTGAACCCACTGCCTTGCTGCTGGAGTGGCCAAAGATCCTAGAGAGTGAACTGTTACCAGACAACAAATGGCACATCAGCCCCTCTCAGGGGAAGGGGTCATCTTCTGCGAGGACACTGGATGGGACATCTGAGGCCTTTCAGTCCTACAGCCAGTTTGATCACTTGGGAGTTAGCTTTGTTCTCTTCAGTCTCTCTCCTGCAATCTGAGTATTCTCTCAGAAGTGGCTAGAGAGTCCCCAGTGGAGGTGGCTCACGGCATGCCAGGGCTGCAGACCTCTCTGTGGTGGGCAGTCAGTCACCTCTGGGCTCTCACCACAAGATCCAGACTCTGTGGTGGGGCCAGGGCCACAAAGGACAAGCCAATGACCGTGAGGAAGAGCAGCCAAACGGGAGCAGCCAGGCTGTGCTGACAGCCTGCTAGATGCACGGCTTGAGCTGTCTCTCCATGTGAGCCGTCACAAGTAGTCTTTGAAAGAGAAAACTCATAGACGCTGTTTTCGCTTCCATTGTACCATGGAGGACACTGAGGCTTGGAGAACGTAAGGACTGTCTGCAGGCCTAGAAGGCTAGTAAGTGGCCAGAACTGGAATTTGAACCTAGGTAGGTTTAACTTCAAAGGCTAGTCTGACTTCACTGTACTCTTTCCACCAAGAAATCACCATCCCATACAACTCTTTTCTCTTTATGCCTCACCAGCATCTCAACTGGTGGGCTGCCAGGTGCCAGGCAGGTAGAGGGTGTAGACAGGGCCTCCCTTCTGCCTTCCTTATGCTACCTGCATACCTGGGTAGGTGGGAGAGGAAGTCAGGCTGAATGGTGGCTGCAGCTGTGGGCCATGGCTGACCTGTCAGTCTTGGTAATGAACCTGCTGGTCTACTGACATGAAGTTAGAAGCTGTGTGTTGAAGGTTTCCATTTATTCTTCCTACATTTACTAAGCACCTGCCCTCTTCATGGCAGACAGACACCTAAACAAGTTATTACCATATAGCGTCACAAGTGTAACGGATGCAAGCACAAAATCCCGAGGTGCCAGGGGCAGGGAGAAAGAAGTAAGGGAAGGCTTTACTCACTGAAGTGACACCCAATCAGGGCTTTGAATGTAACTGGGAGTGCAGCCCAGGGACAAGGGGAGATGACCGTTCTAGGCAAAGACAAAGTATTGTGCAGGACTGTCAAATTAAGCATGAATAATCCAATAACTCTAATAAAAATGACTCATAACAGCCAAACTTAAATATATATTATTAATCATTCTTTAAAAAGAGCTTTTAGAGGCCGGGCACGGTGGCTCACGCCTGTAATCCCAGCACTTTGGGAAGCCAAGGCAGGTGGATCACCTGAAGTCAGGAGTTCAAGACCAGCCTGACCAACATGGTGAAACCTCATCTTTACTAAAAATACAAAATTAGCCGGGTGTGGTGGTGCATGCCTATAATCCCAGCTACTTAGGAGGCTGAGGCAGGAGAATCGCTTGAACCTGGGAGGTGGAGGCTGCAGTGAGCTGAGATCGTGCCATTGCACTCCAGCCTGGGCAACAAGAGTGAAACTCCATCTCCAAAAAAAAAAAAAAAAAAAAAAAAAACTTTTAGAAAAATATAGTAAGTTGCTTTGCCTCTCAATCCTTAACATTAAATTTACCTCAAATAGTAGCTTTCTGGTAGTTTGCTTTAAATTTTCAATCTGGCTTAATGTTCAAAATATTTCTAGAATTCTTATTTTTTAGCAGCCAATTGTTTTGTCTTAAATCTAACATCTCCTCCAGCCCCAGGTTAATCTCAGACATGACATTAATGTGCCCATTGAAGTTTCTACTAGGTTTTCACTTAGAGTAAATTGAAGAAGTTGAAAGAGCACTACAAGTAAGACTCCAAGTTAACCAGTCCAAGTAGCTATCTGCACTACTGGTATATAATTCTCCAAAAATGGATTATAAGAAGGGCCTCCAGGCTCAAAAACAGAGTTCACTTTTATGTTAGCTAAAAATATGTCATCCTGAATTTGAAATTATTTAAAATAGATTATTTCAGTTTTGCCTAACCTTCTGCTCACTAGAATAACAGATTAATAAGTAATCTTTTTTTTTGTTTTGTTTTTTTAAATGGAGACAGAGTCTCACTTTGTTGCCCAGGCTGGAGAGCAGTGGTGTGATCTCGGCTCACTGCAACCTCTGCCTCCCAGGTTCAAGTGATTCTCCTGCCTCAGCCTCCCGAGTAGCTGGGATTATAGGCATGTGCCACCATGCCCAGCTAATTTTGTATTTTTAGTTGAGATAGGGTTTCACCATGTTGGTCAGGCTGGTCTTGAATTCCTGACCTCAGGTGGTCCTCCCACCTCGGCCTCCCAAAGTGTTGGAATTACAGGCGTGAGCCACTGTGCCTGGCTGATTGGCCTGACTCTTCAGGGTTACTAAGTAGGAGGCACCTTCCCATACCATAAAAAGAAATTACAATGTACAGCAACCTGCTGCAATGCCATTGACCTCAGAGCAGAACCGAGGTCAAGGGACACTGGCTACTGAAATGCTGAAATGATATTTTAAGGCAGATTTACCTATGGGGTCTCCTACTCCCCAAGACTTCTTAACAACCCATTTAAGAGGGACATAATTTCAGTTTTGCACTTTTGATATATCATTCCTTATTTTCCTGCCTTTCCCTTCGGCCATGGCTCTTCCTGTAGGTGATTTGAGGGCCCCTTCTCTCAGTCCAACTAAATTATTGTCCCTCTCCCATGATATACTCATGATATACAGAACTCAACAGTTATATAAGTTTAACTACATTCTAACTGTTCTGTCTGGTCATTCATCCAAAATTCAAGTCTATTCAAAGTTGGAACTAGATAGTTCCTTTCCATTTTTTCCCCTTATATTATCCATGGGAGTTCTGTCTAATGAGTTATGAAAAAATACGATTAAGAAAACGCTGAAAGAAAAGCGTTTTTTATTATAGAAAAATAGGAAATTGGCCAGGCACGGTGGCTCATGCCTGTAATCCCAGCTACTCGGGAGGCTGAGGCAGGAGAATCGCTTGAACCTGGGAGGCGGAGTGAGCTGAGATCATGCTACTGCACTCCAGCATGGGTGACAGAACAAGACTCTGTCTCCCCACCCCCCCAAAAAAACAAATAGGAAATATAAAAACACCCCAAATTCATGTACCTGAGAGAATACAATGATATTCTGTGTATAATTTTCATTCTTTTCTTTTTTTTTTTTTTTTTTTTGTGAGAGCAGGAGCTCGCTCTGTGCGCCCAGCTGGAGTGCATGGCCGGGTCTAGCTCATGCGAAGCGCCTCCCGGGTTACGCCTTGCTCCTCCAGCCTCCCGAGTAGCTGAACTACAGGCGGCCCGCCACTCGCTGGCTAGTTTTTGTATTTTTAGTGACGGTTCACCGTTTTAGCCAGATTCTCGATCTCCTGAACCTCTGATCGCCGTCTCGGCCTCCAAAGTGCGGTTACAGGCTTGAGCCACTGGCGCCCGCCATTTTCATTATTTTCTAGGCCATTTAAAAAAAAGAAATACTAATCGGTATCGTATTCGCTATCCTATCGGTATGCTATCTATCCTGTCTGCATCACAACACACATCACACACACAGCACACACGAGCACACCCACACACACACACCACACTATGTATTTTAAACTAGCTTTCTCTTTAACTAGAATATTGGTAACCATGTTTCTACATCAACAAATCTTCCCCTACAACCTCATCTTCGTAGCTTCCAGGCCTCATTATTCCCAGCAGTGCCATTTTCACAGTCAGTATCTGCTTCAAGCTCAGACATAGTTCTAGTTAACTGCAATGGCCTTCAAAGAGCTCTGGTGTTTCTTCACAGCAAGGCATGTTTCTTTTGCCGCCTCCTGCTCCTGCCAATTATTTGATGAAATTTGGAGGATAAAAGTTTACAGAAAGATGCATAGAGGAGTTAATGGGAAGCAGTCATTGTAATTATGTTATGAGGTAACAAGCGAGATTTAAGGTGTCCACACATGAGACTGCCACAGAGAGCTGTGTGGGCAAGATGCTAGGGTGTCTGGCTGAGGGATTGGAAGTGGGGTTGAAATCCCACCTGCACTCTGCTGGCCAAGTGTGGTACTGCACCCCTCTGGAGGCAGGGACATTCATTACAGTTTGCACAAAGACACTAGGGACAGTGGGGCTGTGGTTCACGCAGGAGAGGCAGTTGTTAGACTGGCCTGATTCTTAAGGGCTACCAAGTAGGTGGCATTTTCCCATTTCATAGGACGAAATCTGCAGTGCACAGCAACCTGCTACAACAGCAAGAATGACTTTTCATCTGTTCAAAAGCAACTCAAGGGAGTAAGAAAGTGTTCACAGCTATGGCTGGCATGCTAAGGAATTCATAGAGTCGGAAACTGAGAAAAGACAAGGAAAGGAAAGATAAAAGTAATAAAAACGAAAGAGAGGTAAACGGGGGTGGGATGGAGGATAGGCCTGGCAGAAGATTCTTTTAATGGTCCCGATGGTATGGCTGCTGAAGACTGGTGATGTCAGTAACACCAAGAAAGGCAGGAATGAAAGGTACTTCATGGCAGCCTAAATCACCAATACCATGTTGAGAAGGGTGATGAGATTAAGGGTAAATAGAAGAAATTTTTAAGTCAGAGGAAATTTAGGGGTGTCTAGAAGAGAAAATACAGTAGTATCACCCCAGAACAAAAGAACAACCTCTCCTTAAATTCGAAGCTACCTGGCTCCCCTTAGAAACTAAGTCCTCTGCACTTTCAGTGAGCACACATACCTTAAACAAGGAGGAGAACACATGAAATGTATACACAGCACAGGAGCCGTCTGAGTCGCACATAAGCTGGTTGATGTGGCTGCGCCAGGCCTCCTCGGCATCGTCGCAGGCTGTGGGCTGAAAGGCGGCAAGGATGGCTGAGAAGAAGGGCGAGGGAGGGGGAGAGACTCCCCTGTCACCTTCTCCAAAGCTGGAAAAAATGAAAATGACTATGTCAAGAAGTGATGTCCTTCTCATCCTATACCGGGTTTTATAAATTCTCACCCTGAGAGTCAGCAAAATGTGGTAGCTATTCTACCCCCTCTTCCTTTTGAAGTTGCTTTGGGGTCTTGGCTTTCACTCAGCAGTCACTGCGATTCTTTTTGGTGTGTTTGTTTGTTTTGAGTCTCGCTCTGTCGCCCAGGCTGGAGTGCAGTCGCGTGATCTCGGCTCACTGCAACTTCTGCCTCGCGGGTTCGAGCAATTCTCGTGCCCCAGTCACCAGAGTAGCTGGGACTACAGGCGTGTGCTACCATGACCAGCTAATTTTTGTATTTTAAGTAGAGACAGTGTTTCACCATATTGGCCAGCTGGTCTTGAACTCCTGGCCTCAAGCGATCCACCCAGCTGGGCCTCCCAAAGTGGTAGGATTACAGGTGTGAGCCACCACACCTGGCAAGAGGTCACTGAGATTCTTTCATGATTCGAGGAAATAGAATTTGCACCTCTAGAATTTCTGTGATTCCTCCATTTCTGATTCCCTTTCTATAGACTTGGTACCTCTTTTAGCCTTCAGCAATGCCTCTCACTTTCACAGAGGCCATGCCCCAAAGTAAACCACAGTCCTATGCTTTGGCAGTTTCATTCTTCATTTTTCATTATGAAAAATTATATAAATTTTGAATCTTCTAATTTTTCCTTTCTGGAGGGAGAGTATTAATAAATGCATATGCACAATGCCTGGAAGACAAAGGTGGAGGGAGACAAGGAAACCAGAGATACGTAGGGAAAGAGAGACAGAGAGGCAGGAAGAAAGAAGAGATAATGAATCAAAAATGAAAGGTCAAATTCTTCTCTAGGTATCACCTTAACCTTTTCCTTTGATGGACAGACATTGCTTACTGTAACAGAAGGCCTTTGTCTAGCATATCAGAAGCTTTTACTTAGTTCTTATTTTCAACTTTCAGAAGAGTAATTTTAGGATCTCAACTTTCTTCTCCTGAAGTAGATCTGTAGCATTACTATTTGTGATTTATTCTAGATGCTGGATTAGTCTAACCTCTGATGTTTTTATCTATTTCTCTTCACATTTTTTTTTCTGTTTCTATATCTCACTAGTCTCAGAAATATCAGCCACCAGGCCAAAAGACACCCACTTAAAGAGTAGGTATTTACTGTATAAAGAGCCTCTTGTTCCAGTGTTTTAACTCCACATGGAAAGAGCTTATTTCCAAGGCTTGCCAAGTCTTGCTTATCTTCAAAGCTTCCAAGGTCTGGACCATGTTCCCAGGCTCTTCCTTTGCTTTTCATGTTGCTTTCTGGCCTTATGAATTCATATGTAAGTGTCCCTTCTTCATTCTGCATGAGGCCCTATAATGGGACTGGATGACTCTAACTCAGCTGAGAGCCCGCCGTGATATATGTCACTTTGAACTCCTTCATTAGGATGTCCCAGCAGTGCACGGGTGACATTTAACTTGAGTGTGAATGCCACACAATGTACCATGCACATTCACACCACTCACATCAGCCAAGGGCTCCATTACCTCGCCAGGGTAAACTGGTCCAGCGCCCGATTGCCTTTTTCTTCCCCCTCAGTCATGTCCAGGCTAAAGCTGTCGCTGCATTCAAAAGCTGCTGGAAGTTCATTGATAGAACTAGAAAGATCATCCTCATGCACAGTGGTGTCCTCCTCCTCACGAACAGCTTCACCCTGGAAGAATTAAAAGACGAAAGAATCCCCCAATGTGTAAGAATACATACAGGACAACCTGTTCAACTAAGGAACAAATAAGAGAGACCGAAATGCTGATGGTGATAGAAATGGGGACATTTGTTTTCTAGCTACAGTATAGTCTGTTTCTAGGCTGGACTCAGGAATTCTCTGAAGTACTGTTCATTCTTTATCTTCTTTTCAATCTCTTTCATAACAGTCCCCAAAGGGGCTCCCAGTAGATTTTCATACTTGGCCCATGCTTACAGGGTATGAACGCTCAACTTGGAAAAGACCATCAAGACCTCCAGTCCAACTTCCACATTTTGCAGATGAGGAAACAATGCTCCATGTGGGAAAGGGACTTGTCTAATATCAGGTCCAAAATCAGAGTTGGAGCTGGGACAAGAAACACTGCGTTAGGATTCAGAACTCCTTTCATTGTCCAAACCCAGCCTTCTAAAGCAAGCCTATCCAGAGTTAATTCTCTAATATAGAACCCCTTTACCAATGGAATGTAGAATCATCAGGGCCTGGCACAGTAGATGCCCAGGATACCTGTGGTGTGCACAAGTGATCCAGAGTCCTTCCCTAAGCCTGCTGGGTTGCTCGGTCTTTCCATATAGGGGATGCTCTAAGATCCATTTGCATGTATGCTTTACCCTTGAGAATACCCCCTAAAGATAACAGATATGAGTATCTGCTCTTACCTGACTACAAAATGTGGAATGAACAGTACAATGAAAGGGCTCTAGGGCGGGCAGAACCAGGATCAGTGAGAGGCAGGAAAGAGACATAGCAAGTAAAATGGAAAAAGAGGTTGGGTTTGGGCCTGGGCCAGGGGAAAAAGGAGGACTGATTGTTCTTTAGGAGAGGAAGGAAGGCAACTGGATTACAGATCAGAAGGGGGAGGAAGAAAGATGTACATGTTACAGTGAGTCATTTTCTTAAAACAAAACAAAAGCAAGGCAAAATAGAAGTGTATATGAATTAGAGCTTTATCTCGAGTTAACATCTGTTCACTCATTCAGTGTGTAAATACATATATAAAAAATATATATTATACTTCGACTCTAGAATTAATAGGGAAAATTATCAGGAATGGTAAAAATATATTAGGGAAATAAGATATCTCATGTCTTTGGAGGAATTGCTGGTAAATACTGAGTTTGAGATGTTGATCCATATCTGCTTTTTAAAACTACAGTGCTGCCAACGAGGCTGGCCACTGGTTCCTGGTCTAGGTTATTAGTGTACATACATTTAATCCATTAGAGAACGGATGAGTTCTTATTAAAATACCTTTTATTTTCTCTAATATCATAGATATATCAAACATTGCAGAAATGCAACTTATGTGAAAAACAGGGATAGCTCTTCAGAAATGGGACTTGATTTTTCCTTGATAGGATGAGATCTATTACTTAGGTATTACTTTTATTTTTTTCTTTTTTTTGAGACTGAGTCTCGCTCTGTTGCCCAGGCTGGAGTGCAGTGGTGTGATCTCAGCTACCTGCAACCTCCACCTCCTGGGTTCAAGCAATTCTCTGCCTCAACCTCCTGAGTAGCTGGGATTATAGGCACCCGCCACCAAGCCCAGCTAATTTTTTTGTATTTTTAGTAGAGACAGGGTTTTACCATCTTGGCCAGGCTGGTCTTGAACTCCTGACCTCGTGATCCACCCACCTCGGCCTCCCAAAGTGCTGAGATTACAGGTGTGAGCCAAAGCGCCTGGCCTTAAGTAGTACTTTCTATGAGAAATCTATATGTTTTTAGCATTCAGAATAGAAAAGTGGAGAAAATGACCATATTGACATTGACAAATATCAAATGCTAATAACTTCACGTATACTTTGTTATGTTTTTTCTATGGAATTTAATTTCATAATCTTAGAATTTTAACTTAGACAACTTTTCTTTCTGGGCTTTTTTTTTTTTCTTTTGGCTAAAAAAGAACTCTGCTAATTCCAAGAATCCTGATTGTAGTACCTTTGCAACGAAGCAATTTGAGAAATAATTACTATTTAAGCTTCAATATTTTTAGGTAATTATAATTTGGTGATTGCCCTTGGTTTAAAGCACATAGATTTTCCTAGATTTCTGATCTATTTTTACTATACTATCAGAGAATATAGAATAGCCAATATTATATTTTTCCATTAGAAGTGTCGGAAGGAATATACTTTTATAAATTTTTTTTCAATTTTATTTTTTCTTTTGAACTTGCACAACTGTAACCAAACTCATGATCGAGAGTGCTTGACTCTATCTTAACAGCAATTGATTATTTTGGTATTTCTACTAAAAGGAAACACAGTTCTATACTGATGGGCATAGATGTGGGCAAAGCATGCAAGTGGATGGTTTTCAGGACATTTTAATAAAATAAACTTTAAATGAAATACACACTGTTAGATTTTTTTAAATTAAGAAAATTACATCTATTAGTTACTTTTCTCCTCACAGACTCTGGAGAGAAGAGTTTTGTGCGAATCTGGCATAAGACTGTGATCGACATTAAAAATTCTGATAGTATGCCAAAAGGCAAGCACTGAATCAATGTACAAATTGTATAATTGTTTCCTACATAGGAAAAAATTTCCCCAAATACGTGCATACACCCACACTTCACTTAGTATATTGTTTTATAAAATTCATGACAACGACCAGCAGTTTCTCAGTCACAGCGATCTCAGACATACACCACTGGTTTTGCCATCCACCAGCAGTGTTCATGCAAAATGTCTCATTTTAGAAAGACCTCAAATCAAGTCTTTCAGCCAAGAAGAAGATGGCTGCTCAAGTTTGTGGGGGTAAAACAACTTCAAAACATAGGCTCAGGTGTACAAACTTCTATTATTTTAAAAAAGAGAGAAAGAAAAAGATAAAGATAGTCTTTCTACTTGAGACCCCTTAAGAATTCTCAGAAAATTTGAAGTGCTTTTTTTTTATAAAGTGTTTTAAGGGAAGTATAAATCATCATTGTTAAAATCTCTTCACCTTTGAACCCTCAGAAATCTGCAGATTATTCATATCAGGCAAGGAAGCATCAAAGCTGGACATTCTGGTGTTAAAGGAATGAGGGTCTGCAGGGGTTGAGTCACAGGCTGTGGTGAGCAGCTCCATGGGATTTGTCTCTTCAGAGGGGGAGAGAGTCATGATCTGTTTAAAACACAAAGGAAATTAAACATAGTGTGAAGTTCTCTTTCTTTAAAAGCTCCAATTCTCTAGTTGTTGGTTAATACGTCTTAAGTTTTAAACTTCCACATTTCACCATTTTTGGACCTTAAACATAGCAGTTAGTAATCCAGGCATTTTCAGATAATCACATCAAAACGTCTGTCATATCTCCACACTTTAGAGATCTGGGGAATTTTTAACAAGAGTCCAGAATCATAAAAGTATTTGTGAAAAATCTAGGCCTTAACAGATCTGGTGGCTTTCAGGGTGAATCACATGGACCCCAGTCTTTGTTTCCATCTGCCACCTACAGAGAAGACTTTGCCAGTTAGAACCCATTAGACACCACCTGACAGTTCCGATTTTAGTTCAGCAGCTGTGGAAAGTTTCCTTGGCTGCAACTGGAAACTAGACTCCTGCATTAGTTACAAAAAATAAGCCTCCCAATTCCTAGAGTGGGAGAGCTGCTACTTACTAGGTCTGAGTGCTCCAGGATCTGGCTGGCTGTGAGGTCCTCCTCCTCAGATGACTCATCGGAGTCCTCATGGTTCATTTTATTCAGGCTGGGAGTGCTTCCTGACAGTTGGCGCTCCTCCAGAATCTGCATATCACACTTGTCCAGGCTGTCCAGAGAACGTCTGCGCACTCCCCAGTTGAAATTGTCCATACTCTCACCCTGAAATCACACCATCAGCCAGTTTTTTTTTTTTTATGCCAAAATCCTCTTGCACGCACATGTTCACACATTCAATTAGTCACAGCTTAGGAACAAATATGGTCATTATTAACTCTCAGGCCCTCATCTACTTTGGTATCAAAACTCTTGTTTACCCGATGTGAAAAGGAGTAAAAGCACACTATTTTCATGTAAACTCATGTGAAGTCATAGGTAGAAGTGATGACATACTTTGGCATGGTGGGTAATAATTACATTTTTTAAAAAGTTGATTTTGGTAAACACTACCAATGATCTGTTTTCAAAAATCTGTAGGAAAGAGACCATTAGTATGAAAACTTCAAAAGAGGTGTCACCCACTCCCACCACCCTGAGGTCAGCCCCTGTTTAGTACTGTTTTCAGAAGGAGAAAAATGTAGGAGCTATGCTTGTAGCACATTCCAGAATCCTTTGGGTATTTAGTGGAAGAGCATTAGGTAAACATTCCAGCCTATTTCTGCCACAGCGGTTTTCACAGACACAATGCAGAGTTAAAGACTATCAGAGCAGCTGGGCAAAGTCTGATGGATCATGCACTATGCAGAGGCCAGAGCGGCAACACCTTAACTTTTGCTTTAGGTTATTCTTTAAATAATTGTCGCAGTGTAGAAAATTGTTAATTTCCTGGACTCGGTACCAAATATTATTATTATTATTATTATTTGAGATGGAGTCTCGCACTGTCGCCTGGGCTGGAGAGCAACAGCACCATCTCGGCTCACTGTAACCTCTACCTCCCAGGTTCACACCATTCTCCTGCCTCAGCCTCCTGAGTAGCTGGGATTACAGGCACGTGCCACCACACCCGGATAATTTTCTGTATTTTTAGTAGAGACAGCTTCACTGTGTTGGCCAAACTGGTCTTGATTACCTGACCTCGTGATCCACTCACCCCGGCCTCCCAAAGTGCTGAGATTACAGGCGTGAGCCACCGCGCCCGGCCTATTACTGTTTTTTTTTACTTCTTTTGAGACAGTCTTGCTGTCGCCCAGGCTGGAGTGGTGCAGTGGTGTGATCTCAGCTCGCTGCAACCTCCACCTTCCAGGTTCCACGTGAGGCTAATTTTTTGTATTTTTAGTAGAGACTGGGTTTTTGCCATGTTGCCAGGCTGGTCTCGAACTCCTGACCTCAAGTGATCCACCCGCCTTGGCCTCCCAATGTGCTGAGATTACAGGCTTGAGCCACTGCACCTGGCCTCAAATAATAATGTTGATTTGTATATTTTGAATTACTGAGAACTAGCTTAAGTGGCCATGTAAGTGTTAAAGAAAGCTTTTAGTTGCATTCAGACTTTCTCTACAAACCATCAGTTATTAAACAAGTGTATTTGATAACATAACTTTTCTTTTTTTTAGAAATGGATTTGGGTTTTATTTTTCTCTCTGTTAAGACAGAAATAAAGGAAGAAAAATATTACTCAGCTGACTGAGCAAATTTTAACCTAAACAAATGATCTGGGAAAATCTAGCACAGAACCTTTTCATTTACTGGTAATTTGAAACACTGCCTGATAGTTCATTGAAATAAAATAAAATAACTTTTTCTGATGAGAGCTCAGTGAACAACATACTATGAGAGATGTGAGTTACTGTTAAACTTATGAGCATTATGATTTATTGATTTCCCTCTGTTTTAAGGGTCGTGTCTGTCTCCTAGCGAAACAAGCTTGCCATTCTCACAGATCTGTCATATAACAGAGGTGTAGCTTTTCCAAAGTCTGCTTGGGCTATTCATGGTAGAAGGCAAGAGGTACAAATCCTAAGCACAATCTGGATAAGATATAGAAATTATCATTATTTATCCTCACATATGATATTTATGATTGCTCTTAGGGCTGTTTGATTATAAAAGAGAATGCAGACTCAGAATATTGTTTCTAACATCCAGTATCTGCTGTGCTAAATTACCACCACATAATTTTTTCTTTTTTTCTGATGGAAAATGGCTAACTGTTATACTGGGATTTTAAAAATAGCCATTGCAGTGAGAAAATAAAAAAATATATATATGAAAGAGGCAAAAGTTCTGGGAAGAAAAAGGAAAACCCAATGTGTAAAGAGAGGAAAAAAATACAGAAAAATCAGAATACTAACTATACAGAGTAAAAAGAGAAGAATGTGAAAATTATAGGGAAAAATATACAAACACAAATTCACAAAACTGACTCTCTTGTGCCAAATGACTGGAAGGGTTGGATGAACTATCTTAGGCTGCGATTCTGGAGGTCTCCCACACTGCACCTGAGACAGAACCACGAGCTTGCAGAGGAATACAGACATCCAGGTGGGAGAACGCTACACCAGGCACAGGTCACTGCTAGTGCTGGTTTGGTGGCAGCTCTGGTGAAGACCTGAACCAATCAGGTGTGAAAATAGGAAGGCAAGGAAAGCTGTTCTTGCAGGAATAAGGTTTGGCTGTCTTGCTGGAGGATGTAGCATCTCCATTAGAGGTAAGGGTGTTGAAATGGTTCCCCTGGTGGTGGCTGAGAGGTTGAGATGGAACAGTGTTGCAGTCTGGCCCTGGTTAAAGTCCATGGTGATTAAAACTCAACCAGGCTTTCTCAGCATGGCCCTAGTGGGAGACCCACCCTCCATCCTTCCTCTCCCCCAAACGTCAGATTTGTATTTTATGTTACATACAAAGTGAAAAGTCAAAACCGTTTCCTACATGTGAGAAAATGCAGAGGATGGCTAGTCCAGATGAACGCTCTGTATATGTCAGTTATCAAACTTAAAAACCACTCAGAATTTATACTGAGATGGGAAAGTATTAATGATTAAACATTCTAGAAATGTTAGAAGTACTATTTTTTGACACATATTTTTTCATATTGGAACTCTGTCAAACAAGAATTATTGTTGAAGAAATTTGGGTACACTGTGGTCAAAATATACTCCCCCAAATGTTCTACTTAGAGTAAGTCTGATATACATAGATAGAGACCGATCATAGGCCACTTTGTCCAGGATGATCCCGGTTTTAATGCCTATTGTTTGGGCATAAATATTATTAGTACCCCCTTTTACTCTCAAAAGGGCCCTGGTTCGGATGAAAAGTTATCTAGTCACTACACAGAGATAGAGATAGCCTTTAATTCCTGGGGGAAAAAGATTCAATTGAAAGTATATATGGTATATGGTTAGATGCAAATCGTTAATTTCACTTTTTTTTCTGAGACAGAGTCTTGCTCTGTTGCCCAGGCTGGAATGCAGTGGTGTGATCTTGGCTCATTGCAACCTCTGCCTCTTGGGTTCAAGGGATTCTCCTGCCTCAGCCTCCTGAGTAGCTGGGATTATAGGTGTGCACTTCCAGGCGTGGCTAAATTTTGTATTTTTAGTAGAGACAGGGTTTTGCCATGTTGGCTAGGCTGGTCTTGAACTCCTGACCTCAAGTGATCTGGCACCTTGGCCTCCCAAAATGCCGTGATTACAGGTGGGAGCCTTCACACCCGCCGATTTCAGTTTTAATACAAGAATTTAACAATAAAACCCATCCAGTTGTGCAATCACTTAATGAGAAATAATAGGATTGCCATAGATCAGATTTGAAAACTCCACTTCTCTGAGATATAATCATGCAACTTTCAGAACTAGGCATATAAAGGTTTTAAAAATGTATTTACATTTTAGAAAACATTTCCATACTAGAGCAGCCAAGAAAAATACCTCTTATATCACACACCTAAATGGAAATATGCACGCAAATAAGCATATATATTCTGGAAGGGAGGAAAAAAGCAATTATGTTGTTATAAATCTGCAAAGATGCAAAACATCTACTAGCATATTTGAATTAAAAACAGTATCATCTTACCTGAAGTTCCTGGGTAGCAGATTGAATGAACAGAAAAACAAACAAAAGGTCTATTTACAATGATTATATTAAAGATACTTAAGAACATTTCTCTTAGTGTTAACACAACATTAACTAAGAGTGCTAACAATATACACTTCAGTAGGTGCACCTTAAAAAAAAAGGTAAATATACACTAACTGCAAAGAGAAAAATCAACATGAAACATCAGAAATTCCAAATCCCTTAGCTGTGGATGATAGAGCTGGGACAACAAATCATTACTACAATTTCTGAAATAACTTTCTACCTCTGTGACAATTTTGGTCTCCTCAACACTTTTTTTTTTTTTTGAATACCTAAATATGTATTTGTGAAAAAACTGTTAATTGTTATGGGAACACGAATGAGGGTCATCAACTGGAAATAAAGGTGGCATCACCTGAGCCTGTTCACGAAGCTAAAAGTGTTTGTGATCATGATGCTTACTGCTGATATGCAATTAATAGCAAAGACACAACACCTTTTAAAGATTTTAAGAAGTTCAAGGGCAAACTCTTGTAGATATCACTTAGTAAATTCTGAGACCAATGAAAAGGAATAGATATGACAAAATGACTTGTCTTTTTTTGACAACTGTGTTTTGATCTAAAAGCCAAGTACGCCTAATTTTATCAGATGAGGATACACTAAAATTATTCACTAATGACAATACAAGGAGACTAACATTTGCAATGCCAACTAAATGCCTGACACTTTGCTAGACATTATACATAGGTTATTTTATTTAATCCTCATGTCAGCTCTACAGGCAGGTAGAGGTTGAATATGCCTTATTCAAAATGCTTGGGACCAGAGGTATTTTGGATTTCAGATTTTTAAAAAATTTTGAAATATGTGCATGTACATAATGAGATATCTTGGGGATGGGACCTAAGTCTAAACATGAAATTTGTTTATGTTTCACATACACCTTAAATACATAGTCTGAAGATAATTTTATACAATTTTAAAATAATTTTGTGCATGAAACAAAGTTTTGACTGCATTTTGACTATGACCTGTAACGTAAGGTCAGTTGTAGAATCTTTCACTTGTGATGTGTTAGCGTTCAAAAAGTTTAGAATTTTGGAGGATTTCAGATTTTGAATTTTCAGATGAGGAATGCTCAACTTGTATTCTTATACCTACTTAATAGACAAAGAAGTGGAAAGCAAGAGGAATTGCATCCATGCTTAAGTCATACAGCTAAGGTCAGTGGCAGAGGTGAAATTCAAACCTGGAGCTGTTGGACTCTGAAGTCCAGGCATCTTCACTCTTCTACTCCAAGAATGCTAGAATCCCTTACTGTGATTTTATTGGGAAGTAACAAAACATTCTCAAATGCCTTATTTTATTTGGATAAAATGTACACTCTCAGCCCCGTGAATTTCTTCTTCTAATTATTATTATTATTATTTTTTTGGACATGGGGTCTGACTCAGTCACCCAGTATGAGTGCAGTGGTGCAATCATGGCTTACTGCAGCCTGACTTCCTGGGCTCAAGCCATCCTCCCACCTCAGCCTCCCAAGTAGCTGGGACTACAGGCATGTGCTATCACCCCTGGCTAATTTTTCATTTTTTGTAGAGACAGGGTCTTGCTATGTTGCCCAGGCTGGTCTTAAACCCCTGGACACAAGTGATCCTCTAGCCTCAGCCTCCAAGAGTGCTGGGATTACAGGTGTCAGCCACTGTGCCTAGCCAGTTTCTTATAAAATCTTAACAATGAAAGATACAATAATCACTGTGATTTTTTAGTTATTGCAGTCTAGGACAATACAGAGAAGACTAGAAAAAAGGTGTAGTATTCCTTACTTCTTGTCCCTGAAAAACATTAGTATAATATTTATTTTTAAGTAATAGGCATCCCATATTTTCCCTTCCTTTATTTTGATAGAAACTAAATTGATGAGCTGTTCTGAAATTGTGTCGGATGCCTTCGCCTTACATCATTCCTGCTAGGTCGTTTCACATAACATTTTTCTGTGGCTGAGACAGGAAATGATCCCTCTCTTGCTTCATCTGTTTTTTTCCCTCCCTTGTGTAACTTCCAGAGGGAAACAGGTGTCCAAGCTTGAATTTTAACCGAAGAGCAAACATTAGGTCAGCTGTCAGATCAGGGAGCTGCTCTTTTGACACTAGCTGAACTCTCAGCTCTGGCTCAGAGACATTTTTGAAAGTATTCAAAACAGTTGTATTTTGCTTTAGACTTTTAAAACAATCCTCACTGCATTCAGCGAATGCTTTCTCTATCATTTATTATGGATCATAAAAACTTGCAATACTTTTTATTGGTTCTTAAGCAATTCAAGAACCAATGCCAGAAAATTAAGCTGGCAGTTATTTTAAGGATGCATTATAGTAGTGCCTTTATGCTGCTTAAGGACTGGGTTTGCTAAACTTGTTCTCCAGGGAAAGAATTGGTGAACACCTTCTTTATCCTGAGGACACGGTTCTCTCCTGCTGGGACAGACATCCAGGGTTATCAGTGGACCAGGAAGGACAAAAGCAAAGGGCTCTTTGGCTTCAATTAGACATAAGCGGGTTGGTCAGTAATAAAATCCTTTAGGGAAGGTAAGAAGCTACTTGAAGCATTTTTTCCCACAAATCTGTAGTTAAGTAAGGAGGTGCCTACCTAATGCAGGAAATCCTAAACTTGGGATCTGGGCCTGTCTTCTCAATTGTAAGACTAGCAGACAGCTGTTTGGGAAATCTGGTGCAGTTAAACATGAGCTGACAACACCATGAGCCAGATTCCGAACCAGGCACCTTTACGTCATCCAATCTCACTTAAGTGAACTGAGTTTTGATCCCAAGAGGCAAAAGACTGCCTCTCAGGTGAAACATGCCTCTAAGTTACTGAAATGAAGGTGACCGAGAGGTGATGCTCCTCCTCTCAATACCTGTTTTCAAAAAAATGATTCATAGCTGAAAGTATCTTATGATCATGATTATCATCCAAAATAAACGAATCTGCATTTGCCCATTGAGACTTGAATTCGGCTACTCCAGTGTCTAGAACACCAGCCACCGACCTAAGCAGAGCAAAGAGCTCTCTCGTGTGCATTGTATTTTGTTTCCAGTTCTAATGATTTCATCAAGCACAAAAATGTTGGATCCCTCAGGCTCTGGTCTCATGTTGTAGCAGGCAAGCTTTGAAGGAATTGAATTAGAGAAACTTCACATTAGAAATGATTAAATGCTTAGCATATTTTACTCAGGTACCAGTGAATAGGCTCAGAACTGAAATGCTTTTTGTGATTTTTTTTTTAAAGTCCAGCTTGGGACTACACACACACATACAGGCTTTGTGTGGTCATTAAAACTCAGGTCTTTGCCACTTAGAAATAACTTGGCAGCATTTGCCGTGGGCTCAGACAGGAAGGGTGTGGTAACTTTTGCCAAAGTTTAGCTGCTGTACTTTGAATACGTTGATTCAAAATAAAGTTTACAACTTTCCAATTAAAGATCTTGGTACAAAAACTCATTATTTAGCAGGTAAAAAGAACAGTTTCATTAGTCAAGGAAAAGGGTGCGGGGATTATTTGTACAGAGGATACACCGTACCTCTCCATCCTCCAGCTCCACATCTAGGAAGTCGAAGTCTCTGAAGACTCTGAACTGCTGCTCGCTGTTTGTGTCATCCATGTTCTCCTGCTCCCGGGCACCGTCCTCAGAAGACACCAAGCTTGTCTGGTGCTCAAGCAGATCCAGATCTCCACACGATGAAAAAATCACCTGCGAATCAAGAGTCCTCTCCTGAGAAACGTTCTCCCTTTGGTTGTTTGTGCTACGAAAAATTGTAATTGGCTCTTCATAGCACTGTATTTCCAGTACACACCTAATTCCTTCAGTGGGTATTTTTAGAATGTTCTTTTATTATTTATGTTGGACAGGTGCCTTCAGATTAAACTCGTGGCAAAGACGCAAGTTCATGCACCAGGAAAATGTTCAAGAATCACACTCGTTGCTTCTTAATGGATGAAGACTGTATACTACCTGTGTGTGTGTGTGTGTGTGTGTGTCGTTGTGTGGTGTGTGTGTGGTGTAAACTGGAGAGCAGCCAGGGAAAAAGTTCCACTGTTTCTAAATCTGGATTAGGGTTGAATTAATACACATTTACACATCATTATCAAATACATACAAAATAGATATTTTAAGGACTGATACTTAGGATTAACGTTATTGGTGAATGAACTGTGAGAACAAAGGATTTAACCCTTTTAGGATAACCAAGCAAATTGATAAGAATTAAAAAAAGAAGCCAAAATTACAATATGTCCACAGAGAGTAGGCGAGTAATCCAAACAGGCCCATACTTTATACTTAAATTTCCTCTCCTGTCATTTAAACCAAAAATAACATTTATTATTATAAAATTCTTTGTATGTTAATGTTTTAAAATTAAACTTCTATGTTGTAGTTCTTTTCCCTGAGCCATTTTTGTAGAGTTGCGTAATTATATATAAACTGTAATGGAAGTATGAGAGTAATGTTTTGCCTATCCAGCCTCTACTGACATAAGTTGATATTAAAGAAATCTAATAGGTATTGTATTGTATAACATTATCATGTGTTCTTAGTTGTCCTTGAAAAGTAGGCAATTCATTTATAAAGAATTAAATACAATCACATCTCTCAAAAGTAAAAAGAGGTGAAATGGGATTTCAAGTTGTATTTCTCCTCTAGTGTTTAAGGAATTAGTCTATAAATGAACGGACTATCCTCTCATAATAGCACCTGACACAGAGTTTTACACAGGGATTGCAAATGGGTATGTGAGATAAAGAGCCCTGAGGACTAGTCAACTAGTCAGTGAGAGACGAGACATGAGATTTCTGATTTCCTCAGCTGAAGGCTGTCTTTCCTAGTTAGTGCTGCTTCTCTTATTTGTAATGTACTCCAGGTAAATATTTCTAGCTGAAAAGGTCTTAGCACAGGGCAGACAGTATGAGTCTGAAAGAGAAAGTGCCAACCACAATGGCGATTACAAGTAGGCCTTATTGGCAGTGCTGCATTGCAGAGGCAAAACATACTTGTGTCTCTTCCCTGTAGGCTAGGAGGCTCTATCTGCCTCTGCTACTGTCCCCTCTGTCCTAAATACTGTCACAGGAGCAGCAGAAAAACCACTGATCAATAACACCAAAAAAGTGACTAAAATGGAGGCCCAGCTTAGCTGATGGCTGGCTGGTGTGCTTTCTCAGATGATAAGAAATACCACTTTGTACTTTAGCAAGTATTTATGAGCTTCTAATATTTCACCTGCTCATGAACTATGTGAGTGGATCCATTTTGAAATTTAAAAATAGCTCCACCGAGAAATGTGTTTACTAATTCTTTAGTTGAGAAATTATTCAGTTTGCTATTTCTTTTTCATAAATATAAATATTCTGTGATACAGGTGAAACAAAAATACCTGGTGAAACCAGCAGACACGTCTATTGTTTTTGTTATACTCCCATATACAATTCAAATTTTTCTAAATTTTATAAAAGCTTCCAAAGTTTACTTATAATACTTCAATCGTCCATTCATTCAAAAGCTTGATGGCATGATTTTTATTTTTAGTTTTTTTATTGTAACATCAGTGGAAGTTTATATGCAAAGACACATATTATTTTCATCTTTATTGTATGTGGGTAAGATAAGGACATCAGAGTAAGAAGTGTGTGTACAGAGAGTAAAATTATATCCAAGAGGTATGAGCATATATGCCATACATGGTGATCAGTAGAGATTATCATTTATGTTCTAAGAAAGTTTGGGCACATTTATTAAAAAATCCAAGAAATTAAAAAAATGAAAAGCAACACTATTCACAGACAAACGAGTGAACAGCCAATAAGATCTTTCATTGTTTCTGAACTTAGTGTGATTAAAAATCATGGTGTGGGGAGAAATAGTCCAGGGGTTTGCTCAAGACGGTGGCTATCATACTTGTCATTCACAGTTGAATCCTCTAAATTATATGACCAAAGGCAAAAACAGACCAATGAAAAAGGAGACATGACACGAAAATAACTATGATACATGACAGAACTTACTGATGGATTTTTGCTCAATCCTACTTCTTGGCCACACAGAGAAAGGACATGCACCAACTTCTCTTTTGTTCTCTTCTGGAAAAGAAACACAAGCAGGTTTCATTATGGGGTCCTGTGAGCAAATCTGCTCTAATTTTCTAGCCACTAGTCCTACAGGGTAATAGCACTTGACATATAGACAGAACCGAGATGTCAAACACACAAAGGTATGAAACAAGAACATAAATAGCAATTAAAACGTGTAAAATATTGAAACCATGTTGAAATAATATTTCAAATATAGTAGGTTAGGTAACATTTATTATTAAAATTAATTTGGCCTGTTTTTCCTTTTTTTTTTTTTTTTTAAAGGTAACTGTTAGACAAGGTAAAATGAAGCTCACATTATGTTTCTGCTGCACAGTGGTGATCTAAATTATCCCAAGGGGTGTATATGTGTGTGTATGTGAAAATCAATCCCTAGGTTCTTCAAGGAGATCTATCACTTCCTTTGATCATCTTTTCTTATGATGTTAAACTTTCAGTACTAGCAAGGCTTTCCTTATACTTTATTAAGTTACAGCATGAGTCTCTTTTTTCCAAATAGAAGAATAGTTTCTGTAGAAAGAAAAAATTCATTCGTTTTAAGCTATATCAAATCTTTCTTAGTTTCTTCTTCCTAAAGTTAAACAGATTCAGTTCCTTTCCTTCATAAACCTATTTTCCAGCCCCTTAACCATAGGGATTCTTCTATAAACCATTACATTTTTCCAGTGACAGAAAACCCAGGTCTCAGAATGATTGGTGAGTTGAGAATTTTTAAAGCAATCTTCCTAATCTCTTTAAAATGATTCTCCCCCCTTTAATCTGATTTACAGTTTGTTATGTGGAAACTGCTAGGAGGCCAATGCCACTCTTAGATTTTTCTTCTTACCGGAACTCAATTCACTGCATCCTTCTTTCCAAATTATAGAGGGGACAGACACTCAATATGGTGTCTGCTCAAGGTCAGAGACAGGAGGACTTTGAGGCTGAGGGATGGCAGAAGACTCGCTAAACGATTTTCCTAAGTCTTAGTGGTCATTTTACAATTCTGGGAAGGAATCAATGTAGAGGGACACATTGGGCTGTATATTTTTCTTCTCTCTTCCAATGAAGTTTTCAGCTGAACACTCACGGAGAAACTGCTCTGTTGCAGCCAGCACTATGGTACATGTTCCATTCCCCAACCTTTAAGAGAGAAGGTGAGTCCTCCCGGGCACCCACTTTGTCCCTCCCAGCACCCACTTCACCTTTTTCTGGTAACACTGTCTCTCTTTTTATCTCGGAAAGGCTCCATTCCCACTAAGTGAGGCAATGCCTCCCGCAGATGCCCTGCAAGACTCTTTCTAGAATTGCTATGGATGTCAAAAGAGGAAAGGCCTCTATCGCTCTGAAGTCATCAGAACCAAAGATCATGTAAACCTGGAGCTGCCAGAGGTCATCTGGGCCTCCCACAGAAAAATCCTGCCTGAGAATGAAGTCAATGGAGGGGAAAACAAGGGCCAAGATGTTGGGAAGGGAAGGTGGGGACAGTGAGAAGGAGAGAGTCTAAGAATCCAGTTTCTGACATTTGTGTACTAGGAGCCAACTGTGCTTGAGGCCAAGATGAGTAAGTTAGTAAGTTCCTTTAACACATAAGGTAATTTTTCAGTGGGTTTCTGTAACAAGTCAACAGAAGACCCCTGAATAATGCAGAAGTTTTACTTGACAGGAAGCCCAAGGGCATCTCTGCTATGCTGTGATGACAGAGCTACAGAGAATCTGGCAGCAGTACCCCTGCCCCTCTGCCATCTGGATGGCTCAGCCTGTGCACAGACACTATGGTTGAGGTGCCTGTTCTGTGGACAGCAGACAGGGTGGTCTTTGGGTGTGCAGCCCTATCAACCCTTTGGGAGTCCAAGTGCTCTAGAACTGGTTGGGAGAACTAAGGATGTGTTGTTTGGACTCATTTAGGAGAGTGGCAGAATTTCTTTAAATGTCTGAAGGGCTGCCATGTCAAAGAGACCAGATTTTATTTTCTAAGTCTTGAGAGAACTAGAACCAATGGATAGAAGCAACAAAGAGTCAGACTTCAACTTAAGGTAATGAACTGTTCAAATAGAAAACGGGTTCCTTGGAATGCCACAAGACCCCATCCCGGGAAGTGCTGAGACCTATATGGGCAAGCTTGCGATGGTGAAAGGGGGAATCCCTTATGACACAGCCATATGGACTCAACAGGTCCCTAAAGTCCCTCCCAGGGCTGTGGGTCTAGGATTGCATACCTGAGAATACTGGGGCCTTTTCCAGCTCACAGGAACAAGGACGTTGGAGTTGGAGCCTGAGGAAGTGGAAGATGTGCTCCGGGTGACGGCCACGGCCCTGGGCTTCCCATCACGCCCAGAAGAATTCTGGAGCTCATCATACCGCCTCCCGATGATTGGAGTCTTGAAAAGAAGACAAAAGCACATTCTTCTGTCTCAATAGTTTTGTGATATATGAAACCCTTCTCCCCAGAAGCAACCAAGAGCTGCTTATTTGATTTAAAAGAAGATTAGAGAAGTTCAGTGTTACAAGTGGGCTCATTTTCTCAACATTCAAGCATACATTATGAATCAGTTTGCATCTTCAACATTTTCTCCCCTCTTTAGCGGCAGAAAAATGCAACTGCTTGTTCTTTAATATGCTTTAGAAGCCACTGATAAAGAGAAGCAAAATATGCAGGAAACCAAATAGTCAGTTTTCGATTGTTTAAATTTGAAAAAAATTCTTACAGTTAGAACAAGAGACCAAAATTCCTTTCCCTCTCCCAACTTTTAGTCATTAGTCTTTATATACTCTCAATTATTTAAAAATGTATTTAACTTATTTATTTCTTTTCAGTTATTCAAATGACTGAGGTCTGGGCCAGGTACTTGGGCAGCACTTGAGAAATTTCACTTTCCGAGAGCTCTGGAGTGTGGTGGCTGCATAGGCAGCAATTCACAAACTTGAGCTCTGAGCAGGTCTCCTCCGCAGACACCAGCTGATGGGCGTGACCTTGGCAGCGGCAGAAACTGTCAATTTTACACCTGGCTCCTGAGACCCATCATTCTGGAGCAGTTCTGGGTCTCTGGGGCATGCTGCTAACTGGCTGCATGTTTTTTTGTACCTCTTTGGAACACAACAAACTCAATTCGCAGAGTAAAAATAGCTTTCCCCCCAGGCAGGTTAAAAAAAAATGTGAAAATGGACCAAGATTAAATTGAAACTTTAATGTTATTTACATATTAAGCATAGATGCAGGTGTCACAATGGCAGCAAATAGTATCTCATCCTGAATACTGAAATGATGAAAGATCAGTGAGGACCACTGCATAAAAAACCCAACTTGGATATGACCTACATAATAGTGCAAGTAAGTTCCATATAAGCACACCAGGTTTCTTTCTCTGTCTCTTTTTTTTAAATATACTCTAAGTTCTAGGATACACGTGCAGAACGTGCAGGTTTGTTACACAGGTATACATGTGCCATGGTGGTTTGCTGCACGCATCAACCCATCATCTACATTAGGTATTTCTCCTAATGCTATCCCTCCCCTTGTTCCCCATCCCCCCGATAGGCTTTGGTGTGTGATGCTCCCCTCCCTGTGTCCATGTGTTCTCATTGTTCAACTCCTACTTATGAGTGAGAACATGCAGTGTTTGACACCAGGTTTATTTCTTAGTGAACTTATTCATTCAGCAGAGTTTGGAAATATTTACTAGTGATCTCCTATGCACCAGATGTTGTACCGGGCCCTAGATATAAACAGGAACAGAGTACTGTTTCTGCTTTGGGGGTTCATGAGTCATGGGGTAAGAGATGTGAAAGCAAAGTTATTTTATACCTTAGACTTCAATATAAGCCTCCCAAATGTCTGTTCATGGACTACCAGGTAAACATGACCACTTCCTGTCCTTTCTTTTCTTCCTGACTCCTTAGCTTGGGTCCCTAGTCTCTTGCTCCTCCCTCTCCCTCCCCTGCCCCCTTGAAGGCAAGAATTTAGTTTTACTTGTTTAAAAAATAGTGTGGACTGGGGAAGCAACTATAAAAGTGGAGTCTGTATTTCTGTAAACTTCGGTCATCTGCTGAATTGGCTGTCTTTCAGGGAGAAACATTGTGAATATAAAGACATGACCATTGTCAGATAAAGAATGAGTGAAGGTCATGGTTTAAAATGCTTATGATCGTTCCATTTTTAATACCTCTTTTTAAAATCATTTTTTACATAACTGAGGCTAGTTTCTATTTTTAAAAGCTGCCAACTGAGAGTCCCAGTGAATATGACACTCAATGGGTTCTTAAAAAAGCAAAACCTAATTTAGTCCTTAGAAATCTTCATTTGAAATAACTGTCAAATACATCTTCTTTTTTCCAGGCAACTACTTTTGACCTTTGCTACTACAAATTCATGCTAAAGTTCACAGAAACAGTTAACATAGCTAAGTACCTCCGAAATATCGAAGTGGAAGTCCAGGGTTTTCCCAGGTAATTCCTTGGAAGCACTAGTCCACACTCGATGTATTTCTATTTTTGAGAGGTCACTGTGCTGGTATGAAGGTAAAACAAGGCTGGCTGACCGAGAAACTACGAGCTTCAAGATATTCAGAGCTTCTCTCCAGTGAACACTCTGAAGGAAATAAAACATTCAAGGGTTAAAAATAATTTCATTTCTTTAAAGCTAATGTATGTCAGAATGACCAGTGAGAAGCCAGTGACCAGTCAGAATTCACTGACTTAAAACAGTGCAGGAGGTTCCATGATAAGTAAAAGGCAAATGACATAAAAAGACAATGTATATATAAAAGGAGCTACGTTTAGGAGACAAGCAAATAAAAAAAGACCAATTTCATCCATTTCAGTTAAATTAAATTCTTATTAATGAGGTACCATTATTGGTAATGAGGCACCTCCTTAATTTGAGGAAAAAAAAAAAAAAAAGCTCCCAATGCATTTTATGCCATCGACTGTTCAATTCACTCTTTCTGAAAGTTCTCCCCACCTCCAGTTTCCAGTCTTCTTGGTCCTCCTCCTAGTTCTCTGGCTCCTCCTGCTCCATTTGCTTCCTGGGTACCTTGATCTCTGTCTTCAGCCCTCTTTTCTTCTCACTTCTTGTCTTCCTCATTACTTAACGCAGGAATCTGGAAGCCCTTCTTAACCCTCCCTCCTGGTAATCTGTTCCCTCCACTGCATTTCTGCTGGCACTGGCTCAGTGGCACCCTCTTGGGCCTTGCCTGGACTATCTCAATGGCCCCTTACTGGTGTCCTGGCTTGCAGCCCTCAAGTTCATCAGATCCAGCTAGAGTGAACGTCCTAGAACTCTTCAGACCAAGCCACTTCCCTGACTAAACTCTTTCACAGGCTCCCTCTGGTGGACAGGGTGGAATCCACACTCTTTGAGCACGGCCTGCAGGGGTCATCTCCCCCGGCTGCTGGGTTCCCCAAACTCCGCAAGCCCTCTCAGCCTCTGTGCCTTTACTCATGGTATGCCCTCATCCTTGAATACCTTTCCCCTCCTTATTGGCATGTCAAATACCTACTCTTCATTTAAGACTAAGTTGTACCATCTTTGTTTATCTGACAACCTCCAGACTATGTGCTGCTCTCATAAAAATATTAGAAACATAGATAAATGAACTTGATAAAAGTTGTTATTATTTTTTTTTGCCTAGACTTTGCAGTCAAAGAACATGAAATAAAACATCTATTAAATTCTGCACAAGGGAAGCCATGGTTTAAATGTGAAATAAGCTACTATTTGAGGTACGATACAAAGTATCAGAGGTGGTTCCCAGGCTTAAGATAAAATGGACAGCCTCATTAAACAACAAAATGGGGCACGCGTTCGTAGAAAGGTGTGAACTGACCACCTGTCTCCTGTGAGCGAAGTGAGAAACTGTTAACTGACTGCCTGCCCCATGTGGTGTAAGTATTATGGAGCAATGCCACTTGAAAAATGATGCTTGGATGTCACTTTCAGCATTAAATAATTTCTGTAACTAATTTGGTGAAGTAAAGATGGAAAGGAATGTCTAAAATCTATACTGTATATCTTCGTCAGTGAGTTTCCAGAGAGAAACTAGCGTTTGCCCTTGAATCCTACAAGTTACCAAGTACATTCCAGAGAAGAAATAGAGGGACAAATACAATGTAGAGAAAAATATGCCTTTGCTCTGGAGCTAGGCGCTCTCCACTGAACCCCACGGTGGCCCTGCACTACTCCCATGGCCTGGAGCCTCCCTGCTTTAGTGTGTGGTTATGTGTTTCAGATGAACTTCCAGGCTTTAGAAACTTGTCCTGGTGTGTTTGATCTATCTTCCCATCTATCTGTATTCCTATCTTCCTACCTATTGTGCTGTTGGCCAGGCTGGGGTGCAGTGGTGCGATCACAGTCCAATGTAACCTCGACCTCCTGGGCTCAAGGGAAACTCTCTCCCCAGCATCCTAAGTAGCTGGGACTGTAGGTATGCACCACACCTTGCTGATTTGTTTTTATTTTTTATTTTTGTAGAGTTGGGGTGTCACTTTTGTTGCTCAGGTTGGTCTTGAACTCCTGGCCTCAAGTGATCCTCTTGCCTCAGCCTCCCAAAGTGCTGGGATTACAGGTTGAGCCACTGCGCCTGGCCTTTATATTTATTTTTATTTTCATTAAAATAAATTGTGTTTCTGGTCTTCTCGAGTACGGCTTTAAAGAATCGATCTGGGCTGGACGTGGTGGCTCATGCCTGTAATTCCAGCACTTTGGGAGACTGAGGTGGTGGATCACGAGGTCAGGAGTTCGAGACCAGCCTGGCCAATATGGTGAAACCCCGTCTCCACTAAAAATACAAAAATTAGCCAGGCGTGGTGGCACACGCCTGTAGTCCCAGCTACTTGGGAGGTTGAGGCAGAAGGATTGCTTGAACCCGGGAGGCAGAGGTTGCAGTGAGCCGAGATTGTGCCACTGCACTCCAGCCTGGACAGAGTGAGACTCGGTTTCCAAAAAAAAAAAAAAAAGGAATCAATCTGTAGGTGTTTGGAGATGTCCAAGTATCCTGCCAGGAAGGCTGCCTGGTACAATAAAATGAAGACACTGGCTTTGGATCCAAATACCAGCTCCAGCCTTTACTAACTGAAATCTTGGGGGCCAGTCTCTTGGTTTTAAAAATATACATAAAGACTGTTTATTATGGAAATATTAAAATATACACAGAAACAGAGAGACTAGTCTAATGAACTCCTTTGTACTCTTCATCAATTATTCACATTTTGTCATCTTGTTTTATTTATCCCCTCAAACAAACGTTTTTTGTTTGTTTGTCGAAGTATTTTCAAGTACATTTATGCAAGTTTCTTAACCACCCTTCAACTCTAAAGTGACAGTTTTAGCCTCTGAATAACCCTTCACATGTTGAGACACCGGGCCTAGAACCTGGCACATGTGAAAGTTCCTACAGTTCCTTGTCCCCTCTCCTTCTCTGAAACGGGATGTAAAAACCAAGATTCTGCCTCTCCCCTCCAAGTCGGGCGTGTGCTTTCAGTACTCAGCCGCTGGCCCCAAGAGGTGGAAATGTGCCTTTTGAAGGCACCGGCATGTGCGGGGGTCTTGTGCTCTCATTCTCTTCAGAATACTACTCAGGGTGTGGCCAGCTCCCACTCTTAACTGCCCTGGCTGCGTCATGGATGTCAAGGAATGAATGAGTGGCCTGATACCTGGACGGTTTTGCAGCCAAGCTACGGGAAAAGCCTCTGTCTTTTTGGAATGACTGGTTGCTTAGTGAAGTTATCCAAGTACTCACTTGCACATATTTTTCAATTGTCTTTAGAACTTCCACGTTGAACTGTTTGACAGGAACAACAGAAAGGTCCATGTAGCTGAGCAGACTGTAGATCACCTGGAGCAGGGGCTGCTGCACGCTAGGGAGGCCCTTCTCCAGCAGCTGTGGGGGCAAAGTGCAGTTGGAGTCAGTCACACACCAGATCTCCGTATGGAAGGACCCGTGTTTTCCAACGTATTTAGGATTGCACCTTTCCTTTTTAATTTTTATTTTTTTAGGAGACAGGGTCTTGCTATGTTGCCCAGGCTAGTCTCAAACTCCTGGCCTCTGGAGATCCTCTTGCCTCAGCTCCCAAGTATCTGGGATTATAGGCAAGCGCCACCACGCCTGGCTTGATTGCATGTTTCCTTAGGAGAGGAAATAAAATCCTAACTATGAAGAACTGAAGATATTATCAAAATAGACTATATCATGTGTGGAGGTGTGAATATGTAAGTATAAAATTCATGTGATGAAATATTAAAAAACACCTCAAAAGGAAAGCATCAGACACCAATGATCAAAAATTACAAATTCAAACAAAAGATGAAATCTGTCAGTTATCAAACTGGCAAAGATTAGAAATTGATAACACTCAGTATTGATGGGGAGATAAACAAATGGGTATTCTTACGTATCAGTGGCAATGTGAATTGGATAGATTGGCAAATGAGATCAAGAGCAATGAAGAGGTCCACAATCTTTTGACACAGTAATTATACTTTTAGGAATGTTTCTCAAACCAGAGATAGATGTTAAGATTTATGTATAAGATTTTACCACAGCATTATTTATAATGGCAAAAAACATACACAAAACAAGAAAGCTCTGTAAGCAATTCAAGTATTGAACACTAGGGAAATGGATCTATAAGTTAAGAGCAAACTGTATAATGAAACATCATGCAGTTAACAGAATGACATTTTTAAAGACAGTGGAGGATATCAGATAATATTAAGTGGGAAATGAAGGATACACAATTATTTTTTTAAGAGATGATGCCAATATTGACATGAATGTGTGTGTTATATACAAATAACATTGGAAAGAAATTTAAAAATGTTAGTATTGTTTCTCTATAATTTTGAGTAATTTTTCTTTTCTTTTTAAAAACTTCCCTGCATCTTCCAAATTTTCTGTTATGAACATATACTGCTTTTATAATCATAAAAAATCAATTATATTGTCCAAAAGGAAAGCAAAATAAGGAAAAAAATATATGTGACAGACATCATGATAAAAGTTTACACATAAAAAGTGATAGAATGACATCCAACTAAATGTTGAAATTCCACAATATTTACGGAGTGGTTAAAACATGAGGAAAGAGCTGGGCATTGGTGGCTCACGCCTTGGTATCCCAGCACTTTGGGAGGCTGACGTGGTGGGTGGATCACCTGAAGGTGAGGCTAGTTCAATACCAGCCCTGACCCAACTATGGTTCGAAACCCAGTCTCTACTAAAAATACAAAAAATAGCTGAGTGTAGTGCTGGGTGCCTGTAATCCCGCTATTTGGGAGGGTGAGGCAGGAGAATTGCGTGAACCCAGGAAGCTGGAAGTTGCAGTGAGCCAATGTTACACCGCTGCACTCCAGCCTCGGTGACAAAAGCAAGACTCTGTCTCAAACAAAGACAAAACAAAACAAAAAACACGAGGACAGATAATTATGTAAATCTATAATGTGGAAAAATGAATATCTTTACTAGAAAGAAAATACATAAAATAATTCAAAATTATTAATAAAAAGTATTAAATTAAAAAACGAAGACATGGAATGACAAAATTTAGTGGGGATACAGGAAAACAAGAATATTTATATATTGTTTATAGTATTACAAATGGGGGGATCTTTATGAAGACCAACTTCTTGAATACGTTGAAGAACTAAATAACATACCCACAATCCATGCCACAGGACTGAATAATTCGACTTCAGGAAATGTAGAGTCATTTGATATTATGTGATAAAATGATTTTGATAAAATCTATTATTATTTGATCAAATTTCAAATATCATTTGATAAAAGTCTACATAACAGGACCGTTTGTAATGGAAAAAATTATGAACATTAGCAACAAAAGGGAGATGGTTACACAAACTGTGTTACCTTAACCTGATAGACTTCCAGAGTTATTCAAAGCAGCACTCTGTGAGCTACCCCAACACATAGAAATATACACGCAAAGTTAATAACAAGTGAGCAGAGCAGGTTCCAGGGAATACCACAGTGACACAAAATTATATGTATGTGCATGGCCAAGATCTGAAAGAACGTGTAATTGAAACAGAAGTTAATATATATTATATACAGTGGGACCTTGGTGAAGTTCATAATACATTTTTTGGTGATAATTTTGTGATAAGGGCTGAATAGAACAAATTAGATAACCCATTTTTTTATGGGTAGTAAAATACACATAACATACAATTAACCTTTTTAACCATTTTTTTAAAAGTGTATCAATCTACTTTCCAGACTGCCAGAGTACACTGATACACTTTTTGGTTGTTACAGAAGTACTTAGCTTGGCTAATATAATTTTCACAAATTCTTTCCATCTGTTTTCTCAAGTACATTCACATTATTATGCAACCATCACCACTGTCTACCTCCAGAACTTGTTCATCATCCCAAACTGAAATTCTGTACCCACAAAACAATAATTCTCCATTACTAACTGCCCCCAGTTCCTGGTAATCACTATTCTACAATTTCTTTATAAACGTGCTTAATCTCTGTACCTCATACAAGCAGAATCATGTCATATTTGTCCTTTTGTCCTCTGGCCTTTTTCACTTAGCATACTGTCTTCAAGATTCACCCACGTGGAAGCACGCATCAGAATTTCTTCCTGAATGATATTCCCTTGTATGTACATGCTACATATAATTGGCATTTGTGAAACTTCTTATGGTTAATGAGCCAAACAAACATTACCTCCTTGCTGTATACACTTCACCTTCTTTTAAAGGAGGCAAGGTCTGCCTTTGTAAGCAGAATAAATCAGTTCTCTCAGTACTACTTCTGTGCTAAGGTGTGTGTGTGCTTGCTTAGTTAACTCTTGCAGGGACAGGTATGACCAGGTGACTATTAAAACCAGCAGGGTGGTACTTATGAGAGGTTCCTTAAAATGTTAGAGATGTGGGTGTGGAAAGAGCAAGTGAATCCTGGGCCGCTGACAGTCTGAACACAGTTCACACATCGCTGATCTGTATTGCAAGTCAAAATCCCGCAGGATCAACTATAAATGTTGATGGATGGGACATCTCTCCTCTGCTAGGTAGATGCTTTCAGGCTTGTGGAGCCTTTGAGAAAATGGCTGACTTTTAACCTATCTGGCATCTGGATTGATGATAAAAATAAAAGAAAAACTAGGGTAGATTGTCCTTCTGAAAGGTGCTAGTGATAGCTATGAATGCATATCACAGAAGAAAAAGCAACACTGAAAATGCTAAAACAAGGTAGCTATTACCAGCCATTTGCCTTATAGATTTCATGACCTGGTGTGATAAACTTCTTGGGGACTGAAGATGCTAAATGGAATACATTTCATCTCTTGCCCACCAATATTCTATGCATTTCTAGCACCAACGTACACAGCAGTCAGTGTAGGGTTTGTAATGAATATACTAGAAACACACTGGTATGATGACAAAGCACCATTCCAGTTTTAAAAACAAACATAGAAGGTGAGAATAAAGTTTATTTCAGAATGTATGCTTTGATAATTACATCAAACAACCATTAAACGTATCAGGCCACAAGGTAACTCCTTAAATAAGATTTAAACATCCAGAGTAATTAGGATAAAATTTTCTGATCTCTGCCATCTACTGACAGTATTACCATAATAAACAGAAGGAGTTTAAGCTTTGGAGGCAGCTATATCTAGGTTTAAAGGCTGACTCTGCTGCTTTAAACTGTGACAAATTATTTAACCTGGCTGAGTCTCAGATCTGTATGATAGTATCTAATCATCACTGTGCCGTTGTGAGAGTTTACAATGATTCCATTAGCATGTATTATAATATTTAATACGCACATGCTATATGGAAGTTAAGAGTATACTGAGTGTATTATGAATTCTATGCAAATAATTTACCCATGGAAGCTATAATAGATTTTATCTTTTATTTCAAAGCTTACCTCTGGCAGGGAATGGTGGCCCACGCCTGTAATCCTAGCACTCTGGGAGACGAAGGCAGGAGGACTGCTTGAGCCCAAGAGTTGAGATCGGCCTGGGCAACATAATGAGACCCTGTCTCAAAAAAAAAAAAAAAAAAAAAGCTTACCTCTGCCAGGTAGGTAACCATATTCAAGGTAATGTCAGCATATGCTTCATGAAGGTATCGACAGACCACATTGACCCACGTGGCGCAGTCCCTTGTGTAGCTGTGCGTTTTATAAAGAGTCATGACATGTGCAAGATTTGAAAGTTTGGGGTTCTTCTCTTCTAAACAAACCTTTTAAAATAAGAAAATCAATTAAGAATAAAACAGCCCAATGAATAGGAAGAAATGTTAGCCATTTTACTATAATCTCTGGCAGTCTGGAAAGTAGATTGATGCACTTTTTTGGTAATTACAGGAAGTACTTAGCTTGGCTAATATAATTTTCACAAATTCTTTTCACCTGCTTTCTCAAGAATGAAAGCAAGCAAGATAATTTGCATCAGTCACCCCTATATGTCCATTACTGTGATATTAGTTATTATTTCCAGTTTTTGAGAAAACCACTGCCTTCTCTGGGCCTTGTAATTTGTCTGACATTGGGGTTTCCTGAAGGGCTCTATGGATCTGCCTGAGTATGGAACTGTAACTCGTACCTGAGCAATCCTTTCGGCTACATCCTTACAGAACTGATTGGGATTTTCAAAATGCTGAATCAGCTGGGGCAGGAGACACAAGACATTCAGTGGAAACCCTGGATTGGAGAAGATACAATGGAGATAGTTGAATATGGTATATTTTAGCTGTTAACAGTGGGAAGGCATGTTATAGACTTTTATACGGAGATGATGCAAAAGCAGTTTTTGAATCAGCTTAAACATGATCTAACACAAAATCTATGAAAAATGCACAACCACAATGGCACCAGTTACAAAGATGACACTGAAGTAGATCTGCGGTTTTAAGATGCAGTGATTATCCTGCACTGGAGTTTTGTGAATAAGGATGGCTGGCCCAGATTTTTTTGGCACAGATTGAACTGAGCTGAAGTACTCGTTTGAAATTTTTATCAAAAAACATATTTTAAGAAAAACTGGTGTGAGAGGACATAGGCCAACCAATTTAAGTCTTAGTCATGTAATTGAAAAGACTCTTTAAAATAAGGAATGACTTAGTTCCTCTGTGTTAAGCTCTAGCTTCATGAAATGAATTCTGGGTCACATGCCATGGCATTAAAAATCTGGTTTGTTGGCCAGTCATGGTGGCTGATGCCTGTAATCCAAGGACTTTGGGAGGCTGAGGCGGGCAGCTCACAAGGTCAAGATATCAAGACCATCCTGGCTGACATTGGTGAAACCCCGTCTCTACTAAAAAAACAAAAATTAGCTGGGCGTGGTGGTGTACACCTGTAATCCCAGCTACTCGGGAGGCTGAGGCAGGAGAATTGCTTGAACCTGGGAGACAGAGGTTGCAGTGAGCCAAGATTGCGCTACTGAACTCCAGCCCAGCGATAGAGTGAGACTCCATCTCAAAGTAAATAAATAAATAAATAAATACATACATAAATAAATAATCAATCTGGTTTGTTGATTTGGGTTAATTCAAAACAAGAGGAAACCAAGAGAATTTCCAAGAAGAGCAGAAAAGCAAAGAAAAAATAAAAGATTTAGGAGTTAAGAAAAAAATTTTTTTTTCCTGTACAAGAGCAATGGAATAAACTAACAGCACCTGCCGTTTGATCTGGAAAGCATAAAGAAGCTGCTAATATCTTATAAATAATTTTGGCCCCTTTTATGCTATTGCCTTAAAAATATTTTCTATAATACAGATCATTGAGATTTACATTATATAGAATTTTAAAAGAAAAAATAAACTACTCCCAAGGAACCATTTTGTAGCAGAATTGTTAAAAGCAGTAAGTTCATATTATCTTATTGTACTAAATGACGAACACAACCACCATCAGAATTGAGACAGGGTGAGCGAGGCTGGCTTTACCAATAGCATGGGATGCATCCACCATGGATATTTTGGACACTGGTGTCAGCAGACTGAAGAGCTGCAGGGTCAGGTCTGTGGTGGTGAGGGATGTGAATCCTTTCAGCAGCAGCTGCTGCAGCCCGGAGAAGTCGGCCCACTTGAGCTGTGCCTGGAGTTTCTCAAGCTTTTCTCGGTTCTCAGCCTTATCGAGTGGCATATGTGCCAGTAGTCTGCTCAACAGCCTTAAGGCCATTAAGTATTCAAACTCAAAATCAGACTCCATCAAGGCCACTGTGACCCAGAAGATGGTGGCCAGCAGGTTGGTGGGATGGTTTATGTGGGATGGGTCCGTGAGACTGTCCTTCAAGGAGGATGAGCTTCTGGTTTTTGAGGAAAGGCCTTGTTGGGTGCAAGCCTGAATTCTGTCCAGTGTGGCACTTCGAGGTGGGTCAGAGGATCGGTCAATGACACCAAACTTTTTGGGCACAGAGAAGCTTCGTTGATGCCGGCTCCGTTCTGCAGTCGCAGTGTTGCCGCTGGTGGTTCCAGGGTTCACATTTAGTTGTCCTGTGCTCTTTCTGCTTGCTGTTAGTTTACTGCTGGAGCTTAAATCTGGTGAGGAAGAACTGGGTATAAAAATAAATAAGTTTAATAGGATGCCAACACGTATCATGAAAAGCCAGTTGTTTCAAGTCCGCTGAGAAACACTGCAGGAGGGAAATAATTATTTAGAAATGCCACTTTCTATTCATTTATTTTTCCTTATCCTTAAACCTTTAAAAAACAAAACAAGAGAAACCCTCATCAACAAAACAAAAAGCCCAATACTGACTGCTACTTATTGAAAAATGTAAAGAAATCAATAATTGGCCTTAAAGTTTACTGATATTTCATTTATTTTTTTGTTCGAATTTGGGTAGGAGTAATTATAAAATGTACCTGATAGTTATAAGCTTCAATATTCTGTTAACTAACTGATAAGGAGAACAGAAATGGAAATTATGCTATCCAGAAAGAAGCTGGTAAATGTTCATGTCAAAGGAAATTTTTTGGTACTTACCAAAATTTATGAAAAATGATTTCTTAGTCTATGCTGAAAAGGTAAAACTCTTTGTCAACATTCTTACTACATTTTTACTGATTTAGATAAATCTTTATGTTCATATAGATAAATATGTGTGATGTTTGTAACCATACGAAAATTATCCATAAAAAATGCTCAACTTAAAAATGAAACAAGGCCCAATGGGATACAAGATAACATTACCGACTCAATTTCAAGCAAGATGAGCTCAATTACACAAACAGAATATAGAGTCGTAAATAATTTGAAATGAGTTATTAAACATTGGCAGGAGCACAAAAAAAGATATTAAGGTAGGAATTTCTTCGAGTGAAGTCAACATTTATTCCAACTGTTTTCATGGCAACTGTTCACAAGCTTTATATATATTTACTTAAAAATAATGTTTAGCTTTTGCTTTTCTTTACCAATGTAATAAATAGGATAATTATTACATAAATTTGGAAGAATACTCAGACAAAAAATACATGGAAAATTATTAATATTTTATCATGTAGAGATAACACTTGGTATCTATCTTCCTGATGTTTAAAAATACTTATATAATGCATGTGTGTATGTATGTGTGTGTGTGTGTGTGTGTGTGTGTATTATGACTTCTTTTTTAACTTAAGAAAGTATTACACATACTTTTTCAGGTCATAAATATACTTCAAAAACTAAATTTTTTTCTTTGCACTTTGGCTAAAGTCCAGCATCTCCCAAATACTCCAGTACAGTATATTTGATGTTAAAATATCATTAAGCTGATCCTCACCGGGACAATACAGTTAGGAGGTCACTGTTCTTCAAGCAGTCAGACAAGTTATCCACGGCCGCCTCCAAGGTAAGGAGCGCTTCCATTACATAACCCTGCCAAACATGCAAAGATAGCATTTTGTATTGCTTGTAACCATTGTTAACTTCCTGAAGAGAAATTTAATTAATGTACACTTTATTCCAATAATGTTATTGCTGCTTTAATTTATGAAGTCTAAAATGAGCTTTAAGGGCCACTTAGGAAATTCAGATGGCTTAGGAGTTAGCAGATAATCATAAAAATTTATTTCCCTATGTCTAAGAGCCTCAACAGATCACTTTCATTTGAAATCCGGCACCGAGGGGGGCAAGCATGACCCTCTGCTGAGGGGAGGGTGGCATCTGAAATGCAGTGCGGCAATGTTTGAAAGCCACAGATCAAGAGGAGAGGTACAGGAAGAGCTGCCTCCGTGGTGTTTTAAATAGCACCTCTAATGGCCGAAAGAAGGAAGCAGGTAGTGTCTGTGGGTGTGCAGCCTTCCTAAGATGCAGGAACATTTCTTTTTTTCCTTTTTTTTTTGACATGGAGTCTCACTTCCATTGCCCAGGCTAGAGTGCCATGGCACCATTTGGCTCACTGCAACCCCTGCCTCCTGGGTTCAAGTGATTCTCCTGCCTCAGCCTCCTGAGTAGCTCGGATTATAGGTGTGTGCCCCCACGCCGAGCTAATTTTTGTGTTTTTAGTGGAGATGGGGTTTCACCGTGTTGGCCAGCCTGACCTTGAACTCCTGGCCTCAAGGGATCTGCTCGCCTTGGCCTCCCAAAGTGCTGGGATTATAGGCATGAGCCACCGCCCAGCCAGGAACATTTCTGAAGGGAAAGAAGGACTTGGCCGGAGCCACAGAGCTTGTGATGCCAGCGGCTCTCAACCTGTTCAGCGCTGCCCAATCTCTGGGCTCTACCTCGAGGGCCTCCTTGTGGCAGTCACCCTCCATTCCTTCTTCAGCTCTTCTCAGTCTACTGGAGACTAACCATACAGAGAGAGGTAGTGCTTTGCACAGATACAGTGGAGGTCCCTGCTCTGGGCAGGGACACTGCATAACTGCATCTTAGGTTGGCAGCCAGAAACCCCAAACTATACAAAATAATCTCCTGGCCGCCTGCCAAATAAAACCAACCACAAAAACAAGGAAGAAGCCACCAGAGGATTTCCAGTTGTTGGCATATATAAAAGAGATAATATTCACTGAATTTCTAGAATAAGGCTCCTTGGAATAATTCTTGTAAATATAAAAGTCCACCTCTAAAATACATTGTACATGTCCAGACGGCTGGAATAATTGTTGACAGAAGAAAGGCTCAAAAAAAGTTTACACCTCCTCGAGACAAGAGAGCTCATCCTTCATGAGCTCAGTGGTCTTTCCTTCCATACCTGAATCTCATCTCCGTGTTCTCCAATCACCTCCACCAATCTTGAGAGAAGGTCAGATAAGGCATGTGCTGATAGAGGTTGCTTGAGGGCCCGGAATATCTGGAAGGACCGACCAGCATAGTGCCTTGAAGAGCTTGCGAGGGCTGTCTGCAATGCAACTTCACTCAACTGGTGCTCCAGATGGAAGCCTAGGGCAACAAGAGTCACAGAATGGGTTGGTCTCTACTTCACATGCTCTGAGGCATCAAAGTTACCTGTAAGTTTAAAACAGGCTAACAGCACAGGGCTACCTTGTAGTGGTACTTATTTACAAGTCAACCATTTTTTTTTTCTTTTTTTGAGACAGGGTCTCACTCTGTTGCCCAGGCTGGAGCGCAGTGGCATGATCATGGCTCAATGCAGCCTCTACCTCCTGGGCTCAAGTGATCCTCCCACCCCAGCCTCCCAAGTAGCTGGGACTATAGGCATGTGCCACCATGCCTGGATAGTTTTCTGTATTTTTTATAGTGATGGGGTCTCACTATGTTGCCAAGGCTGGTCTTGAACTCCTGGGCTCAAGTGATCCGCCTGCTTTGCCTTCCTAAAGTGCTCGGATTATAGGCATGAGCCATCACGTCAAGCTTTTTTTTTTTTTTTTTTTTTTTTAAAAACAGGGTCTTTCTTTGTTGCCCAGGCTGGTCTTGAACTCCTGGGCTCAAGGAATCCTCCTGCCTCAGCCTACTGAGTCGCTGGGATTACGGGTGTGTGCCACTGCACCCACCTCATTTTAAAATAGAAACAAATTCTGAATAAATCTTAGGGAGGTATAGTGTAGTAGAAAAAGGCTTTGGAACAAGATGGTCCTGGTATTGAATTAGGGGCTTTCTAACTCTGCGAAAGGAATTTGTTCTCCATGAACTTGTTTCCTTATCTTTAACTTGTCTCATACAGTTGTTGTGAAAATTAAACAACTTACAAAGTGCCTAGTACAATGTCTGAAACATAACATAGGTTCACAAATGTATTATTATTTATTACTCTGCTATTTTCATATATTATTCTTCCGCACTATTTTTTGCATAGAATACTCGTTTTTTGTAAGTTTGTTAGAGTAGAGGAAATTTCAGAATAGAGGAAAGCTGTTAGTGGATCTATTCAACTCAAAACACAACTAAGGTCTGTGCCAAAGTCTTTGCTTTATTGATAAGCAGATATTGAAGTGCAGATACTGTGAAGAAGGCAGCCATAATTTAAACTTTCACCTGAATATTTGTTTTTCCAATTGTACAAAGGTAATCTCAGTAATCAGAAAATCATTTGATCAGATGGGAATGAAAATGTAAGATAAAGCTCATGACTGAATTCCAGGTCATTAAATTCTATACTTGCCGTGCCTCTCTGCAGGGAGAAAAGCAGACTACAAGGGTAGAAGGACTGAAAGAAAACAGAGGCCATGGCTGTCTCTATGACACAGAGGTTCTGCAGCACATTTGGCTGCTACATGAAAGTGGGCCAGAAGGGATAATTCAATGTCATTGTTCTTAGCTGCAGCGTGGCTACTTGACCCTAGGGACAAATAGATTATACAAGAAAACGTACCTGCAGAGAAAACAGAGGGCCCTGGAAAATTGACTTCGGACACATTCAGGGTAGTAAACATAGGATTAAACCCATGCAGGCAGTTCGTATCTTATGAATGATGCTTCAAAAAAGCTTTTTATGTCTTTATTTGTTTATCAAAGTAAAGGTTTGTTTACTTAGCCTATTTTACGTGTGGAGGTTAGGTACCCTGGCAAATGATTTTGTGATTTTATGTGTGGAGATTAGGTACCCAGGCAAATGACAAATGTGATTCAAATGGGCAAATGCTTGTTTAAATCACAACGAACCTGACGGCTAGAACTGTACTAGTAGGACTTCAGACTCCACCTTCACCACAACAGTGTCCTTTGAGAAAAGGAAAAGGTTTCTTTTTCTTTCCAGCCACACAGTGAATCTACACTTCCCAGTCTTCCTTGCAGTTAGGTGTGCCCAGGTGCCTGAGTTCTGGCCCATGGAATGTGGAAAAAAACCCACTGGATACCCCATTTAAGACTGGGGCATCAACTCATCCTGAGGAATCCTCTTCTCACTCTCTCTTCTTCCACCTGCTGGCCGGATGCAGAGGGCCCGGCAGAAGCCTCAGCCTAGAGGGTGGAAGAGCCTCAGGCTGGAGGGTCCCTGAAGCACCTAGTGGAAGGCCACCTGCCAAACATCTGCACTGAACTTTTACAGGACCCAGGAATAACCTTCTGTTGTGTTAAGCCTCTGAGCCCTAGGGGCTGTTTGTTACAGCAGCTATGCTGCCCTGACTAACCCAAGTGTTTCCAGGAACACATCGTGCATGTATAGAGAAAACAGGCCAAAAGCGGGGATGTACAAGGAAATCAGAATCAGTAAAAATTGATCGAGATGCAAAAAGACCTAGACTTTATGCAGCCTGAAGTACCCTCTAAGAATTCAGTATAAGGCATTTATATATTTTCTCATTTTCATTATTTTCATTCAATCAAAGATTTTAGATTAATTAATGGCTTACATACAAATAGTAAATTTCTTCCTTTGGGCTGTGTTCAATGATTAATTGGCTTTTGAGGTCTTAATATTTTAAACAAATTCCAAAGGGGAAACTGAAAACTAGAAATGGAAGTCTATTCCTGGAATGACTCTCCCATTTCAGTCTGCCAGTATCTTTTGTTTTTTAGTAAGTGTCCTCTGATAATGAAAAGATATGTGGCTGATTCAAAATGTTTCAAGCTGGGAAATGTGCTAATTATCAGAGCAGCTGGGAAAGCCAGGGAGCTGGATTTAATATCTCCAGTCTGGTGTGAGGGAAAAAAGGTAGAGATGGTTTTACAACATGTTGAGGAACCAGATTTAAGTTTCACACACAAATCAGCCCAGGCCAACTTGGATCTGAAGGAATTCAGCAGAAGGAAAACACTTAAGTATCATGATGCTACGACAATTTAAATAGGATTTACACTGTATTTAGAATATTGAAGAGTCATTTCCACAGGAATTGTTAGCAAACACTTTTAAAGCCAAAAACATTTTATCACAATTTTTTTTTTTAAAAAACAGTTTGACCCTTCAAGCAGCCATTTAACCAGACTATTTTTCATCATTGAGACTGATGAGAGTCAATTAATCAGATTTATTCCTCATAGCCTACTTTAAAGAAAATGTTATAGACACAGTTTAATTCTAGTAAGGTAAATAAAAGAAGTAGAACAAGTATGTTAGAAAAATTAGTTGATACAGCATAATGCAAATATACATGGCATTAAATACCATGCAGTTAGGAAGCATCCGAACAAGCTTCAGAACTCCCCTGTGAATATGCTCATGCTATGGATGTGGAGTGCAGGACCGTTGTAAGGTGCTGTAATCATCATATAGAGACAGTGTCCATTACAGAACAACGCTGAAAGAGGGATCTGTGCAAATAAGATGAAGTACCTGATTTGGAATCTTTAAATACAGATACAACGTGACGTAGAAAATTAGTGAGCTGTTCAGCACTCTTTGAATTTTGATTTTTAGGTGTGATGTCTTCATGGCACCAAAGTGGACCAAATGCCCTTAAACAAAACACACAAAATGTCAAAAATATAACTTTCATTTTGCATTTTTAAAACTATACATACAGTCCTGACTCCAAGCGTATAACATATTTAAATTTTTTGCAATCTATGCATCGGACAAAGGTCTAATCCCAGCATCTATAAGGAACTTAAACAAATTTACAAGAAAAAAACAAAAAACCCTGTTAAAAAGTGGGCAAAGGACATGAACAGATACTTCTCAAAAGAAGACATACATGCAGCCAACAATCATATAAAAAAAGCTCAACATCACTGATCATTAAAGAAATGCAAATCAAAACCACAGTGAGATACCATTTCACACCAGTCAGAATGGCGATTATTAAAAAGTCAAAAAATAATAGATGTTGGCAAGGTTGTGGAGAAAAAGGAAGGCTTTTACACTGTTGGTGTGAGTATAAACTAGTTCAACCACTGTGGAAGACACTGTGGCGATTCCTCAAAGACCCAGAGACAGAAATACCATTTGACCCAGCAATTCCATTACTGGGTATATACCCAAAGGAATATACATTGTTCTATTATAAAGACACATGCATGCATATGTTCATGGTAGCACTATTCCCAATAGCAAAGACATGGAATCAACCCAAGTGCCCATCAATGATAGATTGGATAAAAAAAAAGTGGTACATATACACCATGGAATACTGTGCCACCATAAAAAGGTATAAGATTGTATCCTTTGCAGGGTCATGGATGGAGCTGGAGGCTATCATCCTTAGCAAACTAATGCAGGAACAGAAAACCAAATACCACAAGATCTCACTTGTAAGTGGGAGCTGAATGATGAGAACACACGGACACACTGGGGGGAGTAACACACACTGGGGCCTACCGGAGGGCGGAGGGTAGGAGAGAGAGGACTGGGAAAAACAACTAATGGATACTGGGCTTAATACCTGGCTGATGAAATAGCCTGTACAACAAACCCCCTTGACACACGTTTACCTATGTAGCAAACCTACACACCCTGCACATGCACCCTTGAACTTAAAATATAAGTTAAAAAATATTTTAAACAATTTTATGAATTATTCTGGAAGTACATTTCAGTCTTGAAAACCTTATCAGCATACTCAAAGCACATCTAATGTATGGAGTCATTTTGAAATGTTTTAAATTAAATTCATTTGCAAAATTAAAATCTCCCAATTCACCAGAACAGTGCTTGGCATATCATAAGTGCTACATGTTTGTTTAAGTAAAATGATACCAAATGTTAAGTGAAATAAAGATTTAGACATGGACTCAATTTTCACGTTTTAGCATTTGCATAGGTAAGGCTTTTATCAGGATCACATCAAGTTGCAAATACCATACAATCAAACTGAAGACATGGCCTCTGTCGTCTACTTGGTTTTCAACAGTAAGAATGGAATGGAGCCAGGTAGGAAAATTTCAGAGAAGAGTTATTCCAAACACTGGTACTGACAGTTGGTGAGTGGTGACAACACTTTTCCTTTGCACAAATCATTCGGGTCTCTGCAGTACCCTGTATGTTCAGGCATACTGTCATGTAGGCACCATCAGCTCCTGTCCTAAGCTTCCTGCACATTAAATCCCACAGTAAGTTGAGAGCTGCACAAAACAACCTGAATCATGAATTGTGGAAAGAAAATACTCTTTTTTATTGTTTGCATTAATTGATGCATTAGTTGAAGAAAGCAAGATCACATGAGATATTAGATAACATATACATAGACTAGATTTCCGGGACTTAACTCGCTGAGAAAGGGGAGCACGCCACCCAGTCACAGGTAAGCATGCTTTACACAACTACCAGACCGTAGGGTGTTAGAAATCCTGGAGCCTTACGAGCTAAATGGTTAATGAGAAGAACCAGAAGACCTGACCAGGACCGCTTGCAGTTTTTCTTGGTTTTGATTTATTAGTTTGACTCGTTTCCTATTATGCTTCCTATTGTTTCTGGTTTCTGACTGCCTTTTACAAATGACTCTTGGGACCAGATGAATAGATAATGGTCCCCTTGGCAGCTGCTTCTGGGTTGACCACGGCTAATATCCTTGGTTTCCAGAGTGATGTTCTTTGCCAAGTCTCAGAACTACCAACCCCTGGCAGCTCTGATAGATGACTAAAGGCATGCTCACTATGGGGCACGACCATCTCCCGCCTCCATCTGCTGCATCACCATTATCCACAAAATCCCCTTGCCCATCAACTGTCACATCAGTGGGATCCTAGAAACTTCTACCAACGTCTGCCTTTCACAAATTGTATTCTTTGTACTCAGTGTCTGTTCACACAGACTCCAGCAGTTGCAATTGAGAAGAGAAACAGGACTTTGTTAGAACCCCAGGATCACTTTTCCATCTGTGTGGTTTAAAGCATTGGCAATTTTCCAAAAGACCAACCTGCAAACAGCCGTGGACTCCTAACCCCTTATTACCTGGTCGTCAGAAACTCAATGAGCTTGTTTGCCTTCTCATCTGTTTCAGCAGCTGTGTCCACGTCTTCTACCTCCTGGGTCATCTGTGGGAGGTTTCCACTGCTGCCTCCCAGACTGATGCTGGAGGAGGTGGAGCTGGAGCTGAGCCCTGAGTCGGGCACTGGGGATGACTGGTCCTCTCTCAGGAAGTCAAAGCCACCTGGTGGGAGAAGAAGGTCAAGGAGGGATGTATTAGGCAGTGTGCTTGTCAGCATGCTTAATGAGGTCCACAGAGGAGGGCAGAGAAGTGTGGAGTTATTTAAATTCTGGGGAGAAAATGGTTGCTTTTGGCTGTGGCTATGATTAAATGAGACTGACAGTTTTTCTTTGTTTAGGGAATCAGTTGCACTGCTGTGTAAATGAGTGTGTCTTTGGGACTAGGATTTGATCTGCTGCTTTCTACTCTGCTGTTTTGGTTGATACTTTCTACAAAAGAAAGGTTATGTGTGTGTGTTTGTATGCATGTATGGATCAGGCAAATGACCAGTTCAACTATAACAGATCATCTACTGACTGCTCTTAATAAATTATTCCTGGGTATTAGTCTACTTAAACATGTGAAATGGGCTGGGCACGGTGGCTCACGCCTGTAATCCCAGCACTGTGCGAGGCCGAGGCGGGTGGATCACGAGGTCAGGAGATCGAGACGATCCTGGCTAACCTGGTGAAACCCTGTCTCTACTAAAAATACAAAAATTAGCCTGGTGTGGTGGCAGGCGCCTGTGGTCCCAGCTGCTTGGGAGGCTGAGGCAGGAGAATGGCATGAACCCAGTGGGGTGGAGCTTGCAGTGAGCCAGGATCATGCCACTGCACACCAGCCTGGGCGACAGAGCAAAGACTCCATATTGGGGGAGAAAAAAATGTGAAATGATACCCTGTTTGAGGATACCAGTCACTTAATGGCTGGTTACTTATACATAATGTTTTTGAGTAAATGTGCCCAGAAGCTTTAGTATTGTGTATATAATGATGTATTTTAATAGAATATGTGTTATGGTATTCAAAGAAATATGGCATAAGCAAATACTGTTTCTTCGCTACATACTTGGTTGACATTCTACACCTCTGGATAGGCTGTAGGTTTGAAAATGTATATATGCAACTATCCCTTTTCCCCTATTTAATAATCATAAAAAGTATGTAGTGCTGGTGTGTGTCTGATAGATATACTGAATTAGAGATGAGGAGTCCTGGGTTTGAATAACATTTCTGTCACTTACAGCGTAGCCTCAGGGAATTTATGTAATTCTCTGTAGCTCGGTGTCCTATTATAATAAAGTCAAGACAATAATTTCTGTCACACACATTTTTAGTGTGTATTTGAAAGCAACTATAGTTGAAACTAGGTGCTTAATAAATGTTTATTAAAAAAAGAACATTTCCCATATTCTTTGTATACCTATTCCCTATGTCCTGTAGAACCAGTCACTTTAGCTATCTACTGTTTGTCTTGCCTATGAATATTGTATGCGTTTTTGGTAAATCTTCAATTTAAATCATTTTATACCACATTGATGGTATAATAAATGCAAAACTGAGGTACACAGAGATACACAACTTATCAGATACCACAATTTTCTCTGCCTAACATTCGAAAAAATTATATTCTTATCCTCAGGACTTAGAGCAGCTAGAACTCTTCATTTTAGTTAAACATCTACAGCAAAGGGAGTTTTGTGTTTCTAAGAGGCTATTGATAGGTTATTTTCAATTAAGTGTAGATAATGATGATTTCATGTTTGTTTTCCAAAGAACTATGTTAACATCTATTAGAAGCCAGTACAGTGGTGGGCATAAGTGATAAATAAAAGGTACACCCTTTTCACAGTAATGTAGAAAGCACACAGTGACATGTGAAATGTCGCACCGTAGCTAGTGCCAATGCAATGTGTAAAATAAATAGGTTAAAAAAAAATTAGCCAGGCGTGGTGGCTCATGCCTGTAATCCCAGCACTTTGGGAGGCCGAGGCGGGCGGATCACGAGGTCAGTAGATGGAGATCATCCTGGCTGACACGGTGAAACCCCGTCTCTACTAAAAATAGAAAAAATTAGCCGGGTGTGGTGGCGGGTGCCTGTAGTCCCAGCTACCGAGGAGGCTGAGGCAGAAGAATCGCTTGAACCTGGGAGGCGGAGGTTGCGATGAGCCAAGATCGCGCCATTGCACTCCAGCCTGGGCAACAAGAGCAAAATTCCGTCTAAAAAAAAAAAAAAAAAAATTAGTCCCTGAACTCTGTTAGTTGGTAATCTTCATCATCATTTTAAGATATTTTAAATGTTCTGGTTCTAAATGAAAACCAGTATTACCTGTTGGGATAAAGTTTTCATAAATGGCTTGACATGGCAGAGTAATTTCTTTGACTCAGCTAATGCTATCTGTTCCTGTTTCTAAGGATAATTTTTTTTGGTTTCAAAACAGCAATGGTTTTTAACAGGCTCCCAGTAATGGCGTCTTCAAGGAAAAGGTCAGTCATTCAATAAAGTGAAAATTCCTTTATGGGCACTAGAAGACACACAAGTGATATATCCGGCACCCTGGCTGTGACCTGCTCTCAGGCAGCAGCAATGGTCACTGTTTTGTGCGTTCTCACCCTTCGGTGTTCTACACTGCTGCTCCTGGCCAATGGGCACTTACACTTCCAATGCATCAGGAGGAACATATTCAATGGGGGCAGCAATCATAGATATAACCAGGAAAAATATATTTTAAATATTCAATAATAAAGCTTTTGAGAGGCAAGTTCACATCGAGTGAAATGGTGTGTATTTACTGTACTGTTGATTTACCACGTGGAAAGTTGGAGGTCATAGCATGAGAGAAGTTAACTTGGGCTCTACTGGCACCTGCAGTTAGTTATCTCTGCATTTGTAACTGTCCTAGGCTCTCTACCAGTCTTTCTCTGTTACCTGTATAGAGATATTCAGGTTGGTAAGCTGGCTGCACAGTTAGAGTCTTAGCTTCACCCATCTCTCGGGTCTGCAGGAGCACAGAAGCAATGGAATGGAAATTGCTGTTGCAAGAGAGGGCAATCAAGAGGTGAAGAAGCAGTTTTTTGCTGTGTTCAAAGACTTCAGGCCGGTAGTGGTCTAAACCTGGAACAAAACAGTAGAATCTCAGTATAAACAAACGTTAAGCTCGTTTAGATTCCAGGGATAGTAAAGATTCCAGGATACTCAGGAGGAACATGTTAAAAGAATGTTTAGTTTTCTTTGTTATTGTTTGTGTTACCAACATACAGAAGTTGGGCTTAGGAAAAATAAAATGCTTTATTTCTTAAGTAAAATGTTCTCATAAAATGCTGATAGATGAACTTTTCTTGACCTCTCTGTAGCATTTGATGTGGTTAGCATTCCTTCTTCTTGAGATGTTCTCTTCCTTGGATATCCCTGTTACTGAAAGATTCCAATTTTATTAGTCTCTTTCTAACTGAATTTCTGAGTTTCCCTGGCTGGTTCCTCTTCCCATTTTTGCTCTACAAAGCTCAGGGCTTGGCCCACTCTGTCCTATATCCTTTCTTTTTATACTCTGACTATGCCTCATAGCTTAAAATTTACCACTTCAGCCAAAGACTCTCAAAAAGGCCCAACTTATTTTGGATATCTTTGTAGATGTGGCACTAGTGAGATACCACTATATTTACATGCTAGAAATAGAGCAATTTCAAACAGTGACCAAGTAGCTGACATTTCAGAGCAGATGTCACAAAAGGGCAATGAAAAGTGGTGGAGATCAAATATTCCCAAAATGAGTCAAACAGGAAGGATGTCAATGTGAAAGGAAATCTCTATGGATTACTTCTGCATATTTTTAACCCGATTGGCTAGAATGCCTTTTAGATCCAGTCTTACCTAAGAAAACAGCATGAAGTAATAATGGTAGATGAAGCGCCCAATCTTCTCGTACACTGTGATCTACCACCATCTCAGTCATAAAAATTACAGCAATATTGCACCTAATCAATGAAATAATGAAATTAATGCAACTTCTGAAGGGGATGGAAATACTAGTAGATCATTAAGTTACAGTTCAATATAATTCTTAAGTGTTTTTAAAACATTATATAAGGCTCTTATTCCAGGGAAATAGAGTTTAACTTGTAACACAGCATAGAGCTCCACAACAAGAAGAAACATTGGTTGAGCTAATCACACCAGTCACTAGGTAATAAGAGCTAAGAGATGAAGAGAAATCAAAGACAAGGTCCCTCTCATCAAGTTGCTTACAGTCTAAAAAGCATCACAGAATGCATGCCCATATCCAGATTACATCAAGGAGAAATTCAAAGGTCAGAGGCAGCTTTGAATATTGATTAATATTTGACCACACTCTGCTAATATGCTGGAAGCTGGCAGTCAAATCAGGCAGGATCCCACTGATTGATAAGATCATTTAATGTGGTGGGACCTGGACTAGGTTTTTCTCTTGTCATAGGTAGAAAAGTCCAGTCAAAGCTAAGGTTTCCTTCTCCCCACACATGCTGCTCACCTATGGAGTGGCCCCCGGGGAGTGATGGTCTCCGGGAGATAGTCAACCAGGGGGGCCCAGCATCCTCCTGTACAAGGCATCGGTAAGGGCTGCGGCTGCTTGGTCTCTGTAATAGTCAGCAACCAGCCCGTGTAGGGAGAAATTGGATCATCTGCAGGGTGAGAAAGACAACTGTGCTTTATTTTCAGGGAGAGGAGACTTGTTTTCTCTACTTGATGTTTTCAGAATAAATTTTATAAATGTATGCTTGTAAAAATAACTTTATTTTTCATTTTTAAATTTTTTTTAGGGACAGGGTCTCACTGGAACCTAGGCTGGAGTGCATTGGATCAATCAAAACTCACTGCAGGGCTGGTTACAGCGGCTCACGCCTGTAATCCCAGCACATTGGGAGGCTGAGGTGGGTGGATCACCTGAGGTCTGGAGTTTGAAACCAGCCTGGCCAACATGGCAAAACCCCATCTCTACAAAAAATACACACACAAACACACACAAAATAGCCGGGCATGATGGCACGTGCCTGTAAGCCCAGCTACTTGGGAGGATGAGGCAGAAGAATCGCTTGAACCTGGGAGGTGGAGGCTGCAGTGAGCCGAGATTGCGCCACTGCACTCCAGTCTAGACGACAGAGTGAGATTCTGTTTGAAAAACAAAAACAAAAACAAAAAAAAACCTCACTGAAGTTTCAAATTCTGGGGCTCAAGAGATCCTCCTGTCTTAGCCTTCCAAGTAGCTAGGACTACAGGCATGTGCCACCACACCCGGCTAATTAAAAATTTATTATTTTTTAAAATAGATGGGGTCTCAACATGTTGCTCATGCTGGTCTCAAACTCCTGGACTCAAGTGATCTTCCCACCTTGGCCTCCCAAAGTTTTGGGATTACAGGTGTGAGTGCCTGGCCAGAAATAACTTTCTAATGATTTCATTTGGTGAGTATGAATTACATGATCAAATGGGTTAGAATTACTTGTTTGGGTAACTACTTGAATAGTTACTACTTGGTAACTAATTTATAGTTATTCATTATAAAGCAAAGCAGAATACAGATATACAAAAAGAAAAACATTAAATCATGTTGAATTCCCATCTCTATGAAAACTTACTCTTCCTCCAGTCTTCCTCATCTCAATAAAGCACAATTTTGGCTGGTCGCGGTAGCTCACCCCTGTAATCCCAGCACTTTGGGAGGCCGAGGTGGGTAGATGACTTGAGGTCTATGTTCCACAGAGCAGACAGACCAATTCTTTTAAAACAAGTTCAGTAGTGTCTCTTTCTCTGCTCAACACCCTCCAGTGGCTCCCCAGAAATCCATATCCATGGCCTTTAAGGCCTTACCAGGTCTTCCCCCTCCATGTTCCTCTCCTGGCTTATCTCCTACCAGTGCACCCTTGCTCACCCTACTCCACTCATCCTAGCTTCCTTGCTGTTCTGTGATCAGGCTGGGCCCCATACAGCCTCAGGGCCCTTATGTCTGCTGCTTCCTATGGCTGGGATGCTCATCTGCAGACAGTTGCATGGTTCATTTCTTTGCTTCATTCATGTCTCTGCCCCAGTATCACCTTACTACAGCAGCTTTCCTTGACCACTCTATTTAAATTGATCCCCAACCCCAATCAGTTTCTACCCTGCTTGCCCTGCTTTAGTCCCTCCCCCTCCACCCATGGATCACCAGTTCACCCGCACCACCTCCCTCCCCAACTCTAATGTAAGCTCCAGGAGAGTGAGAACTTCTTCTGTTCTGTTCATTGCTTTTTCTCTACTTCCTACAGTGGTGCCTGGCACATGGAAAGGATCAATAAATATTTGTTGAATGAATGAACTTCACAATATTATCTATAAAGTAAGTACAGGACGGGTGCAGTGGCTCATGCCTGTAATCCCAGCATTTTGGAAGGCCCCGGCAGGTGGATCACTTGAGGTCAGGAGTTCAAGACCAGCGTGGCCAACATGGTGAAACCCCCTCTCTACTAAAAATATAAAAATTAGCCGGGTGTGGTGGCGCACACCTGTAGTCCTAGCTGCTCAGGTGGCTGACACAGCAGAATCACTTGCACCCCAGAGGCAGAGGCTGCAGTGAGCCAAGATCGTGACATCGCACTATAACCTGGGCTATGGGTGAGACCCTGTCTCAAAAACAATAATAAAAATAAAATAAGTATAGCAACACGTTTCGCGTTGATTTCTTATCATGCTCCCAAAGCAGGCCAGCAGCATTTAAGATGAGCAATACAGGTGGGCACAGGATTTAACCCAGGTATTTGGCTGCAGAGAAGCTGGTTTATTCTTGGGATCAGTTTATGTATTAAGAGGAAGAATATACTACATCGTCTTTATGCAATTTTATAACAATATAATTTTTCTTTGCTTCACTTCTGCAAGGTAGTGCGAAGTCATTGATTTGATGCTGCTGGCCCAGTATAGAATGCTGGCCTTAACACTGACAGAGCTGGTGGAGGCGTGTCTTCCTGTTGTGACAACTGAGGCTCTGAATGAGGACAGGTACCAGAAAACCAGAACCACAACACCCCACTTCTCATGGGATGTGGCTAAGAGGGTTTCAGTGGAAAAGGTCAGGACTTCCCTCAGGAAGAGTCACTACTGCCTTTTTCTAATACACTGACAAGTGAGCAACCAGAACCCTGTCATTCTATGCCATGAAGCTTGGCCACAACAATTTTAGCCTGGAAAAAATTTAAAGCAGGTGCACTAGTAACTCATCTCGGTTCTAACTCTCAGCAAATTACCTACAAGTAACTTACTTGCAGCTAATTTAACTTCTCAGATAATCATCCAGGATAAGTCAGTTGCCAAATGCACTGCTAGGTAACTAGCTACTCTTCAAGAAAACTTGAAAAGGAAACAAAAAGGGAGAATATTGAAGAATTAAAAAGTAAATGGTGAGATTTCTGTTAGGAAAGGATATGTTATTCTTTGTTTCAGTGATGTTTTCAGATATATATCCAATCAGCCAAAATGTGCTGAGAGGAATTAAGGTGGCCTAAACTTAAATTTTTCTGTCCTCAAACTTTGGGTTACCAGATATTGCCACAGTAACCAGACTTTTCTTGAACCAACTCTCCATTTCTCAAGTACTACTTTCCTCATCTCTAAAATCTGGTGCCTTCTAGAAGTAATGGTCTACGGTCCTGAGATTTGACTATTCAGTGTTTGGATGGTACAATCCCCTGAGGAGACACACAAAGGAAGGAAAACACAAACAGCTTTATTTTACTTCCTATTGACAGCTCTAGAGAAAGTTTTATAGCTAAAACTTAACGTAGAGCATGATAATTACATATGGATTTTAGACACGCCTTCCATTAGTATTTTAATGGTGGAGAACTGCCTGTCTGTGCATTCACAAGTAGAACAAGGGTAGCTGAAACGTGGCCTCATTGGAACCACCTAGCTCTTACCTGACATCGCACATTTCCGTAAAAACAGAACAATTCAAAACAACAACTCAAAGCACCAACTTACGAAATGAACTTAACTCATGAAAGATGAGTGTATTTACAATTTCTGACAAAATAGAATAAATCCCACAAGATACTTTACTGATTTCCTTAGCAAATCTAAAATGTCACTGGGAGCGTTCTTCGGTTTCAGAATTTCTGTAACTTGTGACCAACTAATACTCTGTATCTGCTCAATATCTACAGAAGCTGTCCAGAGCTCAAACAAAATCAGTAAATGCACTGACCTTTTTGGTTTCCCCAACTACCGGAAGAAATTCCTGTCACAAAGCTAACTCCCGGGTTAGCAAGCTTTTCATTAGGCTATGGAGACTATGCCGTTGAGAAATTCCACATGAGAACAGATCCTATCCCGAGTGAGCAGACTTTCAAAGCTTCAAGGTTAAACCCACTCGCAAGATAGGCGGAAAAACCGAACCACAACATTTGTTTTCTAATGGGACTATGACTTAGTGTATTTTCCCCAGATGCATCACCAAGAAAAAAATGTCAAGAATATAAAAACATAGGAGTGGGATGGTAGTTTGAATTTTTATAATTTTGATTTGTCCATGGTTTGGCTTTTTTTTTTTTTTAAACTTTTGAGGATGCTGATGCTCATCTGCGTAGGTGGATTAAATGGTTACTTAATATTTATGGGCCCTTTTAGTAATCAGATCAAGAATAATCAGAACCCTCATTTTCTATCCTCTGACCACTTGCGTTCCGTCTGAAAGCCCACAGCCTGTTGGTACTTACTCTTATCCTCATCGTAGGATCCTCCAGAGCTATTGCTGTATCTTGACTCGAGGCGAGTGTGGGCTCTGATGACATTACTAAACCTTCAAATACAAGCACAACCGGAATGAAATATTAACATGTGTGTGTATATGCTTTTTTTTTTTTTTTTAGATGGAGTCTCACTCTATAGCCAGGCTGGAGTGCAGTGGTGCGATCTTGGCTCACTGCAATCTCCACCTCTCAGGTTCAAGTGATTCTTCTGCCTCAGCCTCCTGAGTAGCTGGGACTACAGATGCCTGCCACCATGCCCAGCTAAGTTTTGTATTTTTAGTAGAGACAGGGTTTCACCATGTTGGCCAGAATGGTCTCGATCTCCTGACTTCATGGTCCACCCGCCTCAGCCTCCCAAAGTGCTGGGATTACAGGCGTGAGCCACCGCGCCTGGCCTATGCTCTTACTTATAAACTATGATTTAGCAGTTGTTTTTTCAGTTGCTAGTTCCAATGGTGCTTTTCTTAAAGGAATGCTGTAAAAAATTGTACCCCAAACATTTCTTGTTTTCTTGAGAGGGTCAGTGGTCACTCTTGCTCATAAGCAAAGTCCAAACCTTGAAAAGATAAAAATTTTAAGCCTAATATTTCAGTTGAACTAGAAAATGGTAACATTTGCTTTGGAAAGAAAATGGGCATGATACTGAATAACATGATTCCCTTATTTACATAGCCTGACACACAGTAGGTGGTCAATAAATATTTCCTGAATGATTAAACAACTGAAAGTACATAGAATGGGAAATACGCAAACATAGTTATAATAAATCTTGGACTTTACCCAGCATTAAAGTTTCTCTTAAAATAGTTTGAGAGTGTTCAGGGTGTTGGGAGCAAGTCCCCCAAAATCTGGGCATAAACTGGCCCCAGAACTGGCCATAAAATCTCTGCAGCACTGTAACGTGTTCATAATGGCCCTAATGCCCAAGCCGGAAGGTTGTGGGTTTATGGGAATGAGGGCAAGGAACACCTGGCTCAAAACCGCTTAAAGGCATTCTTAAGCCACAGACAATTAGCATGAGCGAACTATGTTTTAAGGGCATGTTCCTGCTGCAGTTAATTCGGCCCATCCTTTCGTTTCCCATAAGGGATACTTTTAGTTAATTTAATATCTGTAGAAACAATGCTAATGACTGGTTTGCTGTTAATAAATATGTGGGTAAATCTCTGTTCAGGGCTCTCAGCTCTGAAGGCTGTGAGACCCCTGATTTCCCACTTCACACCTCTATATTTCTGTGTGTGTGTCTTTAATTCCTCTAGCGCTGATGGGTTAGGGTCTCCCCGACCCAGCAGGTCTCGGCACAGGGAAAGGTCCTCGTTGGAGAGTAATTTAACCAGAGGGACTCTTTGGTCTGGTTTCTCTTGTGGCTTGTTAAGAAGTAATCCCCGCCCAAAACAAACAAACAAACAAAAAACAGAAACAAAAACAAAACAACAAAGAAAATAAAAATGGTGAAGTATAGTAATTCATAGACATCATCTTATTTAATCTTGCTCATTCATCTTTGAGATAAGCATTATTTATTCTACAATGAGGAAACTGAGGACAAGTGAAGTTATACACCTTGTTTAGTGTTGACCACAGGGAGGTGGCGGTGCAGGAGGCCTTCAGTGCCATGCCAACTCCCCGCGTAGAACACGAAGCTTTAAGGCTGAGCTCTCTCTCACTAGCTCTGTAACCATGGCCAAGGCCTCTACCTTCTTGGGGAACTTGTTTCTACAATTGCAAGAAGGGCATCATAATAATACTCTGTCTTTTATTTAACTGGGGTTGTTTGAGGGATCAAAAGAAAGGACGTGAGAGTGTTTCCAAAACTGCAAGACACTGTCTGACTATAAGGTATTAGTTATTATGCTTCTACCTAGGATTTCTAGAAAGAAATCAATAGCGTATTTCTCAAACAAAGGTCTACAACGTAGGGCAAGGGTGTAGTTCAGGGGCAGTGTGGGCAAAATGGTATGTCTATATTTATTTTATATAAAATGACACACAGCAGGTTTTATCAACTTAATATATATGTAGCCAAAGCAAAGAACTAAGGCAATCTAGAAATACCTGGAAAACTCAAGCCAAAATAGGTGTGTCCCTCTACATTACTGACCGGGTATTCTGACTTAACTCATAACAGATCAAATACTCTATTTCTTTTAGGGACACTGGAAGGTGCAGGGCTATTGCTGTCCTCACTAACGTGTGGAGAAAGAGTAATGTTTCACCAAAAGTCCTGGATGTGCCGTTACGATGCCCATCTTGTCCCAGGTGTACAACCTCAGAGCACTGCATCAGTGATTCGGATTTGCTGAATTACAGAAACGTACTGTAATGAGCTTGGTTTTATTCACTTCTTAGATATTTGCACCAGCATTTCCCCGCTCCTGACAGCTATCTTTTCCCCAGTAACTTCATACCTCAAACATTCTTCACTGTTAAATATTCCAGGCATTTGTGAATCTATAAGAACAGAATAACTAAGACATCGATCAGTTTAGCTTCATACAAATCGGCCAACTTCATACAAATCAGACTGTAAGTATTTATGAAAATAAACTGGAAAAGGACAAACTTATTACCTTCTGAAGTTCTTTAATCATATTTACGCTGATAAATGCAAAGTGATAAATGGCATCTGCTAAGCCCAGACATCATTCAGAAAGGAACAAAAGCATGGTGGTGAAAGAATGGCACATCTGCAGGTTTCCGCTGGATGGAGAACGCCACGGCACTTCCAGCTACCATGAACTGTGCTCTATGTCGGGGTTTAAATCGTGCCTGGAGGGCCCGGACAGGGAGGAATTACAGGATGGATGGCAACTGTCTCTTTTCCCTTTTGAGTTGGATTTAAAGGGGTGTTGGGTGGAGTTTATTTATGAGGCTGGAATAAAGGGGAGGAGCAAGTCCCTTCCAGACTGTTCTCCTTGTTCTGGAGAAGACTAAAACCACAGTGTAGCAAAGTGTATGTCTGGCAAGGAAAAAGTAAAAACTGACTCCCAAGCGTAAAATCTGTTACTTTCCTTTGCTTTTCTGGGTTGATGAGGCTTATTTTGGGTCTGGTCCCTGGAAGAATTTCAAGGATTAAGTAGAATCTTTGATGCCTTTTAACATCAAAGGTATATACCTTAAGAAATACATCATGAAAAGAGCTCTTGTAAGAGAAAAATTAGAAGGATGAAATGTTCCCCTCAGTTTTACCTTGTTGATTTAGCTCAAATTAATAATACTTAGATAACTGAACTAATAGTTAATATATATTAATGTATATCAACACTATCAATTTAGATAGAAATTATTTCTGTTTCAACACAGATCGTTCAAAATTTACACAGACGAGGTTAACTGCTTTAGCTGCCTATGAAAAATCCCTTCGTGGGCATATAAATTTATAAAAATATTTTATTAAGATTGATGTATTGAAAATACTTATGGCTGGATGCAGTCACTCACACCCATAATCCCAGCCTTTAGGAGGCTGAGGTGGGAGGATCAGTTGAGCCCAGGAGTTTGAGACCAGCCTGGGCAACGTAGTGAAACCCCGTCTCTATAAGAAATAAAAAAATGAGCGAGGTGTGGTGGCACATGTCTGTACTCCCAGCTACCCAGGAGGCTGAAGCAGGAGGACTGCTTGAGCCTGGGATGCTGAGCCTGCAGTGAGCTGTGATTTCGTGCATTTCAGCCTAGATGACAGAACGAGACCCTGTCTCAAAAACAAAAACTTATGAAGATTGTTTCTGCATACTTTAAAAATTGCTATAAACTACTCTTTTAATATGTTCATTTTGATGCCTGGTAAAATAAACTACATGAAAAATCTTAGAGTGTAGGTGTACTTTCTGTTACAATTTCTGACAGTTTTTAAGAAGTTTTATTAATACACAATAGATGTACCTTTTTCAGGGTAGATGTGAACATTTGATACATGCATTCAATGTGTAAATATCAAATCAGGGAAATTGGGATATCCGTCATCTTAAATATTTATTTTTTCTTTATGCTAGGAACTTACGAATTATTCTCTTCTAGTTATTTTGAAATGTTTAATACATTACTGTTAACTTGAATAGCTTTTTTTAAAAAAAATTGAATGTTATAAAACTTGCTTTTCCTTTTCTTACTTTGGCTACTGGGGCCTTAAAATTAGGTTAAGCTGTAGTTTTCCTTAGTCAGGACTTAAGACACCAACTATCTTACTTGGCACATATTCTTTTACTCTGGTTTTAACGTTCTTTCACCTAAGCTATACGGTTTGTTTGTGCTTTTGTCAGTAGGAACGGTATTATTAAATATTACTGAGTCACATCAAAGAAACATTAATCTAGTTGTAAAGAACACGGAGCCAAGGCGGCCATTTTGTCCAACTCCATGGTGCTTCCCTCAGCCCAGCAATGGATATGGTGGAAGAGATGCCCCACTCCTGAGGTGTGTTAACACAGCAGCCTGGGGCGGTGTTTCTGAACAACACTGTCTCTGTAGGCTCTTTGCCTATAAGGACTGTAAAGAAAGGAGTAAATCGCTTTCCTCCGAGAAGGGTTACTGAAAGGGTAAGAGAAAGGGGACTGGTGGTAGTTGGACAGCTTACCCACCTCTGGGGCTGTGACGTTTCTCCTATTTTCATTCACTTACCAAATGAACACTTTAAAATGCCTACTATGGACAGCACAGTAGACTAATCACTGAGCATGGAAAAATGTGTAAGACAGGGGTGTCCAATCTTTTGGCTTCCCTTGACCACACTGGAAGAAGAACTGTCCACACTAACACAATAGCTGATGAGCTAAAAAAATAAATAAATAAAATCATACACACTCAAAATCTCATAATCTTTTAAGAAAGTTTATGAATTTGTGTTGGGCCATATTCAAAGCTGTCCTGGGCCACATGTGGCTTGTGGGCCGCAGGTTGGACAAGCTTGGTGTAAGAGATACGCAGTCTCTCTGTGTTCTCTAGGAATTAAAATCTGGTGGTTGAGATAAGTGTGTCTGTAAGTACCTATACATCAACATAACAGAGATTACAAGGAGGGAAGGGCGATAAGTAGATTGAAGAGAAAAAAGGATTTTAGGCTGAGGGCACAGTCTACTTTCATAGAAAAAAAAGAATACAGTAGAGTAATAGTGTAGGTGCTGTATGGGATCAATGGAATAGTGGTGTCCGTTGGGAGAGAATATTCATAGACATGTTTGCACATATATGTGAATATGATCAATCAATATGTTATAGGTAGATAATCAATATAAAATAATCTGACATGTATGAATATGTGTGATATATATGAGTAGATAATAGCATCAGGTTTTCCAATGACCAGCAGAGATACGGTTAGAGAGCAGGAGTAACAGCTAAACAAGAAAATCTCTCTTGAAGATGTTCTGTGATCTTGATATTAGAGAGATTACTGGCTTCTTAAGTTCAAAGGCACCACTAAAAACTAGGCAGGGCCAGGCACAGTGGCTCACGCCTGTAATCCCAGCACTTTGAGAGGCCAAGGTGGGTGGATCACAAGATCAGGAGATCGAGACCATCCTGGCTAACACGGTGAAACCCCGTCTCTACTAAAAATAGAAAAATTAGCCAGGCTTGATGGTGGGCACCTGTAGTCGCAGCTACTTGGGAGGCTGAGGCAGGAGAATGGTGTGAACCCAGGAGGCGGAGCTTGCAGTGAGCCAAGATAGAGATTGCGCCACTGCACTCCAGCCTGGGCGACAGACCCAGACTCCGTCTAAAAAAGAAAAACAACTCTAGGCAGGACACTCAGAACTCTGGCCCTAAACAGGCCTTTGTAATGAGATGTTAATACATGGAGATCTATCACCTTTCTACCTCAAATAAAATTCAGAGGGGAAACTCAGACAAAACAATAAATTATCAAGAATGTTATACTCTAGTGAGAAAGTAAAAATATCTTTAGAGAAATACTGTGATTTTTATCATGAGGTAGTTTTCCAAGGAAGGTAATAGTAATAGCCAATACAGATTTTAAAAAATAACATGCTAATTAATAATCTTGTACCTTCACTAATATGGGGGAGTATAAAAACCTTTATTCATTCCTGAGAAAGAAATAAAAGCCTTTATTAGAGAACTACAAAGGACAAGGTCTATAATTCATGATCTGCTGGGTTTGGGCTTTTAGTCTGAAGGGAAGCCCGTATAGATGAACATCTGCCTAAAGGTAACACAGCTGCCCAGCGATGCAGTGAGGAATCTGGCAGGCGCCTGAATTAGGGAAGGAGCCTTCAGAGCCCCAGGGGCAGGCAGCCCTGTGTCGGGTCGTCTCCACGTCAGCCTCTGCTGTGCCCCAGTGCACATGATTAAATCCTCAGGATGCTCAGGAAGCACTGTGGGCTTGCTGGGGCATTTTGGGCTAAGTGACTTATTTTCATTACTTGATCCCCTAAATTGTCTTTAATATGAATTTGTGAGCATCTCATCCTTAAAAGGGCTCCCTCATTACCTTTCACTATAAAATGCTCAGCTGAAGGCATTTTCAACACTGTGAGGATCATCCTAATTTTCCTTTTTTAAAAATTTGAGTTTTGTTTTTCTCTCCTGGTTTCTCTCCCTGCTCTTCACAGTCAACTGCAGGAAACAGTGACTCTGATTTGACTACTGATGAGTAGTTCATAGGCAAGGCAATAAGGAGGATGAGATATGGGGTAAATATTATTATTAAAGAGCTAATGTGGAGGGAATGGAGACTTTGTTTAGAAGGAAGAGATAGTGTTTTGGTTAACCAAGACAGGACAAAGCAAAAATAAAATAAGAATAATGATGTTTCATAGAACTCACCTCAGGATGACTACTTTATCCCTAAGAAATTATTCAGCAATCAGATTTGAAAATTTCACATGGCATTTCTAATTCCAGATGGTCTGTGCCCATTAACAGAACAACTCATGGTTTTTACTAAGCCCTGGGATAAGTGGAATTCCACCACCAGACCAACACCCTTCTTAATCTTTCTCTTCTCTGACTTTGCACAGAAATAACTGTTATCTTTAGGGATATACAGACTAGAGGTGGAAAGTAAGTCTCAGTTTCTAAAAACAAAGAAGGATTTTTATGTATGTGCAAAATTTATGAAACTCCACAAACCTGTATTGATGTCTTTGTATAGATTATTGCAGAACATTACACTGGATATTAAGTCAAATTTCTGCACCAACCTTTCATCAGATTCTTTCAATATCTTGTTCTCCTCAGCATCTGGGAAATTGTCCTGGCCAGCAACCACTGTGTTGCTGCTAGAAGTGGTTCCTGTAGATGGGATTGGAAGAAAAACACTTAGAAAAAGATGCAAGCCGGGGGGTCAAGCTCAAGTCTCAAGTAATTCCAGGGAAAGATTTCCTGTAAAATCTTATGTTTGGAAGATTTTTTACATCTTCTGCACAATCTCAGACATTCTAAACAATCTTCCAAGCCCACACCACTGAAATGAGAGAATCGTAGACATCTGTTATGGTCAAACCAAATTCCTTAACTCTTGTAAAGCAAGGCTACATTCTTGAAACCTCTTCTTCCTGGCCACTTAGGTAATGAGCTTATTTATAGTGGCTGGCCCTGCTGTTGGCTGCTTTAGTATTTCTGGGTCCAGGAGTTACTAAACCAATGCTAGCGAAGTAAGGCCAAGTACCTAGCACTTCTGATTGCTGTGCTACTGCTTCCCTGTAAGAACCCTGCTCTGGTGGCAGGGTGTAGGGTGAACAGAGGGCACAGGAGACTCGGGGAGGAGAGGAATTGGAAGGCAGTTACTGCATGAGGTCAGCAGAAGGGGGCAGGCTTCAAGTCATGGCATATATTTCATGAAAGGTTGCTGAGACACCAATTAACCAAAAGTGATAATACTTTTCGGGGGTATTTTAATCAACGCTGAAGGAATATTAGCCAAGGGAGGGTCCAGATACAAGAAGGAGGATCCAGAAATGAGATTACTGAGTGACTACAGTGTCCTGGCTGGGATTGGCCTGAAATACAAAGTTCTGTGATGGAGGATGCTTGAGCTACAGATTCTCAGTCATCTTTACAAGATCATATCATTAACCCTACAGTCCCTAAGAGACTCAGTTATTCTCTTTTTTTGAGACACAATCTTGCTCTGTCACCCAAGCTGGAGTGTAGTGGTAAAATCTCGGCTCATTGCCACCTCCGCCTCGTGGGTTCAAGCGATTCTCCTGCCACAGCCTCCTGAGGAGCTGGGAGTACTGGTGTGTGCCACCACGTCCGGCTAAGTTTTTCTATTTTTAGTAGAGATGGGGTTTCACCATGTTGGCCAGGCTGGTCTTGAACTCCTGACCTCAGCCTCGGCCTCCCAAAGTGCTGGGATTACAGGCGTGAGTCCCCACGCCCAGCCTGTGTCTCAGTTATTCTTAAGCCATCTCTTAATTGAATGCACACACAGGAATAAGAAAAAAGTAACAAACACATTCTCATATCCTTTCAGGAATCTACATGAAGGAAACCCCAGGGATCTGTGACCAGGTGTCTGCCCGGTGGCTCTTCTTACCTGAGGCTGCTGCGGAGGCCTTGCTGCTGGCCGTGAAGCGGTAGAAGGGCGGGTTGTCGCAGTGCTGGACGATGGGGTTCACGGGCTCTGTCTGCTGCAGCTCAAAGAGAAGCTCTTCCATGGTTTGAATGGTGTTGTTACGGCACAAGTATATTGCCACTTTTTTAATCTGAGAAGAGAAAAAGAAAACAAGGGATGTTTCACAGAGCCTAGTCCACAGGAACGCCAGGTCAGTAAACCTCTCATTTAGATAAGTGTGTCATCATGCAGGAGCTGTCACCATGATAGCTACTCTTTGTGCGATCCTAGGATGAACCAAGGGCTTGGATTAAAATTCACCTCTCTTCACCTGCATGTCTGACAGCAGTGTGTTCTTAAAGTCCTTACCTTTCTTTTTTTTTTTTTTTTTTTTTTGAGTCTTGCTCTGTCGCCCAGGCTGGAGTGCAGTGGCCAGATCTCAGCCTCACTGCAAGCTCCGCCTCCCGGGTTCACGCCATTCTCCTGCCTCAGCTTCCCGAATAGCTGGGACTATAGGCGCCGCCACCTCGCCCAGCTAGTTTTTTGTATTTTTTAGTAGAGACGGGGTTTCACCGTGTTAGGCAGGATGGTCTCGATCTCCTGACCTCGTGATCCGCCCGTCTCGGCCTCCCAAAGTGCTGGGATTACAGGCTTGAGCCACCGCGCCCGGCGTCCTTACCTTTTCTAATGGCTAAGTTTTAAAAAGTTACTTTTGAGGCACGTGAATTCTATCTAAACTGAAAACTTGCCATCAAAGGTCTCATCTTCAGAAAGAATTTTATTTATACAAACCCTGGGAAAAACTGTTAGCTATTTTTGTTTAAAAAGGAATCCAGTCCCCTGCTATTCTCTTCCCCCCAAGAAACAAATGAGTTTTAGCTGTTTTTATGGTTTTAAATTTTAAAAATAACTCTGGATTAAAGCTCCACATTACTGCAGGCCTCACAGTCCAACCTGAGCCCTGCAAGCCGCAGTAAGGCTTATGTGACTCAAAGCAGCAGGAAGGCACAAACCCGTCACAAAAACAACCAGCACAGAAACGCCAATGGAGTTTGGGTTTTCAAAATGCTGTCATTCTGTTGATCCTATCACTTTTAAATACCAACAGTAAATATCAGACATTGCAGAAGGATTTCTCTGTGCTTACTTCCCTCTTCTACCACTTGAATTTGAAGAGAAAAACCTGGATACTCTACTTTCTTATTCTGTTTCAAGCACATCAAGATGTAAACATTCTTATTAGTAATAATGCAACACTTTACTTAGTGTCTCTTACATAGTAGGTCCAATGTTTATAGAAGGCAGCTTTCGGAAACTGCCAAAAAATACCCACCCCCTGTATCAATAGGTTTCTGTGTCCCAAGGCTCAGAGCAAGGAGATGACAGAGGCATCACTAGCACACATAGCCAGTGTCTAGGGGGCAAGAAGGGAACTTTTATGTAATATCTGGATAAGTTCTCATGTGACTAACTGGACATTTCTATTTTAGCTGGAGCAAAGAGCACATTCTGACTTGCAAATTGCACATGGGAGTCCCTGCAGGAATAATCACTCTTGAAGGTCTGAGAAACACTTACATAGGGTAGGAGAACTGTGTCACTGCTGACCCCACAGAGGCTAATCAGGAACTGCAAGGTGATCCTCAGGTTGTTGCTCCATTTCTCATTGTTGGCTAAAGCATTCCAAGCATTTTCCATTTCTGGCCCAGGAACTTCATCTCCATACTATATAACAAAGTAAAAACCAGCCCAAGAGATGTGTGAAAACTGTAAGGACGCAAAATGTTTGACCAAAAGTAGTTTTGAGGGTCATGACCATCTCAAAATCATAAGGAGGAAACATGACCATTTATCAGAAAGATGCCATCTTTCAGCAAATAGTAATTAATAATGCACAAATCAGTCATGCACAATACCTATTCATGTGAGTTTTTAAAACATTAGGCTTATTTTTATTTTTATTATTATACTTAAAATTGCTGTAAGATACACATACATAAAGTTTACCATCACCACCATTTGTAAGTGTACAGCCTGTGGCATTATGTCCATTCATATTGCTGTGCAACCATCACCACTATTTATCCCCATTCATGTGATTTTAAAGGAATTCCATTTTCCCTGGGGTTTGACTAACCCATTTTTTTTTTTTTTCCTGATGATGGAGCCGTGCTATTTGAAGCACATTTCCTTTGAGTTTACCTTGGCCGTCATGTACATGAGGTTGTTCAGGACCAGTGACGTGGCTTCTGGAGAGCCCCAGCCATTTCCTCTCAGCCCGTGAGAAGCAGTGACATCGCCTTCCCGGTCCTTGACTTCGTCCTCTGGGCTGCTGGGGCTCGACCCTGGGAGGAGGAGCCTACTGTCCACCAGCTCGATGTTGTGCAGCCAGGGCAGCAGGTAGGTGAGCATGATCTGGCGCCCGTTGGGGTGCGTTGTGGGGAATCGCTGGCTTACCTCTAAAGATAATTGCAGTGATGGAGAGTCATTCATACCTTATTCCACAAAAATAAATTAAAATTCAAATGCTGGGCCGGGCGCGGTGGCTCACGCCTGTAATCCCAGCACTCTGGGAGGCCGAGGTGGGTGGATCACAAGGTCAGGAGATCGAGACCATCCTGGCTAACACGGCGAAACCCCGTCTCTACTAAAAATCCAAAAAATTAGCCAGGCGTGGTGGCGGGCGCCTGTAGTCCCAGCTACTGGGGAAGCTGAGGCAGGAGAATGGCGTGAACCCGGGAGGCAGAGCTTGCAGTGAGCCGAGATCACGCCACTGCACTCCAGCCTGGGTGACACAGCAAGCCTCCGTCTCAAAAAAAAAAAAAAAAATTCAAATGCCAACTTGCAGACTGAACAGTGTCCTACATTTACAAAACATTTTCATATACAGGAGCTCCTCAAGGCCGCAGAATCATAAAACCAAGGCTTGTCTGCAAGCTTGTTGCTCCACATCTGGTGCCCTGTGCTGGAAAGTGTATAGCACTGTGGGGCAAGCACAGGCTTGGTAAAAGTGGAGTGAGTTCAAATCTACTGCTAGCAGAAGACGTACATCAGAGGGTGGACAAACTAAGGGACTCGGAGTCAGAAGGGCATGTGTTCAGATTCCACATCCATCACATACTAGCGGCATGTGACTCTGGGCTAGTTACTTAACCTCTCTGCTCCTCAGTTCCCTTGTCGGTAAAATGGAACTGACAGGGCCCCACATCAGGCTACTGTAACGACTAAAAGATATAATTATAATGAATGCAGTGTGCTCAGCACAGTGCCTATCATCCAGCAGGCTCTTATAAACTGTGGTTAGGATCGGTCTAACATCAATGATTATCTTTCCACTGACCCAGTGTCTTACAAGGAGTCTTCCATGAAACACTGGCTGTTAAAAAGTGACATGTGGATCTCTAGGAAGGATAAACCCAGTTTGCAGAGTCATCTTCAAAACTGCTAAGCATGTGCAAGGTGCCTGCTAAGGGCTGCGTGTCCCTTGTGAGACAAGTGAGTCCAAACAGTGAAGCCCTAGGTCTGGTCCAGCCATTTCACCATTACTTTCTCTCAGAGCATTTTGGCATTGTTTCACTGCTGGCAGCATTTAATTTTATAATCCAAACAAAGTTTCTAAGATAGAGAAGCACAGCATTATGTATATGCAGTAGGCTCCGATATAATCTCCTATTTCTTATATGTAGAGAAGAAGGTGTTTTATCCTCAGGGAAGTCAGAAAGCTTGGTCTTATACAGGTATGATGATCCAGTGTGGCAATGCAATCTCGCTTAGAGGGCTCATGGCTGCTAAATAATAGAACAACACAGATGCCAGGAATTATACCAAGATAATCCACTGGATCTTCTGAAACAGCAGCTTTAATCGATTTGGCCCTTTTCCTAAAATTAAAATTATAATTTTTTACTTTGGAGACCACAGTGTTATGTCACAATACTCAGACAGTGCTAAGCTATTATGTTTTATATAGGTCAAAATTTCCAAATTTACATGATTTCTACATTTACGGATGTGTCGGATGTATGTGACTGTTATGTCACATACTCAAATCCTTATGAAATCAGAACATTCATTTGTTCCAAGGTACGGGGCATTTTCTAGGCGCAAGCCACTGTGCTAGACACGACAAAGACAGCAGACTGACGAATGATGCAGTTCCTGCCCTTAAGAAAGAGACTCAGGCAAATTATGTTGACAAATCACTCTGCGGCAAGGGAAACCATGACAAATGAAATCAGAAAGGCACAGAGTGCTTTGGGGGTTCGGTGGTGGAAAATGACTTCTGGGTGCAAAGACTCAGAATTTAGTTTTATGGTGGGAAAACTATTTAAACTCCACTAGAAGGATCTGGACTTTGAAGAGGGGGGAAAAAATTCCCAAAAATGAGTAAGAGAGAGCAGTTACTTAAAAGACCTATCTTTTAACAATGGTATAAAAATCTATAGACTTTTTGGAGCCAAGACTTATGTATTACATAATTTGCTTGTTTATTATGTTAATTGCATTTTATCTGACAGACATCAGCACCAAGACGGTAGGGATGTCTGTCTGAGGTATCGCAAGCACCCAGGTAGCTCCTGGACAGTCAAGGGTGGTTCCCTTTTTTAAAAGGGAACAAGAAAAGAAAAATGCCATAGACATGCAAACAGCCCTCTATTCACTGCTCCAGAAATACTTTAAATAAAATGTGAGACACCATCAGTGGGATGCTCTTGTTCAGTGGACCTGAACAATTTGGCCGTTTACAATAATTAGGTCATTTGAAATTACAGGCAATAAAAATTTCACCACAGGGTTTATATTAAAAACAAGTGTTTGGAATCTATTACAACCTCCTAATTTTTCTGTGCTATTTTTAAAAAGTTAATTTCCCATAAGTCAAAACAACCAAAAGGTAATTCTTGAAGGAAATGTAGGTTGAACCTGCTTGCAACTCATAGGAGCCTCTGATCTGGGTAAAGTTGCTGGACTGTTTGTCTTCTCTCTCCTGAATCGTGAACCACTCCCACTTTACTAGCATCTCCCTCTCAGCTAATACGCATGCTCCAATATCGCTCATCCTTACAACTCCTCCTCTGACACTGCACCTCGCTGGAGGCCCAGCCTCTCTTTCTGCATTCTTTCCCAGCCAGGCCACTGCAATCTGGCTTCTGCCACTACCTCCCTGCAGAAACCACTGACAGTTACCAATGAATCTTGAAACTCCGAGAGTCATTTTCAGGTCTTCTCTTCTGGGATCTCTCTTGCATCGGAGGCTGTGGACTGCTCACTCTCTCCTTCTAAAGCTCTTTTTCCTTTACGTCTCCATGAAACTCTTCTCCTGAGTGTTCTCCCTCCATTCCTTCTCACCCTTCCGTCTTCCTCAGACCAGTCTGCAAAAGTGGGGGTGTCCAGGCCCTTTCTTTCACTCTGTGCTCTCTCCATTCCTGATCTCATCTGTGCCCGTGGCTCTAATCCCTTCCATCCTGCTGTGAGCTGCTACTGCTGACCTCCCCTCAGTCCAGGCTCATACATACAGGAGGAAGTCCAGCAGACACATACAGTCAACATTCTGGGCTGGCTCCCAATCTCTGCCTTGCCCCAAACCTTCTCCTCTCCCTGTATTGGGTTTCTAGGAGGGTTATCACCACTGACCTCCTTGGTATCACAGTAGGCATTCTCTTCTGTGCCTCTGCCTGGCAGCTTTTCACTCTGGTTTCTCCTCTCCAGTCTCATTGGGCTGTCTTTGTTCAGGCTCTTATCATTTATTATTTCCTCCTTGGACTATTGCCATTGTTTCTTAACTAGCCTCTTCTCTCCAGACTGGATGTTCACTAATCCACTCTCCATAATGCAACCAGGCTTTTACAAATGCAGTCTAATCTTGATACTCACTCTTCTTGTTTGCAACTCATCAGTGGCTTTGAAAACCCCAGCAGCTTGCTTGGATGCTCTCTCTGTTTACAGAGCTCTGAAGGGGGATTCAAAAAGCACATATGGAAGATTGCGGGCCTGCAAACCTCTTAGTGTACACAAGGCCTTCCAAGATACGATTTTGGCCTCTGCGTCTGTCCACTACCATCTCTAGCTTTTCCTGTTCCTGCACATTATGTTACCTAAGCTGACCTCTATATAATCCCCTAATTACATCATGCTAGTTTGTAACTCTAAGCCCATGCATATGCAATAGTCTCTTGGTCTGTAATGTCTGTCAGCTACTTGTCTGCTATGCAAATTTCTACTCCTTTCAAACTACAGCTGAGACAACTTCTCTGGGAAGTCTTCTGATATTCCTGGCCCAATAATTGATTACTCCCTCAGCTACTGTCTAATACACTGGGCATTTTTCTTTTTCAAAAAATTGCATTTGCTATACTGTATCAAAATCATTTGATTGCACATCTAATTTTTTTTTTTTTTTTTGAGACACAGTCTCGCTCTGTTCCCCAGGCTGGAGTGCAGTAGCACAATCTCGGCTCACTGCAACCTCCGCCTCTTGGGTTCAAGCAATTCTCGTGCCTCAGCCTCCTGAGTAGCTGGGACTATAGGCATGTGCCACCATGCCCAGCTAATTTTTATATTTTTAGTAGAGACAGGGTTTCGCCATGTTGGCCAGGCTGGTCTTGAACTCCTGGCCTCAAGTGGTCCACCTGCCTCAGCTTCCCAAGGTGCTGGGATTACAGACATGAGCCACTGTGTTTGGCTTGATTGCACATCTATCTTTACTGCTGGACTATGAAAGTTTGGTGGGAGATACTTTTATTTCCCTCTGTATTTCTGAAACCCAAGCACAGTGCCTAGCATGTAGGCAGCACTCAAAGCTTGGGTGAAGTGCATAAAAACAAATTTTAGTTTTGAAAGAAGAGAATTAATTTACTAAAAAGGCTTTCATTGGGTCTCTCCACTGTTTCTGGTATTACACACAGAAGTGACTAACTCTGCCTCAGGTAGATGGAGAGGTCTACAGTAGAGCTGGATGTTAAGTTAGAGCTTATGGAAAGCTGAAGTTAGGAAGAAAGGGTGAGGGCCATTCAACAGCGTGTACAGAAGCAAAGATTTACAAGAGGACCTGGAATGTTGGTCAAAGATTCAGTAGGATTGGAGTAGAGGATTCTTGAATGAAAAGGTAGAAAGCAAGTTTAGAAAAAGAGTTTTTTTCCCCCACCCCTTGGCTGAGTTCTAATTTTATAGCAATGGCTTTGGAGGAAGACAGATCTAGATTTAATTCTGGCTTGGTTGCTTCCTAGCTATATGGTCTTGAAGAAATTATTTAACATCTCTAAACCATAGTTTCTCATCTGTAAAACAGTGATGATGGTGTTGGTGGTCGTTGTGATAATTCCATGCCAGAACTGGGTCAGCTGCTTGGTTTTCATTCGATCATTTTAATCTTCACACATCCTATGGGGTAGTCATTACTATTACAGATAAGGAATGTAATTTAGAGGTTCTGTGACTTGCCCACAGTCAAACAACTAGTGAAAGGTTGCCTGACTTCAAAGCCTCTGTTCTAACCACTGTACTATACCAGGGGTTATAAATATTAAGTGATGAATGCAATGCACATAAAGTGCCTAGCATGGAGCCTGGTACCTACTATCCACTCACTAAATATAGGCTGTTATCAGCTATTTTTAGGACAATTGGGCAGAGAAGTTTGAGTTAAGAACTTCTGTACATATTTGGCTTTCCATAGTGGATGGATTGCCACATGGAGGATAAACTGTAGTTAGGTAACGCAGAGGCAGGGAAGGACTGAGGAGGATCTGGACAAAGAAGTGGTGAGGTGGTGATAGAGATGGAAAAAGAGGATGAATTCAAGAGACCAAAGTCTGTCTCTTGGCAAAGTACTACATAAGCTTAGGCAGGAAGTTAGTTGATAAATGCAATTCTTTTTTTTTTTTTTTTTGGAGACAGAGTCTCACTCTGTTGCCTAGGCTGGAGCGGAGTGGCATGATCTTGGCTCACTGCAACCGCCGCATCCTGGGTTCAAGTGATTCTCCTACCTCGGCCTCCCAAGTAGCTGGGACTATAGGCGCGGGCCACGATGCCCAGCTAATTTCTGTATTTTTTGTAGAGACGGGGTTTCACCATGTTAGCCAGGCTGGTCTCCAACTCCTGACCTCAGGTGATTAGCCCTCCTCGGCCTCCCAAAATGTTGGGATTACGGGTGTGAGCAACCACGCCCGGCCTACCAAATGCAATTCTTTAGCAATTAATTTTCACAAAAACTATTAATGAAGATTGTAAAGAGTATGCAAAAATTCAAACTTTCAACAACTTATATATGTGGCAAAATACAAGCTACAAAACACCACCACTACCACAACCATCAAACAACTTACAGCAATTATATGTATTATAAATTATACTGTTCATATTTAGCTTTTGTGAAAATTAGTTTCTTTGGGAAATTTATATATATAATGTGTGCAGAAGTTAGTATTATTAATCTAAGCACCCTACATTTGTCATATGTAAGTTTATGCCTACACTGCTTTAGATAAAGAACCTTTTTTCATTTAAAAATTATTATAGAATTTACTTTCACATATAACTGGATCTAGCCCACAGTAATTCTGACCTCCAAACTTAGTATCACTAATGATCACTCGAGGATTTTTTTTTTTTTTTAGACAGCCTCACTGTGTCGTCTAGGCTGGGGTGCAGTGATACGATCTTGGCTCACTGCAACCTCTGCCTCCTGGGTTCAAGTGATTCTCCTGCCTCAGCCTCCCAAGTAGCTGGGATTACAGGCACATGCCACCACACCTGGCTAATTTTTGTAGTTTTAGTAGCGACAGGATTTCACCATGTTGGCCAGGCTGGTCTCAAACTCCTGATTCAAATGATCTGCCTGCTTCGCCCTCCCAAAGTGCTGGGATTACAGGCATAAGCAGCATCGCTCCCAGTCATAACTCTAATATTAAACTAGAATTTAAAAAGAAAAATTACTTAGAGTAACGAAATGATCACATATGTCATTATCAGAAATGATCACATATGTTATTATTGACTATTGCCTGGTACCTGAGAAGAGGGGGAGTGTGAGCTCAGGGTACATCCTGGCCAGCTCACAGGACAAGAGGGTGAGCGACACGCTGTAGAGGGGGGGCAGCGGGCCATGTGTTCCATAGAGAATACTTCCTGGTCTTTGCTCAGCGACTTTCTTCGAGTATACAAAAAGCTTTGCTTCAAGGATCTATAAAGAGGTAGGAAAGTAAAAAGTCGTATGAAAAATATTAGCTGGATACTTCAGGAGCATTTGTATTTAACAAAGGTTAGAGGTAACAAAATTAATTAACGCCCATTTAAAAACAGTATTAAAGGTGAAACATCAGTTTAATTAGTATGTTTACAAGAGATTATATAATTGCTTTCTCACTCTTCATAGCCACAAATGATATGCAGAAATAAACGAAGGCCTATCAATAAACAGCAGTTAGGTAATCAACTACCATTTCTATTTTCTGCACTCAAGGATGGATGTTTTCTACGCCAGTAAATGATACGTGCCTGCATGAGTTGCATGGAGATTTCATAAATCTCTCTGTTGGTGTCAGAGGCCTTGAATAGAACAAGGTTTAACAATGTCACTATGTCGAAGGGATAGTTCCTAAAAACACAACACAACAAAACAAAACAAAGCATGGTTTATAAGACAGCGTGGCTAGGTTGTTACCTCTTAAAATTCTAGCTGGCATGCTGACCTTGGTCACTTATTAATGACATTCCCACCCCCATTTGGCCATTTTTTGCTTCCTTCTTTTTCTATTTGTCGGTAGATCAAGGGAAATGACTTTATTTTGGTTTAAAATTAAATACTGGACACCAGGATAAAAAAAACACAAAAGTCTTACCTGATGCAAATGTTCTTTAATGCAAACCGACAAGTGAAAAAGACAGAAAAGGATACGTGTACTAAATTTCTCAATAGCTCACCAAATTAATATTTTCATTTGATTCCTCTAAATTTATTAAGTACCAAACAACGATCAGGAACAACGTGCAAAGTACCAATGATACAAAGATAGCAAGGCTGGTCTCCATCCTTCAGGAGGGCTTACAGTGTAGTCATGGAGACAACCTGTACAGTCTAGTTCTGGTGAGTGTTATGGTGGGAACATCCACAGCATGCTACAAGAATCCTGATGAGGGACACCTATGTTAGATGAGGGGTAGGGAAGTCTTTTCTGAAGAGGAAACAAGTAAAATGGGTCTTGAAGCACCAGGTGATATCAGTCAGGGTCATGGAAGGGGTAGTACAGGAGTGTTCCAGATAGAGAGGACAGCATTCTGAAAGCTTACAAGAATGAAACAGCAAGATACCTATTGTAAAAGGGAAGAATTTTTGCGTAGTAGACTGAATAAAATAAGTAGAGGCCCAGAAAGAGGTGAGGCTAGGCCAGTAGGTGGGTTCAGAAGATGACGAGCCTATGGACTTCGCCTTAAAGTTTCAGAGAAGCACTGCAGGATTTGCCACGGGGAGGGAGGCAATGGCATTCACTTTTTAAACAATCATTCTGGTTGCTGTGTGGAGAATGGATTGCATGGGGCCAAGAGTGGAACCTGTTACAAGAATCCAAATGGGAACTGATGAGGGCTTGAATTAGGGCAGAAACAGTAGAGACAGAAGGAAGGGAGAGATCTGAGGAACACTAAGCAGATAAAATCAGCAGGATTTGGGAATTGATAGCATGTGTGGGATGGGGGGAGAGGAACACAGAAAATAGATTATGTGGCAATTGGCAGTATAACCATATAGAATAGAGAGATTAAATTCATTTTTTTCTTGCTATGTAATCCTATTTAAAGATGTTATCTTTTCACCATATGTATTTTCTTAGATTATAGTGGAAAAGAAGTCATAAATAGAAAACTCCTGGTGAGTTGAACTTTTTCTTTTGTTTTCTTATTTGAGACAAGGTCTCACTGTCACCCAGGCTGGAGTGCAGTGGCATGATCATGGCTCACTGCTGTCTTCACCTCCTGGGCTCAGGTGGATCCTCCTGACTTGGCCTCCCAAAGTGTTGGGATTACAGGTGTGAACCACTGCACCTGGCTGAGTTGAACTATTGAATGGTTTATATGTAGAAGGTGGGTGACTACTACTTATTTTCAAACAAACTTCAGGAAGAAAAAGACAGCTTGAAGGTGAAAAAACATGTTAGTTGTTTTTCCTTGGGATTCTTTTTTTGATTCCAAATAATTACGTCATCTAAGAAGTTCTGTTTTAGAACAATCACTGCTTTGGTTTGAATGTTTGCCCCACCAAAACTCATGCTGAAATTTAATCCCCAATGTGGCAGTATTGAGAAGTGAGACCTTTAAGTGGTGACTGGGTCATGAGGCTGCCCTCATGAATGGGTTAATCTATTCATGGATTAATGGATTGACACATATCATGGGAGTGGGGCCAGCAGCTTTGTAAGAGGAGGAAGAGAAGCTAGCATGCTCAACTCTGCTGCCATGTGAAGCCCTGAGCCATCTCAGGACCCTGCAGAGAGTCCCCATCAGCAAGAAGGCCCTCATCAGATGAGGCCCCTTGACCGTGCACTTAGTCTCTATAACTGTAAGAAACAAATTGCTTTCTCTACAAATTATCTAGGTATTCTGTTATAGGCAACAGAAAACAGAATGAGACAATCACCCTTCCGGAAAGGCTGTCCTACTACGAATACATCCCATTCTACATTAAGTTCAGTGAGAAATTATAGTAAGAATTGGCTAAACACATGAAAAAGTTTTTCTACTTTTAACATTACTCGAATATTAATTTTTATGACATATTTTTCTTCTAAAAGATTCAAGTAACACATAGGGATAGAGGGTCCGCCCTGAAGATGGTTCACTTACAGGGCTACAAGTTGGTGTTGCTTGCAGGTAGGTGAATAGAATAAAACGTAGAAGTATCTCATGTCCTTTCATTCTCCCAATTGTTATTCTTTTTTTTTTTTTTTTTGAGACAGAGTCTCGCTCTGTCACCCAGGCTAGAGTGCAGTGGCGCGATCTTGGCTCACTGCAAGCTCTGCCTCCTGGGTTCAAGCAGTTCTCTGCCTCAGCCTCCCAAGTAGCTGGGACTACAGGCGCCCGCCACCACACCCAGCTAATTTTTTGTATTTTCAGTAGAGACAGGGTTTCACTGTGTTAACCGGGATGGTCTCGATCTCCTGACCTCGTGATCCGCCCGCCTCAGCCTCCCAAAGTGCTGGGATTACAGGAGTGAACCACCTCGCCTGGCCCAATTGTTGTTCTTATCCAAGAGGCAGTTACTGTCAACATTTTGATATTTCAGCTGCCTTCCAAGTCTATATATGAACATTTGCATCAAAATACCTCTCTTTCAATGCACAGGGTTTTAAACATAAATGTGATTACACCACTTGTCTGTACTGTTTGATGATCTGCTTTTTCACTGAACTATAAGGCTCACTTCAGTCTTCCTAATAGCTGTCACATATTCCATTTTAGGAACATATCCTAAACAACTACTCTTGTAATGGGTACTGTGGTGTGCCACCTAGATCCTTCTTTCAGGATGGAGGCACTCAATCCTCCAGCTAAACTGATGGCAGCTGAATCCTCCATCTGAAGCCTTCTCTGGGAACTGCCTTCAGCCAGAGGTTTGCCTAGGTCAAGGTTATATCTGTTCCCCAGCAGCAGCCCCAGTGGGAATGACTGAGGTTTCTTTTCTCTTCCAGTCCTAATTCCTTCATTTCCCCATAGATGTTGACCCCAAGGGCCCACCCTAATAAATGTCCCGCATTCAAATATCCATCTCAGTCTGTTTTCTGGGAGATCCAACTTTTGACTTGCATTGATAGACACTTAGACTGTTTTCACTTTTTCATTACAGTGCCACAAACACCAAATGTGCTGGCCTTTCTTTAGAAAAAATTCATAGAGAGGTCATGCACGGTCAAAGGGCACATTTAAAATTTTGGCAGATACTGATATATTGCCCTCCAAAATAGGTTTATTAATTTCTATTCCAAAATGATTACTTTTCTGTAACTTGTATTTTTAAATAAACACAGTCTGTTTGGTGGGTCTGATGAAAAATTGGGGCACTACCCCCAGATGATGGTGGTGATGATAATGAGTGTCAGAACGATGTTGAATGATGGGCGACATTGATGTTATCATGTGCTTACTTTGTGCCAGGTACTCTGCCAAGGCCTTTACTTAGATTTATTATTTAATCTTCACAACAAGCATGCAAGGCCTAGAGAAAAGTACTTGCTTCAGGTCGTGTGGAAGTGGTGGAGTCCAGACTCCTAAATAAGTCTGACTTCAAAGAATTCAAGCTCTTCTCCACAATGCTCACAGTCTCCTAGACAGTCCACAATAGTGCATTTCATAGCCAGTGTAGTCTGGAATTGTTACAAACTGCTGTATCTCGGAACAGACCTTTCTGCCTATAAAAGTAGAAAGGAAACTCCCTTCTGAGCCTTATAGTAGCAGAGATGCTTTACCTATGTCTCTGTCTTCTGACACTGGAATTTAATACTAATACATTTATATATATAGAAATATTTATATATATATGTATATATATATGAACCAAATATATTGCTGAATCGCTGGAGATTTAAAGGCAGGAAAAGGGCAGACAAAGCCTCCCTCTTACTAGGCAGGGTCATGCACTTGACCTTGTAATTAGAGAATTTATTTTGTTGTTGAAGAATGAGCTACGAGATTCATGAGCAACAACATTGAAAGGAATAACAGATCCAGAAAATGAAAGAAACCCAGAGGAGGAAACAATGAAGGAGATTTCAAATAAGCAAAAGAGTACAAAGAAAGTATCTGTACTTAGATGTTTAAAACAGGCTGAGAAATGGAATCTTATACCTTTCAGTATTTAATTATTCAGCATAGGCAGAGCAAGGGTAAAAGATAAAGACAGCTGTGATCACACCAAATAAAAATCAAATGATAAAATAAATATGGGAGGTAGATATGACTCAAAAAGTAAACAAGAAATCAAACTATCTAGAAGAGAGGAGATACTGAAGAATTTGGGAAATGTCGGCTAGCTCTGGCTTACCTAGTACTACCTTACAAAGCTCAGGACGGCTCTGAGGTATTCTGAAGAGAAAGATTTTACTAGTTAATTGAGGTGATTACTTCACAGCTGTTCTCCAACAACTATTGAATAACAGCGTTTATGGCGTATTTACCATTTGTTAGGCCTTAGGCCAAGAGGTTGTTTTTGCTTAATCATTACTCGAACCCTGTCATCAACCGTATTTCACTAGCGGGTAGGCATCTGCAGTAATTTGTTCAAGAACACACAGCTTGATTAGAGGTCCAGTGAGGATTTGAACCCAAGATAGCATGTTTCTGGAGCCCAGATTCCCAACTCTGCTCTCCCGAAATACTCCAGATGGCTGACACAACCAAATAAGGTTATTTATCATCAGTTAGGGAGTGTGATTGGGATTTATGAATCATAAGCTTTGCTTGTCTTCCTTGTTGATAGATGGATATTATTCCCTGAAGAAATGGGCATTTACTTCTAAGAATTGAAGTTTGCTAAGCCTGACTTAAATTACGAAGATTTATAGAAAGTTAACTTAAAGAAAAACAAACATACAAACAATGCCAACACAAACCACCACCAAAAATAAATCCAACAAAATTATTTAAAAATCAACACTTTGCACTTTGTTCTTACAAACAATTCTAAAACATCTATTAAACACGTTTTAAGAGTGTGTTGGAAGGTAAAAGTAAAAATAATGAAATTCTTCAGTATTTAATTAAAACGTAAAGAGAATTCTGGTGCGTTAAGCTAGTGATTGGAAATGGCCTATACTCTTAATACACAATTTACCTCGATTTATAACCTTGGAAAGTCATTTAGTTTCTTTCTCAATTTCCTTATCTATCTTATTCCAATCTCATTTGAAGTCAGGGAAAAATCAATACAGACACAAACAGAAGCCAAATAGTTATTTGAACTAAAGCTGGCTAACGAGTAAGCAATTTTTTGTACTAAACTTTTAGTAGTGAGCTGTATCTAATAGCTTTTAATCACATATGTTAACATATTTTATGAAAAATTTTGCAAAATTAATACTGCCAGTTCTACCATCACTTTCTTTTTCCTAATTTCCTTTGGTCCTATTCAAGTTCTGTTCTGACTTTCTATCTCCTAATATCACGAGAGTCATAGCATAGCATAGCTATAGAGTTTTGACTAGAGAACAGTAAGTTCACAGCACATGCACACACACACACATACACACACACACACTCACACTCACACACAGTCCATTACTGCTGGAAAAATAACCAAAAAGAAGGATGTAGAGAACCATTTTTCCCTATTTGCCACAGCCAATGAACATTGACGTATTAATTACACAAAAATGGCAAATCCTCTTTTCTAAAGCTAAAATAGAAAATTTAAATCAACAAGAACATTTAAAAAATTTTAATCTTTCAGGTAATTTAAAGTCAATTATGAGTGGTTTCTTAATAAATAAATGTGCTTATAAACTGTCATAATTCTCTACAAATAAATCCCGGAGATGATAATTCCTATTTGAAAAGGAGGAGATCATTATTTATCTTACAAGAATTCTTTGCTTTAGAAAATGACTTGTAGGAGTTACTGTGTAGATAACTTGTTTGAGAAACTTAAAATAAAATTCAGTTTGCATATGACTTTTCAGAAACATATTTCATAAGGTCTTCAGTTGCTTTTTAGATGCAAACTTACAGAAGACGAATGAAGCAAGAGCTGAAAATACCACAATTGGTTTTGGAAAAAAGTACTGCAAACACAAGCACAATGACTGCTCAAGCCTCTCTGGAGGCCTGTCTAGACTACACAGGCTGAGAATTTATGTGGAAAGAGCAAATTTAGGCAACAGCTGAAATTTTAAATTCTGAACATGCCCTGTGTTGAGAAATGGCAGAAACACTGGTCACTATCTGGACAGTTGGGTTCAAGCCATTGTATTCTTCTGCCCTCTGCCCTTCCTTCAGAATAGATGAGTGTCGTGAATGCAAATAGATATGCAGTATTTGTCTAAGAAACCAAGATAGTGTATAATGATACCTTAAAAAATACTTGGAACATAGCAGGTTTTATGACCTAATATTTTTGTGACTAGAGATATTATTGAAATTGAGACTATGTTGCTAAATTTATTAAGCATTTATTTGTGCTCCCTAAGGAAAAATACCTAGACTTACTCAGAGAAATTCAGTGTAATATTTTGTGAGATGGCCATGCAATGCAATAAATTTGATTAGGATAGTTCAAGCCAAGTTCACTGGGAAAAGGGCAGTGAAGAGGTGAAACTTATTTTTGTCAAAGAAAGAAGTCCAAGTCATAGATTCTAAATATATTGTTAAAAATCAACGGCTCATGTGAATGAAACTTTATTTTTAGAATGTTGAAATACCTGAAAATTAAAAAAAAGCACTCTGGAGAAAGAGATTTTTGTAACAATGTTCTTTTGGTAATGTCCTAAAGTATATTTTTTAGTAATGCTTATAACAGGAAATAAAACTTGATGGAAAATCAGGCAGTTTAGGTTATATTCATTTGCTCTAACTTTTATGGACATTAAAATCTATAATAAAAGCTCTACTACTGAAAGCTTTAGATATGAAATATTATCTACTATCTTTATAAAAGAAAGATAAAAATTTTAAGGAGAAACTTGTCTCCCTAAATAGCATGTTCATTTTAGGTTTATTGAAAGTAGACGTCTTCCAAAATACTGTTCTTATTAACTTAGACCTATAACCAATTGGAATTTAAAACTAATTCACTTTTATTCTCTTGATCTGGTAGCTCAAGATAGCTATTTAAAGTGCAACATTTAATTAAAAAGGAAAGTTGACAGTCTATATGAATATTTTCAAAAATAAACGAGTTGGTTTCTCTCAATTTTTGATACATAAGCTCTTTATTGGGAATAGCTTATGCAACTTGGAGAACCTTTATTAACCCTTTCATTGTAGCTATGAACTTATTTCAGCACATAAATTATGCTGAATGGCTACACTGAATAACTAATTTATATAACAAAGGCAATGGTTTTAAAAGTGTAATCTATAGAATCTTTGGTGCCACACTTTCTTTTCTTTTTTTCCTTTCTGAAGTTTTTGACAAAGTGAATTTAAAAATTTTAGGCCGCTTCCTGGGTTTGGTTTTTTGTAAAGATGGCTGATGGGCTAGAGTTCACCCTCATTACAAACATTTCTAGACATTCCTTTAATTCCTATAGTGTATCTTCTTTGTCATTTTCAAATCCTGCTGTAATACCTGACTGAATTTCCACACAATTAGAAAGGTACTGTAACAACAAATCATTTCCTGATAAAATGAGAAAAACCAATGAAACTGCAACCTTACAGGGAGTAGTTTATCTGCTGGGGACATACAGAAAATTTTATATTCTCATATAATTTACTTTGCTCATAGAGTTGCAAAACAGTCAGCTCTCCATCATTCATATCACAAAAGGTAACCCTAAACATACTTGCCACTCATCACTGCTTATAAAAATTCATACCTGCTTCCACATACAGTTGCTATGGCTTTGAAGCAGCCAGATGCAAGTTGGTAGGAACCTGTGTAGCATCGGTCAATTGCCCAATTAAAAAGATTTATTTGGTCAGGATTAAGTTCCAGTAGCAAGACAACAACTTCGCAGCCAAGTTGATGAACCTGAATACATGGAGCAAATCAATATTATTTGTATTTGACGAAAGAATGCTCTAGAGAAAGACACAGATAAAGCTTAGTCAATATAAACTAGGTAAAATGAAAGGAAGACTGAGCTTTCATCTTGGTTAATTTATATGTCATATATTCTTCAAGAGAGTATAATGTCGCAACTGAAAACTGAAATGGATACATCAAATTTGATCATGTAAGTCTGTTACATAGTGTCCACCTATTCTCAATTTTTATCTCTGAAAAGGGGGTAGCTGGGGCGCATGGGTCATGCCCGTAATCCCAGCACTTTGGGAAGCCGAGGGGGTAGATTACCGAGTTCGGGACCAGCCTGGCCAACATGGTGTAAACCCATCTCTACTAAAATAGAAAAATTTGCCGGGCGTGGGTGCCATGTACCTGTAGTCCCAGCTACTGAGGAGGCTGAGGAAAGGAGATCACTTGAACTTGGGCGGGCGGGGGAGGGTGCAGTGAGCTGAGATCGTGCCATTGCCACTCCAGCCTGGGTGACGAGAGTGGACTAGGTCTCCAAAAAAAAAAAAAAAAAAAAAAAAAAAGCGGGGTGGGGAGGACGACTTTATTGGCAATTTTTTTTTGCATTTAAAATATGTCTGAAAAATACATGTATTTGGTTTAAAAAATCCAATATACAAAAGGATATCCTCTATGTATTAGCTCAGAGTATTGTGGGGGGATCATTTGATCATTTGATGTTACCACTGTGCATGCAGGGTGGCCACTCACCTAAAGATTTTGATGCCGGTAGGAATAGTGATAATTATAGTGGCAGATGTGAAGTATGCTTGTGTATCAATGTCTATTCCTACTACAAAGTCTCTTAAGGAAAAAAATCAGAGGAAATATGACCATGAGGATTGGTTACTAAATATACTGTGTGAAGCTTAGCAGCCTATCTTTCAAAAAGAAATACAGTCTCAATAGACACTTCTTAAAGTTTTTTTTAATTAAAAAATCATACTAGATAGCATTAATAGGATGCTGAATCGATGATTCCTGAAGCTACTCTCAAATACTAGATGGTCAGTGAATATGCACATTTGTCCAGGAGAAGGCTGGTGCCTAGAGGCTACATGTTACTTTCTCCTCAGAAAGTAACATTCTGGCCAGGAGTGGTGGCTCATACCTGTAATTCCAGCACTTTGAGAGGCCAAGACAGGCGCATCACTTGAGGTCAGGAGTTTGAGACCAGCCTGGCCAATGTGGTGAAACCCTGTCTCTATTAAAAATACAAAATTAGCTGGACATGGTGGTGTGTGCCTGTAATCCCAGCTACTGGGGAGGCTGAGGCACAAGAATCGCTTGAACTTGGGAGGCGGAGGTTGCAGTGAGCTGAGATGGTGCCACTGCACTCCAGCCTCGGCAAAGGAGTGAGGCTCTGTCTCAAAAAAAAAAAAAAAAAAAGTAATATTCTGGTGCCTCCTCCTAAAGTTGTTCACTCTTCTTGCCAGTTGGAACCAGGTTGAAAAGGCAAGATTCTGGCTTCTTCATTTTTTTTTACTTACAGGGTTTGGGCCTAGGTGGGAGTGATATTCTAACTGGATGGTCAAACATCTTCCACCTAGTTCCCCCCAACTGGCTTTAAGTAATTCGCAGCAGATAAAAGCTGATGATATTATTGCAAATGACTTAAAATAACATTTCATTAAAAAGTTAGACTTGAGAGAAGAATCAAGCTTTTACTGTGCTTTAGAAAGTTATATTGAGGTATAAAATACACAGAGATCGTATATAATTCCTATGTATATGATGAGTTATTTTAACACCCTCCTATGATCACCACCAGGTCAAAAACCAGAATATTACCAGCACCACTGAACCCTCCCCTGGGCACTCTCTTAAACACCAGCCTGTCTTTCCTCCCCAGGAGAAACCACTATCCTGACTTCTAGCACTACTGGTTAGTATGGGCAGTTTTTCAGGTCTATATAAATGGAATTATAGGTATATAATTTTGTCTCCTGTGGCTTTAATTTGCATTTCCCTCATGCTATAGAATGAATGTTTGTAACCTCCCAACCCTCAATTCACATTTAAATTTTAACCCCCAAGGTGGTGGTATTTGGAGATGGGGCCTTTAGGAGGTGATTAGGTCATGAGGTGGGGAACCCCTGTGAATGAAATTAGTGCCCTTATAAAAAAGACCCCAGAGAGTTCCCTTGTCCCTTATGTTAAGTGAGGACACAGCAAAGAGACTGCTGCCTATAAACCAGGAAGGAGGCCCTCACCAGACATAGATCTGCCAGCACCTTAACCTTGGACTTCTTGGCCTCCAAAACTGTAAGAAATAAATTTCTGTTGTTGATAAGCCACTAGTCTATGATATTTTGTTATAGCTGCCTGAATGGACTAAGACACATGATTATTAATGAGTTTGAGAACCTTTTCTTATGTTCACTGGTCAGTTAGGTAACCTCTTCTGTGAACTGCTTAAGTTTCTTGCTCATTTTTCTATTGAGTCTGTATTTATCTTATCTATTTGTAGGAGTCCTTTATATATTCTAGATAAGAAGCCTCTGCTGATTGTGCATTACAGACATCTCTCACTTTATGGCTAGCCTGTTCATGCTCTTAATGGTGTCTTTTGGTGAATAAAAGTTATTAGTTCTTCCTTAGGGTTAGTAATTTTTGCATTCTGCTCAAGAAATCTTACTGTAACCCCAGGGATGAAGATATTCTGGATTATTTTCTAGAGACTATTATTTTAGCTGTTACATTTAGATATGCAATCCACCTGCAATGAACTTTTGTAAAGTGTGAGGAAAGGGTCAAATTTCTTTTTCTTTCTTTCATTTAGTAAGGCTATCCAACTGACCCCAAATTACTTATTGGAAAATACCATTTTTCTCATTGCTCTGCAGGGCCATCTTTGAAATAAACCATGTGTGCATATACATAATACATCGTAATTTTCTGGCCTCCCTATTCTACTCCATTGGTATATATATACTTATTCTTGGCCAATAGTTCGGTGTTTTAATGACGATACATTTATAATAAGTGTTGATTTCTGCTAAAGTGAATACTCTCACTTTGATTATATTGTTCAAAATTATCTTAGCTATTTCTGGTCCTTTGCATAGATAGATAGATAGATAGATAGATAGATAGATAGATAGATAAATTTTTTAAAGGAACTTCCAGTTGTCACAAATATCCTGCTCAGATTTTGACTAGAATTGCATTGTCTCCATATTGCATTGTCCTCCATTCTGGAGGAGAATGACTTCTTTACAATAGTGAATCTTCCAGTTCAATAGCATGGTATATTTTTCCATTTATTAGATGTTTAATTTTTCTCATTAATGCCTTACATATTTCTATGTATGAGGCTTTGCACATTTTTGTTAGGTTTATTCCTAAGTATTTAATGTTAATTCCTAATTTTAAAATGCCATTATAAGTGGCATAATTAAAATTTTATTTTTCCAGCTCCTTATTGTTGCTGTACTGAAATATAATTGATTTTTAATTTTGACCTTTCATTTGGCAACCATGCTAAATTCACTGACTAATTCCAACACTTTGTCTAAAGACTTGTTGGAATTTCCTTCACACACAATTGTGTCACCTGTGAACAATGAGTTTTACTTATGTTTTATTATTCTTTATAATCTCTTCTTTCCTACTGCATTGGCTAGGATCTCCAGTATGATGTTGATAGAGGTGGTGACAGTAAGCTTCCTTGGCCATTTTAATCTCAGAGAGAATACTTTCAAATTAACTATTAAATATGATGTTTGCATATTTTATATTAAATATGGTGTTTATACGGTGTTTTGTTTCAAGGTGCCTTTTGTCAAACTAAGGATGTTCTTTTCTATTTGTAGTTTTGCCAGGAGTTTTTCTCTTGAATAAATGAAGAAGTTTATCAAATGCTTTTCTTGCATCTGAGATCATGTTTTTGAGATTCTGTGAATACAGTTAATATATGAATGAACTGACAGACATTTGAATATTAACCAACCTTACAGTCCTTGAATAAACCCAATTTGACCATGGTAAATCATTTTTTTCTATATCACTAAATTCAATTTTCTAATATTTTATTTAAAGTTTTGTATCTATGTATTAGAGATAATCTCATGAATGAGACTGCCTTTTAATTTTCTTTCTTGCTACACCCTTTTCTTGTTTTATTATCACGGTTATTCTGGTTTCACAAAATGTACTGGGACGTATTTCCTTTTCATCTGTTTTCTCTTTAAAAATTTGCATTGAATCCATGCAATTTGTTCTTTAAATGCTCAGTAGAATTCATTAGTAAAGCCATCTGGTTTTATAGTTTTATTTTTTTTAACACTTTAAAGAAAGTCACTCCCTCTTTCTTGATTGAACTTGCCATGGATTTGTGAATTTTTTTAGTATTGTAACAAATTCAACTTTTGGTTTAATGATCACTACCATTAATTTGTTTCCCTTTCATTAATTTCTACTCTTATTTCTATTATTTCCTTCATAGTACTGTTTTTGAGTCTGATATTCTATTCTTTTTCTAACTTCTTGTGATGAATGCTTAGGTCATGGATAATCAGCCTTTTCTCTCTTTAATATGAGGGTCTTCAAAAAGTTCATGGAAAACGTATATTATGAAAAAATTATGCATGGATTAAATTTTTTTTTTGCACCCAAATAAACTTGTGCTAACTTGTTACAATATGTCTGAACAGAATTTAGTTTGAGGCACTAAGAAGGAGAAGACATCAGTTTGAAAACAGCCCCTATCAGAGTAACATGAATTCTGCTGAAATTGAAGCAAGTACAAACATCAAATTTATAGTGAAGCTTGGGTGGAAGAATAGGGAAATCATTGCTGCTTTACAAAAAATGTATAGGGGCAATTCTCACAAAGAAATTAGCAGTTTACAAATAGATAACCTGTTTTAAGATGGTGATGAAGATGAAGCCCCCAGTGGTAGACCATCCATACCAATTTGTGAGGAAAAAATTCATTTAGTTTGTGCCCTAATTAAAGAGGACTGATGATTAACAGCAGACACAATAACCAACACCACAGACATCTCAACTGGCTCATCTTATACAATCCTGACTGAAAAATTAAACTTTAGCAAATGTTCCATGTGATGGGCACTAAAACTCATCAGCAGTAGACAAGCAGAGCTTTCAATGACAATTTTCAACAAATGGGATTAAGATTCTATAGATCTTCAAAGAATTGTAACAGGAGATGGAACATGGCTTTACCAGTGCTATCCTAAAAACAGCGCAATAAAAACAACGGCTACCAAGAGATGGAAGTGGTCCAGTCAAAGCAAAAGTGGACTAGTCAAGAGCAAAAGTTATGGCAACAGATTTTTGGGGTGCTCAAGGAAAGTCACTTGTTGACTTTCCGGAAGGCTAAAGAACAATGACATCTGCTATTATAAAAGTGTTTTGAGAAAGTTAGCCAAAGCTTTAGCAGAAAAATATCTCGGAGAACTATACCAGAAAGTCCTTTTTCACCATAACAATGCTCCTGCTCATTCTTCTCATCAAATGAGGGCAATTTTGCAAGAGATTTGATGGGAAATCATTAAGCATCCATCTTACAGTCCTGACTTGGCTCCTTCTGACTTCTTTTGGTTTCCTAATCTTAAAAAAATCTTTAAAAGCCACCCAATTTTCTTCAGTTAATAATGTAGAGAAGGTGGCGCTGATGTGGTTAAGTTTCTAGGACTTAGTTCTGGGACGGATTCTTTAGGCATGGATTAAGCAAAGACTTCGAAAAATGTCTTGACCTTGATGGAGATAACGTTAATAAATAAAGTATATATTTTTAAAATTTTTATCTTTTAATTCTATTCTTCCACAAAACTTTTTGAAGTCCCCTTGTATATGCGTTTAAGGCCATGCATTTCATTCTAAGAAAGGCTTTACTTACAGCCCACAAGTTTAGTATATAGTACTTTCATTATTCTTCAGTTAAAAATATTTTCCAGTTTCCATAGTAATTTATTCTTCAACTCATTGGTTACCAGGAAGTATTTTTTAAAATTATCTTTTTGTTATCGAATTGAATACCAACTTAATGCTACTCTGATTAGAGAACATAGTCTATCATTTCACTAATGTGACCTTTGTTGAGATTTGCTTTATGACCCAGCTTATGGGCAATTTTGATAAATGTTACTGTCTTTTTTATCTTGATGTATCATAGTGTAAAGTGAACAACACATAAATCTATATTTGTATGGCTGATGTGTGAAGAGGCTGTATTGTGAACAATGCTTATACATCTCAGTAACTCAACTGAGGCGGAACACAGACGACATTTAAAACCAATGTATTTTTGCCTATACTTACTCGTAAATCTTGACAAGCCAGAATGTTGTCAAGCCATTTATATAGGTAGCCATCCGGGGAAAGGCCCACATTGTCGAAGACAGGGCCACAGCACAGTACTGCTGACATTGCCTGGTGATAAAAACACAAGACATGGAAATGAAACTTGGAATGATCTGATGGTATCCAACTGACTTTATAAAACATAATTGTCAGACTTACAAATGATAAGGACCCTCTAAAGACACTTATTTCCCCAAGATTTTTAAAGCATTCTTTAGTAGATTTACTAAAAAAATCAGATTCCAAATTTGGCTTTCATAAGAATTAAAAACCCATAAGTTTACCTTTGTGGACTTTTAATTTTATCATTGTAACAACTCTTTATGACCAGAGTAAGTATTCAAAACCAAAAAACCATTTTGCAATATTTAAAATAAGCTTTCCTTCAATGTTTCAAGTGAATTCTGCTTATAAGATAAATATAGCTTTTCAAATTTTGCTTTTAGGACAAATATTGGACTAATGTATTGAACTGAGACAGTATAAAATATATGAAAAATATGAAAGTAAATAATCATAATCCTTAATCAAAGGTAAATAAAATGAAAAATATAAATTTAGTACCTCTAAAGGGGTGGGTGGAGGGATAAATCAAGGGAAAGTAGAAGAGGGTATCTTGAACAACTTTGTAATTGGCAGGTCTAACTGACTATGAGGGCCATAGTTTAAATTAGCTCCACCGAGGCGAAGGTAACCTGAGAGTCAGCAACTTATGTTCTGTATGACAGAGCTGATATACAGTTAGTTTTCTGAAGGAAATTGGACTGTAAAAGAGTCATACTTCTGAAGGCTTTGAATAGTCCTAGTTGGGGGGAAATTTATTTCTGGCAGTCTTCTAGGACAAAAGGACATTAAAAAGGGAATGTTGCTCTCCGTAGATTTTGAACTTGGGGTGATGTCTATTTTTTTCTTTTTTAGGTTGATAGTTAATTGACAAGGCAGTTATATAATGGGTAAATGAGCAAAAATATATGGTTCCCATACAGGAGAAATATGAGAAGAAAATGGGAGCTTAGAAAAGCTATGCATGTGTGTGTCCATGTGATTTTTTTGTACGTGCGCTTAGATTTTATTCTATTGTATCGTATTATTTAAGTTTATTTTTAAGCCATGGTTATTAGTTTCATGAGAGAGACCATCCATCTGACAAAAGTCATTCGTGAGTACAATGTCACCTACTTTTAATGCACAATACTGATATCTTGTAATCTGATGATTTCTATCACTGTAACGATCCAGAGGAGTGAACATAATGCTGAAGGGTCCTGCCCACTGGCTGAATAAGATGAAAAGATGGTGCCTCAGGCTTTGCTGGGGGAAGAGAAATCTTCGGTGGTGAACTACGGAGAAAAACACACTCAGAGGTTACAAGACTGGAAATACTCTATATGGCCGTTATGTATATTTCTTACATTTTGAGGAAAGGAACCACTTGATTTTTTAACTACGATTCTCTTTAGGCAATGAAACATGCACTTAAAAAGTCAAGCCATGTTTTCTTTTCTAAGTGTTCGCTCTTCCCGTCCTCACGCTGCAGTCAGCAGCACCTTGACTCAGAGTGGGAAAGAAAGATCAAAAATAGGACCTGCAGGGAATTTTTTCTAATCAATACCTGGGAAAACTGCAACACTTTCCACTCAGCTGCTGCTTACATACTAATATTTTTTGACTGCTGCCCATCTTTAAGAGAACTCGGAAACAGCATAGACTCTCTATGTCAAACTCACATAGGTACTTCACTTTAACTGAAGAAGTAAACTCAAATCTTAATTTAGGGTCACTGAAGCTGAGGAGGATTGGTAAGGAGGCTACTAACATCAAAATGGTGAAAAGCAGAAACATTAGTTGACAAGGGACTTTTTGTAATAATACCAAAAACTTTTAATTATAATAATTTTTTATAGCAAACTAACCAGCTACTTTATTTTCTATGTTCTATTAGAATGAATATGTTTCATACCCATTTGCTCTGTGAGAGAAAATTTTCTCCATAATGTAATATTTAATCGAATGTAAAATATATTAAGCTTTATATACATTTAATGTGTTGGTAGGATAGAGTCAGAGAGAAGAAATATTGCTGAAATTACCTGTTCACAGATTAGTATAGAGACAATGTGAAAAAAAATGAAGCCTGTGTGAATGTTCCCTCTGAATTACTTCCTTCCTATGGAAATCACATCAGTTCATTTTCAGATGGAAACCAAAACAAAGAATAGAAATGACACACACAAAGCCAGATTTAATACTTATCATTCCCTTTCCAACTCTGTGCTGAGTAATGACAATCTGTTCTCATATATATGTCCTAGTATGTCAAAGTAAATAATCCCATCCCAGACTTGCATAAAGGCCAGTAGGGTTAAAGAGGAAAGCACGGTAATAAAGAACACAAATGGGCTTCCAAGCATGAATGGTAATTTCTTGTAATGGATCACTGTACCTGGAACACACTGAATCAAGTTGGCGACCATTGCACTAAAATGCGCCCGGATATCTTTAAGAATTTCAACTTCTTTGTCATTTTCAGCTTCTAGGAGCATGCGGGTCAAGTCCACGTATTCTAAGAACAAAGCTCCCAGGGCTAAAGTATCCCGCTCTAAGGCTCCATTTGTGCTGGAATAAAGGAAAATTAAATTTTTAGATGATCAGTCTTTATGTTAAACTAATACAGGCTTCATGAAAACTAAGATTCACTGTTACAACTCATACACTAAAGTTGTTCCTAACCTATATGCAGTGTAAAGAAAATATGAAAAAAGAAAAAGCGAGCTTTTTGGATTTTTCTAAGTTAAGGGTATTATATTTAAAAACAAAAGAAAAGAGAGAGACAGAAAGAAAGACAAAAAGATCAGTGTGGTGAGAAGAGAGCAACTCGGTAGAATTCTGACCCTACCTGTCACTTATTACACCAGCATCAGCCAGAAGTTCGAAAATTCGAAGTAGCTGTAGCCTTAACAAGTCTCGCCGTTCTCGGCGTTTCTTGTTCTGTGTAGAAAAAGGTAGTATCGCTTACAGACATGGGCAAAACAATATTAACTTTGCTTTAGAAAATGGTATTAAGAAGAGGCATAATCTAGTCATTTTCAATTTGCTAAGCATAACAGTCAGCATATATTTTGCTTTCTTCCTAATCCTCAGAGGAAATGCTTGCTATCTACAGGCTGTAAGAGAAGCACATCATAAGTGGGTCAGTAAATGTTAGGTGGAAACGTTGAGAAACAACAAGTCCTCATTTCCCAGCTGCTCTCAGTGTCTGCTGAAAGGCGGAAGCATCTGAAACCAATGAAAGGGGCAGGGGACATGAAGTAATCCCAGTTTCGGTCATGGAAGTAACACTGTTCTTATTCACACTGCTGAATTTCTGTTATTTCTTTATTTTTACATTTTATTTATTTATTTATTTTTGAGATAGGATCTCACCGTGTCACCCAGGCTGGAGTGCAGTGGTGTGATCTTGGCTCACTGTAACCTTGAACTCCTGGGCTCAAGTGATCCTTCTGCCGCAGCCTCTCGAGTAGCTAGGACTATAGGCGTGCATCACCACACCCGGCTACTCGAGTAGCTGGGACTACAGACATGCATTACCACACTCGGCTAATTTTAAACATTTTTGTAGACCTAGGTCTTGCAGCCCGGTCTCAAACTCTTAGCCTCAAGTCATCCTTCCACACTGGCCTCCCAAAGTGCTGGGATTACAGGCATGAGCTACTGCACCTGACCTAATTTCTGCTATTTCTTGTATCATTGCTACTATATGAGAAAGTTTCTTTTCTCTTTCTTTTTTTTTTTTTTTTTGAGACAGAGTCTTGCTCTGTCACCCAGGTTGGAGTACAGTGGCGTGATCTCGGCTCACTGCAACCTCCACCTCCCAGGTTCAAGCGATCCTCCTGCCTCAGCCTCCTGAGTAGCTGGGACTACAGGTGTGCGCCACCAAGCCCAGCTAATTTTTGTATTTTTAGTTGAGATGGGGTTTCACCATGTTGGCCAGGATAGTCTCGATCTCTTGACCTGGTGATCCGCCTGCCTCAGCCTCCCAAAGTGCTGGGATTACAGGTGTGAGCCACCATGCCTGGCCCTTTTCTAGTCTTTTTATTATTTTTATCTGGGTACAAAAACTTTTCAGAATTCACTTCAGGGAAGGTGATCCTGGGGAAAATGCCTCATATGCCAGATGAGACAAATTACATTCTTGGCCATTCAACTACTTGTAAAAAAAACAAGCAAACACACAAAAACCCAAAATTCAATTTTAATTCAAATCTCCTGCAAAAGAATGTAATAGTTGACATACATGAGTATTTTAAGTTGTTTTGCATTTATATGTTTAGGACATAAAATCTATAGAACCATTTTATACTAATTACTTAATGAAAACTGAAAAATAATAAAAACAACACAAGTTAAAATATCAAGAGTCATTGTTAAAAGCTGTTAGGTGTTTGTATTCTTTAGGGGAAACCACTGGGTTTGATTTAAATTCAGATGATTGTCCAAAAAACCAAGCCTTAATTATTTAAATTCAAATTCTTACCTCTGGTCTTCTTTCCAGAGCTTCTTTCATTAATGGATGAAGTTCTTCTACCAGTTCTCTACGGACGAAAAAGGTCAATTTTGAAATTCACTGTTTTTGACACCAAACTTGTCACTAAATACTCTATATCCATTCAATCCCAAATCACTTGCTGTTTGCACTTTGCTTCTAACACTACAATCTCCCTGACCCCTCCATTTCCCAATTGTGTGCTAGGCTGGAAACAGGTATTGTCCATACTTTGTATTATTCGTCTTAATTCCAGTGCTATGCATATAATTTTGGCTCAGTAACTATTTATTGACTTGATTTTGATTTAATGTTCCAGAGATCTCTATGGCAAAAACAAACAAACCCTATGTGAACAATTAAACAAACAATATTTTCCAAGTATTTTCTAAATTCAAGTACTTTACTACAAGTCATGGAGCTGAAGATAAATAAAATTGAGCCCCTGCACACAAGAAATTTTCAGTCTAATTAGTGGAAAAGAGATGGGTGCGATTACCCCAGCGCTGCATTTGGGATCTGTGCTCAGGAGACTGACCTCTAGTTGACTTTAAAACAAAGCCTTTTTTGGATTTCAGAACTAAATTCCTTTATTTCCACTATATAGTAAATAAAAAATTCTGTATGGCAAGTACTAAATTTGTGAGATTCTCATCAAAACCTTTTATATAGTAAAAATATAAATCTTGATCACAATATATGTCTTTGTCCTGATTATCTCCAGTTCTCAACATTACACTTTCTAATCTAATTAGCTCTCTTCTTCAAGAAATAACTTCTGAATCGCTAGGTCAAAAAAACAGACAAAAAGATAAGATGTAGCTTGTTGTCAGACTAGTATGTAGGTATTTTGCCTACAGTACGCCCAGGTTTGAAAACCTTGTACTTTCTGGTAGGACATTTTGTTCTATTAAACATCACCAGCCAGGAAAATCCAAAGATGGGAGTAAACTCTATGCCATTCCATACTGAGAGACAGAAAGCCTGAGTTCAATTCCCGATTTCTCCAATGCAGACATTAGAATTTCTTCATCGAAGAAATGGGAATAACATCGATAGTCTGCTCCACTTTACAGTGGCCATTTAACAAATATTTACATTGTGAATATTTACATTTAATATGTCCTCTCAATAAATTTATGAGATGGATTCTATAATTATACTAACATTTAAAAAACTAGACAGATACACTTATTTATGTTTATTTACTATGCCAATTTTACAGTTGAGAAAACTGAAGCCCAGAGACATTAAGTTTTCTAGACTCACGAGACTAGTTGGTTATATAATCTTACCTGTCTCTAGGAATATTTAGAGGTCCATATATGCAAAACAATCTTAGATTATTCGGGAAAGAATGTTGGGTAATTTCAGGGATTGTTATTGTTATCTCCTTGTTATCTCTTTTCTTTTTTTTTTTTTTTTTTTGGTGACAGAGTCTCACTCTATCACCCAGGCTGGAGTGCACTGCAACCTTTGCCTCCCAGGTTCAAGCTATTCTCCTGCCTCAGCCTCCTGAGTAGCTGGGACTACAGGCGCACACCACCATGCCTGGCTAGTTTTTGTACTTTTAGTAGAGATGGGGTTTCACCATGTTGCCCAGGCTGATCTTGAACTCCTGACCTCAGGTGATCCACCCGCTTTAGCCTCCCAAAGTGCTGGGATTACAGGCATGAGCCACTGCGCCCAGCCATCTCCTTGTATTTCTATATGATATTTTGTCTTAACTAATTAACCAATAACTAGTAAAACTCTGGTTAACTGGTACCTACACAGTCAGAACCCACAATTACTTCTTTTAAGAATGAAATCTGGGCCGGGCGCAGTGGCTCACGCCTGTAATCCCAGCACTTTGGAAGGCTGAGGTGGGCGGATCACAAGGTCAGGAGTTCGAGACCATCCTGGCCAATATAATGAAACCCCGTCTCTACTAAAAATACAAAATATTAGCTGGGAGTGGTGGTGCGCACCTGTAATCCCAGCTACTCAGGAGGCTGAGGCAGGAGAATTGCTTGAACTTGGGAGGCAGAGGTTGCAGTGAGCCGAGATCATGCCACTGCACTCTAGCTTGGGCAACAGAGTGAGACTCTGTTTCAAAAAAATAAAATAAAATAAAATAAAAATCTGACTCTAACCATAAATAACTTAGATCTTTTTCAATAGCCTCTAAAACATCTTACTAATCTTTATTTTTCAAGTAGGGCTTCTCACAAATGCTTGGAGGTTTCTCATTTCTATCTACATGGAAAATTTTGTTTGAGATTTTATTTGTCCATATAGGGTTTTGTGGCTTAGCTAAAGTCATCAGAGGCAACCCAAACTAACATTTTACAGTGTCTCTTTCAAAGGCTTTGAGAGTGCTTCAGATGGAATGTTTATTTGATTGCAAATGTGAATAAATAAGGAATCCAGAAAGCAGGTATATGGTTATATTAAGGCAAAGAAAGTGCCCTACAGAAAGATCAACCAAGTTGCGCGTGGTGGCTCACACCTGTAATCCCAGCACTTTGGGAGGCTGAGGCGGGTAGATCACTTGAGGTCAGAAGTTTGAGAACAGCCTGACCAACATGGTGAAACCCCGTCTCTACTATAAATATGAACATTAGCTGGACGTGGTGGTGCAGGTCTGTAGTCCCAGCTACTCAGAAGACTGAGGCAGGAGAATCGCTTGAATCTAGAAGGGAGAGGTTGCAGTGAGCTGAGATTGCGCCACTGCACTCCAGCCTGGCAACAGAGCGAGACTCTCTCAGGAAAACAAACCAAAAAATAAGAGAAAGAAAAGAAGAAAAGAAAAAAAAAGAAAGAAAGAAGAAAAGCGACAAGAAAGGAGAAAGAAAGAAAGGAAGAAAAAAACAAGAAAGAAAGAAAGAAAGAAAGAAAGAAAGAAGAAGAGAAAGATCAACCAACGAACTGAACACACTTCCACGAACGGGTTTTATCAATGCTTAACCGTTTGGAGAGTCCATTGGGTAAATGTCTGATGAGCAGACTGTTGTTATTTTGACGTGATAGCCTCTGAACAGTCTGGCTAACTGGGATTGATACTGAATTATCTTCATTTATAGTTGTCTAAAACAAAGCTTGCCAGTGAAATAAAATTTGAGAGGAAAAATCAAAGTTGCAATGACTAAAAGTGACAGGTGAGGCAGTTGCAAGGAATGCTTGTTACATGCACATCAACCAAGACGATGTAGTGGGAGTCACACAAAGCCTATAAACTCTCCAGGTACCCGCCAACACACAGACTTAAATTTGAGTTAATAAAGGAACGACAATAGCAGCAGCATGTATGAATTTAGAACAACTCATTAAGACTACTGTACCTGAAAACAAGGGAATTTGTTCTTCCAAATCCTAAAACTAAGGACTCTGTGATCTCAATGCTCTCTAGTCTCATCAAAGGCACCAACTGCTTTAACAGAACTCCCACCGATGGGGTGCCTATGGCCTGAAACAAGTTGAATACAAGTGAAAAAGAGGTAACATGGTAATGGATGGTTCCTTTAATCAAAGGATGATTCCATTGTAACAGTTTCAAAGTACTGAACCACATCCCAAGGCACTGCCATCATTTCAGGAAACACACACACACCTACACACAGACACACACACACACACACACACACACACACACACCCACAAATTTAATACAGCAAAATGAATGCAGGTCTCACCTGGAACACAAATTCTAAAAAAATTTTTTATAATGGTTTTCTTCTTTTTAAAACCATTTAAGTCTACAAAGCTATCTTTAACAAGATAATTTATTTAATCAAGGCATGATTTAAAGGTGAATATTCAGTAAGGAGGGACAGAAATGTAGTGTGGTGTTGCAGGACACAAACCAAACCTCAGGGCACGAATAAATACAAGTCACTCTATGGTCTTAAGCAAGTTTCTCAACTTTTCTTTATCTTTGGTTCCCCACTTGTCAGGGAGGAGTAATAAATTATTCATATAAACACTCAATGGAATTTAGAAATGTGTAGGATGAAAATCTGATCCCATAATACTCCAGATGGCAGGCACAGTGCAATGTGCACTGTGAACTCTAGACAAACAAGCTAAAAAAAAACCTTACAGAATAATTCTTCTGAAGCATGTCATGTCACCTTGTTATCGTAGCTCACTGTACCATCAGGTGTGGTCGCCATTATTTCTGGAGTGGAAGCTCTTAAGTGTCCTGGGCTCATAATACTGGGTTTTGCAACTCCAAAACAAAGAATTAGGTAGTTTCTCCACAAAGTGACATAGTTGTCTCCGCTGCCGGCAGTGCTGGTTTTCTTGGCATTAATTGGGCTACTAGAAATATGGAATCAAAAACAAGAGTGAAACTAAGTTCTGGATTTTAAATATCACTTATTAAATAAAGATCATAGGAAGTACTCAAATAGAGTTGAACAACTGTCGATTGAGAATGTTATTCAAAGAGTATCTGCATTGGATGAGGAGTCAAACAGAAGAACTTTCAAGTATCTTTTACCATTAAAAGTCTGAAATTATAGACTTAGACAATCATACTGATTATTGAGGAAAAAACCCACTAGCTTTAGACAAAAATTTTTTAATGTTTTTACTCAATGTTAAGAATTCTCTAGTAGGAAGTTCAGAAATTGGGATGATAACATCCCAATCTCTTGTACAAAATGAAAAGTTAAGAGGGCAAATGGAAAAACAACAGGGCAGAGGAAAACACAAGGATGCCTTACTTTGGGTCCACCAGAGGCATCACCGACTGGAGACGAGTGAAGGCATAAGGCCAGGCATAGCTGAGGGCTGTGGGGCAGTGCTTGGGTAAGTTCTCCTGCCGGAGGAAGCTGAAGAGGCAGAGGACCCATGGGTCTTTGACAGACTGTGCGAATATCCAGACATGGGAAGGGCTTTTCACATCATAATGGCTATTGACCAGGACTGCGTTCCATTCCACCAGCCACTGCAGATCCACATTGTGGGTGAGTGGTAACGTTGCCTGTAGGTATAAGAGGTAGGTTGTGAGTTAAACCCGAACTGAAGTTATCCCTCCTCCACAGGGCTCAGCCTGGATACTCATTCTTGCACAGTGCTTTTCCTGAGTGCACTGGACTGGCTTTGAATCTGAAATACCAATCCTGCACCTACCACATTTGACCTTGGTGTGTGGTCATCAGTCTTCCTATGCTAGATGATAAGCAGCTTAAGTGCAAAATTTAAGAACTTGGATCATATTTTGACAGGTTTATCGTCACAGAGCACTGTGTATCAGCACACAGAAGCTGTTCACTAATTATTTGTTGAATGAACATATGACAGTAAATTTAAACTGAACCATGGATTCACTATTTTAAAATTCTGAAAAGTTATTCATCTCTGAGATTCACAAATACGTTTTTATCATTGTAATTAATACATTCTTAAAGCTATGATCTTCTCTATCTTTCCTTACATTAAAATACCTTCCCTTTGATTTAGAGGGAGGGCTAAGCACAATCTCTTTTATGAAGGGCATTCTACAGACAGTTTTTGAGATAGATACCTACATATTCTTATTTTATGTATGATGTATGTATGAAGACAGAGTCTTGCTCTGTCACACAGATTGGAGTGCAGTGGTGTGATCCTGGCTCACTGCCACTTCCGCCTCCCAGGTTCAAGTGATTCTTGTACCTCAGCCTCCCGAGTAGCTGGGATTACAGGCACACGCCACCATGCCTGGCTAATTTTTGTATTATTGTTTAGGAGAGACAGGATTTCACCATGTTGGCCAGGCTGGTCTCGAATTCCTGACCTCAAGTGATCTGCCTGCTTTGGCCTCCCAAAGTGCTGGCATTATAGGCGTGAACCACCACATCCGGCCAAGATACCTACATATTCTCGCCCTATGATAGCAAGTAAAAATAAAAATCCCTTGAAATCTCTTGAAAGGTAAATATCTATATTAATAAGTTCTTATATTCCATTTTGTTCTCTTTTAAGTCTAGATACCAAAGTTCAGGGGAAATCAATTTTCAAATAATCCGGCTATTGTGCCAAGAGAGGACACTGCCTTTATGTTTGTTAGGCATGTAAAATGGTAAGTTTATCTGTTGGGTTTATGAGTTCCCATGGGTAAGAGTGTTTTAATAGTGGCCTCAATGGTCAATAGGCTGTAAGGGGCAGAGATGGAGCTGCAGAGCCTGAGAGATGAGATGGCAACATAGGCTCTGCCCAAAGCCTGTGACCTGGGAAAATTACTGAACATCCTAGAATCTCTGTTTATTGAATGTATGACTTGGGAATTATAATGCTGATCTCACCAAATCTTTCAGTGAATTACATGAGATAACAGCTGTAAAAACACCTGGCACAAAGCAGGCATCGCTTCTCCCATTACTCTCTCCCCGTTTCTGTACATCTTCCTAAGTTCAGTATTGCTGAGCTAGTTACCCAGCTTAAGATTTTGATTTTGGTACACACAGAACAAAAGTACATGAACAAAATATAAAGCGCTATCTGTAGGCAAGTAGGATACGTACATTAAGCAAAGCTTAATATTCCGTTTCATGTCAAAACAATTTCAAATTCTAAAAGAGGTAGGACTATTTCACTATGACTGTTAAGGTCTGCAGTACCTGGCTTATAGTTTTAGTGTATTATTATTATGACCATAAGCAAGAACAGGGCTACTAAAAATAGGAATCTGTGTTCAATCAAGTCAGAAAAGGCCATGAAGAGCTCCGAAATGTCTTGAGGTTTTGTATACACTTATAATTATCTGACATGTATCTGCACATCAGGCATCTGCAACATCAGTAACATGGATTCTGCAAGGAGTCTCAGCTCTGTCCTGCCTCCCTTCAGCTATTTAGCCCAAATTAATGCAGGTCCTGTTTTTACACTTTTATTTTTAAAGTCAGATAACTAAAATCAGTGTAAATTTCCCTTCTACACTTGTTCAGGAAATTGGAAGTTGCCAAAGGAAGAATGTATCTGTGTGGCAGATGAACCTCTCCTAGGTTCAGAGTTCAAACCTGGGAAGGAGAGTTCGGGAGACCAGACTCGGCCCTGGGCTCTAAAACTCCCCTTTTGGGTGACTGTGGACTCATCCCTTAACATTTCTGAATTTCAGTAACTGTGAGAATCAAATCAAACAATAAATGTAAAAGTACTTTGTAAACTATAAAGTACCACATAAATAGAAGTTACATATTAAGTACAATATTAATTGTTAAGTCTAATATTAAGTGATAAGTACAATGAAAAATGTAAAGTAATTTTCCCTAAGAATCCTGAGCAATTCTTCTTAAAATTGTAGTTTACAAATATTATCTCTATTCCTAAGACCCAGATTTTGTGTAAAATTTATCTTAAACTAACATCTGAAAAACTAGTCTTATCTTCATAAGTACCTTTGGGTCAGTTTACTAATCTGACGTAAACACCCAAATTATTCCACATAATTTTTCAGTGACTCTCTACTTTAGATAGGTCCAGAGCTTTTAAGAGCCATTAATTGGAATCAAATGTGTACTTACTGAATCCGAAACTGCTACATGAATAAAACTTTCTAGAATGGAAGAACTTAGCTGATCCATGACATCAATCATCGGCCTGTCGTCATCCTGTACAAAGGGGAGGCGATTACTCTCTATGGGAAAATGTATCCTCCCCACCCACCCCACCACCTTCGTCTGATACATGAAGCAGGACAGCTTGCAAGACAGCGATAAGGATTTTCTCACAGAAAAGTGAGTGCCTAGAGGGTGGAAGGCAGTGAGTAAAACTCCTGTGGTTCTGAGCTTCACCTTTCAAGTTTAATGGAAGATAATTAGAAATCCAATTTCACATTGTACTGAAAAGACACACACCTGAATTTCCGACTCATACATGTACATGAGAATCTACCAACACCATATGTTATTCACTATGGTGTTCATGTTATTAATTTTGAGAAGTAGAAATCCTGCAAGAACATGCTTTGTTAGACCACCAACTAAAATGCTACTTACTTTAAGTCACTGGTCTGTTAAAATACCTGATAAACTGTTTACTGTGACTGAATTTTAGTCCCAAAGAAATCAGACTGACAACACACTCTTTGTAGTATCTACATAGTATATAACGATTTGATATAAGATGCCAATTGGAAAGGGCACGAGAGAGTATCTAAGTGAAAATGCTACATGAATAATACATAAATGAATGGATTCATTCATTTATATATCATAAATAAATTCATCCATTCATTTATATATTATGAACATAATATATGTAATGAATATATAAATATTCATTTATTTATATATTATATATTCATTCACCACCCTTTATTATGGAGAAATTTGAAAATATAAAATTATTTACTCAAAAGCCTTATAGAAAAGCCTTAGAATGTCTCTATTTGTGTGTGAATGACAATGATTTAAAAAACATTATGGCAGGTCAAAGAAAACAACATATGAGGAACATCCTTGATGCAGTCTACTGGATTAACACTTAAGAAGTGGGGCGTTAGAGCCATGTGTATATATCTGTTGTTGAATTTTGGCTCTGTTACATTCCAGCTGTTGATTTTGGGGAAGGCATTTAACCTCTCTAAGCCTCAGTCTCAGTATCTGTACAATGGGATAATAACCAAACCAATCCTTAGGTTATTATGAGGGTTAAATGAGATATTCTATATAAAGCACTTAGCAGAGTACCTGACACATACATGGTAATAATAATAATAATAATTATTATTATTATTTTTGAGACGGAGTCTCGCTCTGTCGCCCAGGCTGGAGTGCAGTGGCCGGATCTCAGCTCACTGCAAGCTCCGCCTCCCGGGTTCATGCCATTCTCCTGCCTCAGCCTCCCGAGTAGCTGGGACTACAGGCACCTGCCACCTCACCCGGCTAGTTTTTTGTATTTTTTTTTAGTAGAGACGGGGTTTCACCGTGTTAGCCAGGATGGACATGGTAATTATTATCATTACTTTCATAATTACAAACATGATGAAGGTTTGCTAAAATATAGCATGTCTTAGAGATTCATTTAAAAGATGCCAGAGATGTGGCCCTGAAATATATCAGAAAGCTATCTAAAGAAATGTGAACAGAAAAGATTGTGAAGTTGAAAATATTTTATAAAGACAGTGACTATGTCAAGTATTATAAAACCAAATTATTTTTAAAAGAAGAAAACAGAAAGTGATAATTTTCTAAAGAAGTATATGACATGAAAAGCTGGTCCTTCTTTCATCAAATTATGCACTTGGTTTGGCCACCCAAGCTACTTGCAAGAGAGCAAGAAGTGTTTTCTGTGAACAAGGTGTACAGCATTTGGCCACATGTGGGGTGTTAGCAGGCATTGATCATGCTTAATAATTGGCTTCCTTCTTCCATTTCAAGAGGACATGTTTTTTGTGATGCCATTTTCTACCATCATCAAGATTAAACATCTTTCAGTTTGCCAAACTTGCACCTTGATCATTTCAAATGAGATATATTATTTTTTCAATTTTATTCTCTAACATAAAGTAATAATATCTTCTTAATTAGATGTGTGCTGAACACTGTGGAGGAAATGATCCACAGCCTAAATTAATCTTAAAATTCTTTACTTCTTAGCAAAGTAACGTCCCTGGAGAACTGGGATTGGTCTTTTCTATTGCTTTTAGGAAACATGACTTACATCTAGTAGATCAAGAATGCTATTACAATCGTTTAAAACGTAACAATGAATGAAAAATGCGACACCACATGTAACATAAAAGTACATGAAATAGTAATGCATCATTTGTACTTTTTAATCTAAATTTCAGAACAGTTGAAAGTAAGAAATGGAAAAATTCAGAAGACAAATCCATACCTCAGGCTGTCCCAGGGCAACAAATAACGCTCGAATTTCCTTGAGTATTAAAACGGACAGTTTGCGTGTGGCCACCTGGAAACTGCAGAGTAAAACCAGAGCAAAACCTTCTACAGCGTGGAGTACACTGCAGTGGGGACCTCGTTCCGACTGAATTCTGTGACTGGAGCCATTTGCAATGAGCTGTTATGCAATAAGAACAACATTCTGTATTCAGCAAAATAACAATGGAAGAAGAATAAACTCATGTTTTATATATCTTTTGCACATTTGACCTTGTAAATGTTAAAATAAATCACAATGGTTTAGAACCAGACATGTCTATGAATGTATTATTACTATTCGTGAAATATCCTAGATCCCCTTTTGTCTTTCAGATCAATTGTTGCTGTGGAATATCATCAACCATCTGTTACTTCTGATGAAAACTCTTCAAAGGCTATTAATGTTAATAAAAACACAACTCCTTTCATCTTTACCACTTGGTATTACACTGTATATACAATCAAAGTGGCCAAAGTTGTTATTTAAATTCTCCACAGACTTTTGGATACTATTAAATCGAATTTTCAAACATTTACTTTCTATTTCTCCTTGCCTACTTGTTTGTATGTTAGATTCTACTCTAGGTTTTGCACAGGTGTGTGATGGATTCTGAAAGTTTCCAATCCCGAACCAAGTGAATCTAAAGTAAAAGCAACCCAGTCAACAGGGAAGTTTCCACCTTCATTTTTGTTTTCCCGTTACAAGCACATATAATCCTTGGTTTCCTACCTATCATGTGTTGGCATGTCTACAACACAGGGAAGGGAGAAGGAGCTGAATGTCATCTCTGGGGTTAGCCTCTCAGGAATCCCAGCTGTTCCCCAGATGCTACTATACTGCCGTGAGCCTCCACAGTCTTTAGACTCTCAGTTCCACTCTTCTCCAGCCAGACCCCTTTCTCCATCTGCTCATTGCCAATGCCAAGTTCCCACTGCCCTGGTTCTCCTCTGACAACACTCCTCCTCAATGCGCTCTGCAAAACGTTATCGCTACCTTAACCATTTAGGATTGAGACATGAAAGGATAAAGAAACCACAAGACTGCGCTGTCTTCTCCGTGGATATTGAACAAAGCAACCCAGATGTTGCTGGCTAAAAACAACTAGTGGACAGCTGACTTTTATATACCTGTATCCACAGCCATATTCATATCAATATGTATATCCATATGTACATCCACACCTACACCTACATCCACATCAATATCCACATCTACATCCACATCAATATCCACATCTATATCCACAACCCTATCCACATCCCTATCACATCCACATTTACATCCATATCCATATCTACATCCACACCCACACCCACATCTATATCCACAGCTACATCCACATCCACATTTCTATCCACATCCATATCACATCCATTTACATCCACATCCTATCTACATCCACACCCACACCCACACCCACATGCATGTCCACATCCCTATCCACATCCACATCCCTATCCACATCCCTATCACATCCACATTTACATCCATATCCATATCTACATCCACACCCACACCTACATCCACATCCATGTCCACCCACATCAATATCCACATCCACATCTATATCCACAGCTACATCCACATCCACATCCCTATCCACATCCATATCACATCCATTTACATCCACATCCACATCCTATCTACATCCACATCCACACCCACATCCACACCCACACCCACACCCACATCCACATCCCTATCCACATCCATATCACATCCATTTACATCCACACCCACACCCACACCCACATCCACATCCGCATCTACATCCACACCCACACCCACATCCACATCCACATCCGCATCTACATCCACACCCACACCCACATCCACATCCACACCTACATCCACATCCATGTCCACATCCACACCCACATCCACATCTACAACTACATCCACATCCATGTCCACATCCACATCCACATCTACATCTACATCCACACCCACATCCACCTCCACACCTACATCCACATCCATGTCCACATCTACACCCACATCCACCTCCACATCCCTATCCACGTCCATATCACATCCATTTACATCTACATCCACATCCTATCTACATCCACACCCACGCCCACATCCACATCTACATCCACATCCAGGTCCACATCCACACCCACATCCACATCCACACCCACACCTACATCCACACCCACCTCCACATCCCTATCCACATCCATATCACATCCATATGTATATCCACATCCTGTCTACACCCACACCCACACCCACATCCACATCTACATCTGCATCATCCACACCCACATCCACATCCACACCCACACCTACATCCACACCCACCTCCACATCCCTATCCACATCCATATCACATCCATATGTATATCCACATCCTGTCTACACCCACACCCACACCCACATCCACATCTACATCTGCATCTACATCCACACCTACATCCACATCCACACCCACATCCACATCCACACCTACATTCACACCCACATCCACACCCACATCCACATCCACATCCCTATCCACATCCATATCACATCCATTTACATCCACATCCACACCCACACCTACATCCACACCCACATCTACACCCACATCCACATCTACACCCACATCCACATCTACATCTGCATCTACATCCACACCTACATCCACATCCACATCCATGCCTACATCCACATCCATGTCCACATCCACACCCACACACACACCCACATCCACATCCCTATCCACATCCATATCACATCCATATGTATATCCACATCCACATCCTATCTACATCCACACCCACACCCACACCCACATCTACATCTGCACATCCACATCCATGTCCACATCCACACCCACACACACACCCACATCCACATCCCTATCCACATCCATATCACATCCATATGTATATCCACATCCACATCCTATCTACATCCACACCCACACCCACACCCACATCTACATCTGCACCTACATCCACACCCACATCCACACCCACATCTACATCCACATCCACATCCACACCCACATCCACACCTACAACCACACCCACATCCACATTCACATCCACATCCACATCCACATCCACATCCACATCCACAACCACATCCACATCCACATCCAGCTCTAAGTCCCTGGACTGTAGTCATTTGCTCTCACAAATATATTTGCACCATACTTCTCTGAAAAAAACAATTTCTATTCCCTAAATGACCTTGTGAATGTTAACAAGTCTAACCTGATGTGGAACATCATGCTCTGAGTTTCTTGGTCACAATTTATGCCAGTGGAAGAACTAAGGCCCACCACCAGAGAGGAAGTTCCTAGGTGGCTGGAAGTAAGAATTCTAAAGGTTCTAGACTGCCTCTCATTCACATATATAGTGCCTAAAAGAATATAAATTCAGCCAGGCATGGTGGCTCACACCTGTAATCCCACCACTCTGGGAGGCTGAGGCGGGAGGATCACTTGAGGTTGGGAGTTCGAGACCAGCCTGGCCAAGATGGCAAAACCCCAATCTCTGCTAAAAATACAAAAATTAGCTGGGTGTGATGGCATGCACCTGTAATCCCAGCTACTCGGGAGGCTGAGGCATGAGAATCACTTGAACCAGGAGGCGGACGTTGATTGCCAGTAGCCGAATCATGCCACTGCTTACTCCAGGCCTGGGCAATAGAGTGGAGACTGTCCCACTCCACAAACACCAACAAAAAAAAGAACTATAAATTCATGGGTAAGGTTGAAAATCACCTGCCCGAATTTCTGATTTTGTTTGGCTTGTTCATGAGACTTTTCCTTGTGTCTGTATGACTAGTTTCCACTGGGGTGAGCAGCCTGCAGCCAGCAACTTCAGGGGACGAATCAAGGAGGGGTGCTGATTGCATATCAATTTACTTTCCCGAGCAAGGAAGTGGCTAAAAGCCCAATACGGGACATCCTTCCTCCTCCAATCTGAGAAGTCAACAAGTAAACCCTGGAAGAGAATTTTGGTGCCAATTATTGTCGCAATTCATTCCATCATGAAAGTGAGAGCTGTGAAATGAAAAACAAGACCAATATAAATCATTTACTTTTATTAACTGGTCTTTCCCTAGGGGCTAAGAAGGAACATCTATTAATATATATCTGCTTTCTTACTTGAGTCTTGAAAATGGGTCTCCCCTTATTTTTGCCGTTAGCTAAATGACGTTACATAAATAACCTTTTTAAAAAACTTTCTAATTTGGCCAGGCACAGTGGGCTCAACACCTGTGAACGCCAGCACTTTGGGAGGACTGAGGTGCGGGAACGATGCCTGAGTTCAGGATGGTTTCGAGGCCAGGGGGTTACTAACCAATGGTGAAACCCTCGTCTTCTAACTAAAAAACAAAAATTAGCTGGGTCCTGGTGGCACATGCCTGTAAGTCCCCTACTTGGGAGGCTGAGCCGCAGGAGAATTCGCCCGCTTGAACCCGCGGACGGCAGAGGATTGCGGTGAGCCAAGGATCCGTTGCCACTGGCACTCCAGCCTGGGGCCAGCCAGAGGTGAAACTCCATCCTCAAAACAAACAAAAAAAACAAACAAACTTTCCTAATTTAGAATTACTGAAGCGGTCTGCAACGATAATACAGAGTTTTCTGATACAGTGGGTTCATTCCGCGCCTCCCTAATGTTAACCATCTTATAGTAACCAGGACATTTAGCAAAACTGAAATGGTAATTATTTGGGAAGAAGCTATAACCTTTTACTCAGATTTCAACCGAGTCTTTCCAATGATTGTCCCTTTTTCGTTTTCAGAATTGCAATCCCAAGACATCACATACTTGCATTGTAGCCTGTACTGGTATATGAACCACTTTGTAATACATCACTAGGCTACAGAATAAAATTAGTATCGAATCCTATCTTTATAATAAGGAATGAGGAACCTGAGTAACTGGAAGAAGCTAAAGGACTCATCCAGAAGCCTCAGTTATAAATGAGCCAATCGGGAGTAAGGGCATTGTGTCCTAAAATCGGTTTTGCCTCCTTGCGCGAAATTGGCAATGCTCTGGGACTAATTTCTGGCTGCACACCTTGGGCGTGTGGTTAGGAGCCCATCTCTCCAGTGGGTAGAAGCTAGGGATGTTGCTAAACACCCTACAATGCACAGGAGCAGTTTTCCCGTGTAAACAAAGAATTTATCTGGTCCCAAAATGTGCATGATCCGAAGGTGAGAAGTTGAGTGGAGTTAGCAGAGATTCTAGTGTATCTGTGTATTAATCAGAATAACACAATAATATTAAATCTTGACATTGGTAGGATGGATTATTGCTAACCTATTGCTTTACATATTCATTCATTTATTTAATAAGCAAAGGCTTTTAAGAGACACCTTCGTAAGATTCAGTCATTATATGCCCTGTGTACAGCACTTAGGATATTGAGTTTGGTGTGGCTGTGTCTATTGGGTGAGGTGCCTGCAAGAGCAAGGTGTGAGACAGTGCTGGAGAGGAAGCAGATGCAGCTCACTGAAGGGTCTTTGGGCCACCCAGGGAGACAACACAGCAGGGAAGGGGTTCAGAGTGTGTACCCTGGAATCAGAATGCCTGGATCAGTGTCAGGCCTCTGTCACTTATTAGCTACGTGACTTCAGGCTATCACTTAATCTCTAAGCCTCAGATTGGTGAAATGGGGGTACTAACTGTAACTGCATTCCATAAACCTGTTGTGAGGGTCACTGAATTATCCATGTGCAATGTTTAGCACTGCACAGATCACAGAGCAGGCACTCAGTAATGTTAGCTATTATTAGAAGAAAATGAATTGTATCCTGAAAGTTATAGGGAAATAAACATGATTAGATTCACTCTTGAGAAAAAGAGAGTCACGCAGGAAAGGGAGAATGCCTTGGAGAAGAAGCAAGGCACAGGTCACCTAAGAGGTCACTGCAGTGACTTAAGCAACAAGTGGTGAGGGCCTGACCAAAGCAGAGAAGTGTAGTAGGGTAAGGGCAGATGGAGGCCAAAGACACTGAAAAGATAGAGTTTCCAGGACTCAGTAGCCTGCAGGTGTTCAGTGTCAGAGAAGAACATGGCTGAGTCAATGGAGGCTCCATACCCAGGGCAAATAGAAGACAACGTTGCAGCCCAGACTGGTTAATGAATTTGCTCAAAATTAACAAAAGGAAGAGCCAGGAATTCAATCTAGGACTTCTAATCTTTAATCCAAAATACTTCCCACAAAACAAGCCTGGCACAAGTCACCCTAGTTATCACTCTCAAATAGATAGCATTTCAAAAGCCTGATAAGATAAGCAAACTCTTGTCTTATTTTCTAAAGCTTAAAGTACACCAGTTGGTCCAGTCTGACAATATAAACTAGGTAAAAAGTTCTTTAGTTCACAGATTTACACTGAGTCAGGGAATATATTTTCTGTCTTAAAAGCATGCAAAGTTCTAAACAGACCCTGAGAAGGAAGAGCTAAGCTAATTTTTCAGGGACGTCTTATACAATTAAATTTACAGTTCTTAAGTAGTTGCTGAAAAAAGAATGAGAAGCCTTTAACCTGGGCTTCCAATCTAGAATTGTCTGAAACAGGAGTTTTCAAACTTTCTTTATATTGCATTCAGCAGCAGATCTATCTTTTTTTCCAATAGAAGTTTATGTAGAGCTCTGTGGTGGTGAATTTTATGTGTCAACTTGGCTGGACCTTGGTGCCCAGATATTTGGCTGACATTATTCTGGATGTTTTTGGATGAGATTAACATTTGAATCAGTGGACTCTGAGGAAAGCAATTTTCCCACCTCATGTGGGTGGGCCTCATTTGACCAGCTGCAGGCCTGACTAGAACAAAAGACTGGACTCCCCTGAGCAAGAGAGAATTCTACCGCCTTTAGACTTCATCTGCAACATTGGTTCTTCCTGGTTCTACAGCAGACTGCGTTTGGATTCAAACTGGAAACTTGGCTCTTCTGAATCTCCAGCCTGCCGGCTTTCAGAGGAGAATGGCAGCACTGGCTCTCCTGCATCTCCAGCTTGCTGGCCCCCCATGAAGATTTTGGACCTGCCAGTCTCCATAACTACATGAGCCAATTCCTTACAATAAATAAATCTCTTTCTCTCTATATACATCTTACTGTTTCTGTTTCTCTCTGGAGAATTCTAATACAAACTTCAATATATAGATACACAAACCTGAGTCACTCTGGTTAAAGTTGGGGGTAAACGGCCGGAAGCCCACCCATTTGGGGAGAATACACTCCTTCACTGGCCAAGCAGCTGAGTCATCTCTGCAGTCCATGGTTTGAAAACACTAGTTTATGAAAAGCACTTGAAGTCATTTCCCCATCTTACGTTTATTATTCTAATTTATTATATTTAGATCTGTCTATGGTCCTGAAGGTCTTAGAAAATAAGCTTCCACAGATAAGAAGCCACCATTTTTAGGACAGGTAATAGTTTAGTAACCAGGAACTGCAGACACTACATAAATGTTAACTGATAGTAATGACAGTGGTCACAATTTTGTGTCTCCCACAAAATTCATATGTTGAAGTCCTAACTCCCAGTACCTTAGAATGTGACCTTATTTGGAAATGAGGTCATTGCAGATGTAACTAGCTAAGTTAAGAAGAGGTTGTGGGCCCCTAATCCAATATGACTGGTGTCCTTATAAAAAGCGCACTTTTGTAGACAGACAAACACATGTGGATAATGCCATATGAAGATAAAGGCAGACATCAGGGTGATGCTTCTACAAGCCAAGGGATGCCAAAGAGTGCCAGCAAACTACCACAAGCCAGGTGACAGGCTTGGAGCAGATTCCCTCTCATAGACTTGAGCAGGACACAACCCTGCTGACACCCTGATCTTGGACCTCTAGCCTCCAGAACTCTGAGAGAATAAATTTTTGGTGTTTAGGCCACTCATTTTTTGACACTTTGTTATGGCAGCCCTAGCAAACCAATATAATCATGAAACCAGGCAAGAACCAAGGATGAAAGCCATGTCACGGTCTATTTTCATGAAGCCTTTAAGTAAAGGCTTTTAAGTAAAGAAAAACTTTCAGCTTTCCAAATGAGATCGATTCTACTCTTCATCTAACTTTGCTCTCACGCACAATCTGCAATCTAGAATCTGTTTTAACTTCAAACACACAATGCAGGATCATTTTCAGGACTCTTGGAGGCCCAAGGCAGTGTAGTCCTTGCTATTCCTGGTGGTCATGTCTCTTAAAATGACAGTATTTACCTACTCTACCAGTGAAAGGCTCAAAAATATTCCTGGAGGATGAAGACCAGGGAGGGGAAAGGGCTTCTGGGATAGAAGGCTCATCTGGTTATAAAAGTGGAATGTTTGTAGAAGAAAAAGGCCCAGACTGCCACAGAACTGAGACTGAGAGAAAATCACCTATCAAGACAAGTCTGTGGGTAGCAGGTGAGGGGTAAGGGGAAGAAGCTGTGAAAACGACAAGGCTCCCTCCCTGTGTCCTGTCCCTTGAAGCGTATAAGCAGAGCGCTGCCTGTCAGATACAGTTGCCATCTCTTCCACTCAGTTCTTCCTCATTTTTACTTTTATTAGATTTTGACCAGATAATCAAGATCTTGTGAAACACATGGGATTTTACATTATAAAGCAGGAAAAAAACAAAAACAAATACAAAAACAGCTATCTAAAAGGGAAAAGAAGGCTTGGAGTTAAATAAGAAAGATGTCCAGACATTCTGACTACCCAGGAAAGCAGCGTGGAGCTGGCTTACGGATTTACAAATCCTATTAGATCTCCTTCTCTAGCAAGGATGAGGGTGAGAGACAGCAGTTCCCCCAACTGGGCCATCTTGATAGAGAAACTAGACCAGGAAAGAAAGAACAGGTCTCAACTGCAAACTAAACAGGTGCAGTTATAATTTTAAAAACTGTCCTTTGAGAGAGTTTGGTGGCAGCAATTAAGAGAGAACAGAGAGACTTTAAGAGAAAGCAACTTGTGAAGATATCTGGCTAGCTTGGGGAACTAAGGCTAAATTTCTGAGAAGGTGATTTGGTTCTCAGAAGCCTACAATAAAAGAAACCAGTGTTGCCAATACCAATTGCAGCTGCCCCTCCCAGGCAGCTGGGATCAGGAGCACTAAGCAGGCCTGGTGTGATTCTCACTGCTCATGTCAGAAAGCGAATGCACAGCTGTATTCTGCACAGGCCACCTGTGCCACTGCCAGTGGTCCTGGGCCTTGTCTGCAGTGATGGAGAACAAGTGAGTGGTGTGATCACAAGGGCACGTGCTGCTCAGACAAGGGTGCTACTGAACAAGTCAGGACATGTCATAAAATGGGGAAAAAATAGAACAAAGCTGCCTTCTTGGTTGGTCACATCAGAAATATGACTTTTAACGGAAAACACTTGCATAAGCTGAGCTTCGGATTCTGATGGAATCACCTCAGTAGCTTTTAATAATGTTTTTTACAGAGATGCAAGAAAGAAAAGGGGTGATTTCAAATTCACAAACCATATCCAGAAGAAAAGACAAATTAGGAGAAACATCCTCCTTTGAACTAGGCAAGATAAGCAAAAGCTTATTAGGAAGAAGTGCCCCACAATGTCACCAAGGGCAGTGGAGGAAGAAACACTGAAAGTGAAGCCCAGCAGACAAGGATTTCCAAAAGAAGGAGCTTGAGAGAGGTGGACTATTCACCACCAGGGTAGTTCACCAGAAGGGGTGGAAATTTCTTCTTTGAGGCTATTAAAGAATGAACTCCCATCTATTTACAGTGGTTTGAACTACACCTCAACTAAAATACAGAAATATGACTAAGGGAATTATTGAGGCAATATATACAATTGAGACGAGTTCTCTTTCAGCTACTCCAAACAACTAACCACATTCCACAACACAGGCATATGTGGAAAAGGGAAAGCAGAATAAATGTTTAATAATTTTTAGATACCCCAGAAGACTGTGGAATCTGTGTATGCATTATCTCAGAAGTTTCTACAAATAATAAGGAAACACCACACAAAACGTGTTTATTATTTTGCATAAAACCAATGACATTTGGAAAATTCTATAAATTTGGGAAATAGATTTACCCTTCTGAAATTCAATGTCCTTATCTAAAAATAAGAATGAACATGTGCCCAGCTTATCTAATATAATGTATATGAAAGGCATTGTATAGCACGGTGTATGTTCTTTGAATGTGAAGATATCTGAAAATGATAAACTAACATTTGCTAAGACCTTTGAAAGAGGAGGGTGAATACTGAACAGCAAGTCCTTGGTGCATGCAAGGTACTGCAGGAAGTGACAAGGACAGGAGCCTGTGGACTGCTAGCGAAAGCTCCCTCTTGTGGTCAAATGACAGAGCAGGAAACATCTAGGAGAGGAGAGCGAGAGAAAAAGATGGCGGCTGCCAAGGCGAGACAGCTCCCCTTTCTGTCTGGAGAATCCTCAGGGGTCCCGACAGCTGCGCAGGTCAGGCTCTGCAGAGGATGGGAAGGAAGCACCCCCATGGGTCTTACCACGATGTCAGGAGGGCCTGTGAAGCTTCCATGGAGCCACATGGAAAGGTTCTCACACTTGGCTGTTATGAGCTGGCTGAGCAATACATGTAAAGTAAGAAATCTAGTAGCTTGAAGAAGGCAGTTTTCCAGCTTCGTAATATACACTGTTGTCATGTGCAACACACTAATGCATTTCTGAGGTGTGAGTGTCTGTGATATTCAGCCATTACTCAAAGGGCAGCAAGGGCCTGAGAGCAGTTGTGTGGGACATACAGTTGAAACTCCTTACAGGGTAACTGAGCTGGGAGGGACGGACAACCTGCATGAACACTGCCCTTATTTTACCAATTATGAAAAAAATAAAACAAGTTTTTAAGTAAAAAAAAGTACCACGGATGTGACTGTGAAGTGTCAGAAATAACAGGTCTTACCCCTCTCTGACTAGACCGTGTATTATCTCAGGTCAACTGAATCTGAAGGCAACTGGACTGTGAGGGTATAAAGTGACTGAAGACTTCTTGTGTGGCACTCGAAACCCACATTTATTGCTATTGAATTACTTCACTTTTGTCCTCTGACCCTCTCGAGGAGATCTGAAGAGGCGCATTTTCTCACAGGTTAATAGGACTCTATGTGCAGGTCGCTTACTCTAGTTATCCTTCCCCCCGAGGAGAACAGCCTCTGGCTTCTTTTGAAGCTTATTAAAAAGGTCCCTTCATGGATTTCCCATATAAGCCAGTCATTTTCTTGATTTCTCCCTAAGACTTAAACTCTCAGGAATATTTATTTGTTCTGTTCCCTCAGGAAAAAAAAAAAAAAAGAAAAAGAAAAACAAAACAAAACAAAACAAAAAACAGCACCCATTGCTTTGGGCTTGGTAAGAATGTAACTAATAATAAACAGGACTCACCATAAATAGCACTAGCATTCCAACCACATCTGACAGAATTCCCTCCCAACACGCCTGGCACCATGGTCTAGGGGTTTGGGCTTCACTGGATTGGGCTGTCAACATGATTCCAGAGGTAGGAGCCTCCCACTCAGACTTATGGCAAAATAGCATTAGAGACTTTACCAGAAAGAGAACACTTCATGCTGTTCAAAACACTTGGTACTTCAAAGGCCTCGGTGTATATAATCACCAATTAGACTTCTATTGAATAAAGTGAACTATCCTTCTACTTCAATTTAACTGAAAACTTTTTCCCTGCAGACGCCTCCTCTCTCTAACCACACGTTTTGTCATCTAGCCCTCTCAACAGTCCTAAGAGGTAGGCAGTCTCATTCCAATTTCACCAAAATTTTACCAAGGGAAAAGGACAGGCTTGAGGGTTAAATAATTTGCCCGGATCATGCAGGTAGTAAAATGGCAAAGGAATGTAGGGAAATGAAGTTCAGGTTTTTAGAGGATTGTTTTCTTCCGACTCTCTTGTCCTGCTTCCTCCATGTCTGTTGACGGTAGCCCCCTTTCTCCAGATGGTCATGAGGCCATGGAGAGGGGCTTTTCGCTCAGCCACCTGTGCTCTGGGGAAATACACGTCTCCTGATCATGCCGCCCCCTCCAATGCTGTCCACAGCAAACGGACAGGCTCTCCTTTATGTTTTCGGTAGCTCTAGCCCTTGTCTCACAGCTTTTCTCTATTCTCAGTCTCTGCCCTCATCCCGGGTGACTCAGTATTAGCATGGATGACCCTTCCAGTCTTAGTCTCTCTTTCCCTCAGCTTCCCCCAGCCCCTAAATCATCATGTTCATTATTCTTTGGAAACCCACTCTTTGTTCCTCCACAGGTCTTCCCCTTGCCCTGAACTGGAAAGCCCTTTTTGATCCAGGCTTATTTTTTCCTGTTTCCCTCTGCTTTCCTGCTTCCAGGGAATGTGCTCTTCGCTCATATTCTGGTTGCTAGGTCTCAAAAGGTACACCCTAAGCGTGGACTGGAAAGAAGAAGGATCCACGGCTGGAAGGCTGCTGATAACAGCGGAAAGAGGCTACAGTGGTGGGTGACATTGGTGGGAAAGGTGCTCTCAGAAGGTGAGAGAATGTGAGTAAACTAGGCTATGCATAATGCATCATGCATTCAGGCAGCATGAATATTTGTTATCCTTCTCCAGGCTTTTCTTTTATTCTACCATTATAACCAGATTACAGAGCCTAAATTGACATTTTTTGTCATCTTGTTCCCCAGCTTAAAACTTCATCAGTCCAAATGCCTCAACAAGTACTTAAGATTAGCTGAAAATCTACCTCTTCAGTCTTATTTCCGTTTCCTTTCATCATTGGGTTTGTAAACTATTTTCTCTTTTCTCCCCCCAAACCAATGATGACTTTTGTTCTTCCTCATTCCATGCATCCCACGTGTCTAATAATTTTGCTTTCCAAATTGCACTTAGGTTTTGTCACTTTTGATTTTTAAATTAAAGACATGCATAACTGTCAACTGGAGCTCCAGATCAATGTGAGATAACTAAGCTTACTAAACTATAATAAGATAATTTCACTCAAAGAAAATAAATTTTAGGTTCTCACTGGATTGTGCATTGGGAGGGTGATAAATATGATTTTGGGCAGTTTTCTGAAGCACTATACTGAAACTAGTTTAGGATATTGACCACCTGCACTCTTGTCTCCCTGGGGGTCTGTGGGCCTCAGATTGGGTATCAGACTCCGAATGAACTCTTTTTTGGCCATACCCATTTCATTTCCTGGTTCTACCTCTCTGCCTTTGCTCATGTCTCTGCCTTTACCTTTTTGAACTCTACCTTCCCTTCAAGGGAAGTTCAAGTTCCACCTTCTCTCAAGAGTTATTTGTTGCCTTCCCCAGTCCACAGTAATCTCTTACCCATGAATCGTGTATCATACATTTTTTGTGCCATTAGTTTGCACAACACAGGTTTGGGTTGTTAACGACCTTACGTGCTTATGTATTTGCTTCTAAGTTGGATTTTAAACCCCTTGAACATGGGAAAAATAATTTTTAAAAATGTGTTTTTTCCTGCCCATACACAGTACCTCATTTGGTAAATATTTGTCCATTGTAAACTACCATTCTATTTTTTTTTTCAGGAGTCATGACAAAGGATTGAAATTAATTTTGGTCAAACAATGTTCTCACCTACCTAGCCAGCAAGTCAATAAGTTCAAGTTTTGACATCCCATCAGGAAGCAGTCGAGGAATAGCAGCAACACAGGTCCTGAAAAGATCTATTTTTGGCTTTCTCTCACCCCTAGAATTAGAAGACAAAATTTTAAAATAGGTCAAAAAGTTGTGAAAATAAAAACAAAATGAATTAAGTACATGAACAAAGACTAGAATCCATGCCTTCTGAGTCACAGCCTGGTGTTAGCTCCATGTTATTCTCAAATGTTTATGCCCTTTGTAGCCTGACCAGTTCTAATAAAACTTTAAGTAATTTAAATGTAAGACAGAAGTATATGTCTGAAAAGAAAAATGCTGATATCAATAGTATTTTACCTTGAGTTTACCCTTTAGTTGGGTCTAGTCCAGTTGCATTTAAAACACCAGAATCACAGAAATGGATAAGTACATCCACATGAAGAAATGTATTTCATTCATTCCTACATTCAGCATTTAAAAATGGAATATATATATATATATGTGTGTGTGTGTATATATATATATATATGGAATGGTGCCTTTTTTAACTGTGATATCTAGCAGATTCTCTCCCTGATGAGTTATGCTTCTCCCCTAGAGCCTTTTGTCCTGTTTTTAAAAAATTAAGTGCTTCCAAAATAAATCTTTCAAAATAAGTAAAATTCTGAAATGTATATAGTTGTGCACCCATTTCTGACTTTTAAAGTGATACTGATGGGCCTGACCTCTATGGAGATTTCCTTCTCTATTTTTAATTAATTTCTTGAGAATATGAATGTTTAATGATAATTAATGCCTTCTGCATTCTGTTGGAAAATGTGAAGGAGAAATAGATATTTTGTGTTACTTCAATTTTTAGTTGTTTTAATAGATAAGTGTTTGATTTTTTTTTTTTTTTTGAGACAGACTCTCGCTCTGTCTCCCTGGCTGGAGTGCAGTGGTGCAATCTCAGCTCACTGCAACCTCCGCCTCCTGGGTTCACGCCATTCTTCTGCCTCAGCCTCCTGAGTAGCTGGGACTACAGGCGCCCGCCACCACGCCCGGCTAATTTTTTTTTTTTGTATTTTTAGTAGAGACGGGGTTTCACTGTGTTAGCCAGGATGGTCTCGATCTTCTGACCTCGTGATCCGCCTGTCTCAGCCTCCCAAAGTACTGGGATTACAGGCTTGAGCCACCACGCCCGGCTAACTGTTTGATTTTTAACCACTTATTTTATCAATAACCTTTACGGAATAATTCAACTACCCACCAAAATCTTTCAAATGACCCAAGTGACAACATATAACAGCATATCTAAAGTCTGATGACTTAGTCTTCTGAGCATAAATATAGAATCAGTACCAAATTAATGTGATCCTAGGATACAAGCACAATAATGAAAATGCAAAGTAGCATAAAAGTAATTCCTTTTTGGAACAGTAACTGTAGTCAGAATAGAAATGCAACTAGCAGAATCAATCCTCTCTGTAATCTAAAGATCATAATCACACAGTAATTTTGCTCTGTAACACTACCTTTTAATGTGCTTTTACAAGTTTGTTAAGAATGAGTACCAAATTGTTTATATGAAAAATAAAACACAATATGTTATCTTCCAAAATAATCTGCTTTTGTGGGCAGTCATAAGGTTATTTTCTTAATAACCTTATGACTTTTGTCATCCATAGAGCATTTGCATGAGCTGTTGAGGACCCTGGAGAAGAGGAAGCAGTTGCACAGGGCTTTCCTATCAGCCAAGGAAAGAAATGTTTTCAGATGATATCCTCAATAGCTGTACAGTGTTAGAGCCTAGAGATCTCTTCTAATTGTTCATTTGTAACACAGTGAGTAGTTTAAACAGTTCTACTAGTTTGCTCACCAGATGTCTTTAACAGCTGGGATTATTTTTATGTCTGTCGGAAAATGGATGACCTTGCCTGGCCTGAAGTGTAAGGGCGAACTCTGCCAGACTTCCAAGATGATAAAACAAGCCTAGATTAGAAACTAATTGCTGCATGATCTCCTCTTATTACTGCAGTCTTTGCTGTCTGGCCTTTTATGGGAAGCTTATAAATCCCCAAAATAACATAATTAAGAAAATTTATTAACAGATATTAAAATTATTATTTCTTTACTTGTTATTTTCTTTCTTTCTTTTTTCATACTAGCATGAAGCACAAAAGGGATAAGAAATAAAGACTGAGCAACACAGAATGTTCAGTGTTCAAGTTCTTACCCTACGTAGGGCCTGGGAAAGTGGTGGACTAGCTTCAAATATCAACTCCAGCGACTGTTCCATTAGTGTTGTGTGGGCCTCCACCTTCTTCTCCTAAATGCTTATGTGATTCCCTAACATTTCTCTTCTTCCTTTTTTTTTTTTTTTTTGTTTAGAAATGAAGCAATGCGTTATTTTCCACTCAGGAATCTGCCTTGAATTCTAGCATGAAAAATATTTCTAGCCCTATCTGGGGGTCTTAAGATGTTTGAATAGGAAAAAGTAAAGAAAAATCTTAGAAAAAGTTTGAAACGGCCGGGCACAGTGGCTCAAGCCTGTAATCCCAGCACTTTGGGAGGCCGAGACAGGCGGATCACGAGGTAAGGAGATCGAGACCATCCTGGCGAACACGGTGAAACCCTGTCTCTACTAAAAAA